AGGTGGGGTGATAAGGGATATAATATAATATTGAAATATAATGGTATAATATTCAATGTAATAAAAATAATAAAAAAGTATAATAAAAAAATAAGATAGTTCAAAATTAGAATTTTAAAATAAAATTAAAATTTTTTTCTGGTTTGGTAGGCTTCTCAAAATTTTCGCGGGTCCATAACCCCAAACCCCCGAAAAAAATTTTTATAAGGCTAATTTGAATTTTTAAAAAATTTTAAAAATAATTTCAACGAGCAGGCATCCCGGGTTCCACTCCAGTTTGGAGCCAATCTATCAGTCTAAACTCCCCATCCTGCACACCCTGCACACCCTGGCCACCTGCACACCCTGCACATCCTGCACACCCTGCACATATTGCACATCCTGCACATCCTGCACACCCTGTACATCCTGCACATCCTGCACACCTGCACACCGTGAACACCCTGCACAACCTGCACAACCTGCACCCGAATGCGTGCAAACAAACTCACAGATTTTCTGCTTTATATATATAGAGATTATTTACAAGTATAAACAAGTCACTTGCACATTTCTATAACCCATATAAGTAACCTCCAAGAATTTCGCGACCCATCCTCGGGGGGGGGCCGGCCCCCCCCCCCTCGGTACGCCACTGATTGGCGGTGCGATCAAATCCGACTGCTATGCAATTTGAAGGAAATGAAAGGCGCTCTGCAACTTCGTAATCTGACTACTTTACATAGATGGTTCAGTAGTGGAATGCTCGTCTGCTACGCGGACGGTTCGGGTTCGATTCCCGGCCGATGCACCAAGCTACTGAGGATATTAGAGACTCTCGATCTATTGGAGACCGTAAAGGGAACATACGCAAATGCGGTGGCTCAGGATTTATAGCAGGTGCAGAGCAACAATATGTATGTTTGCGATACTCACAAGGAAACGATACTCAATGTCCGTGGCTTTTTGAGACGAGATGTACACCATTACACTCGTTTACGAACGCTGATTCCGAATCTGACTTCCGTTTCTGCTAATCGTTTCTCTGAAAGAAGGTATGAAGGAATTCGACCCAAGTTTGGCCGCTTAAGGGAAATATGGTCATTGGAACGGCCTCTACCGCGACCACGTTCTGGTCTAATGCTTAGTGCGATAGCCTCATAAGTTGATGTAGGTTCATATCTTTTGCGTTTTTATTTTTGCACTACTTTTGCCTCAATTAAGCTTGTTCGAGAAAGCTTTACTCGAATTATGACCATTGAACACATTTTAGCGCAAACAGTAGTCATTTTTTCCAAAATTCCTCATTTTTTCGAGAGTAAGAGCGTTCACTTAACTTGAGGATGTGAAAGAAGGTTAATTGAGGCAACGCAAAACTGAAAAACACAAAAGGACTCGAACCTAGACGCGCATCAACACATGAGACTATCGCACTAACCACTAGACCACAGCGCACCTATGGCATTGGTGCTCCGACAGATTTTCACTGAGGACCCAAACTCCGCGCGATCCATGATAACATCTTTGAAGCGATTAGCAGAAACGGAAGTAGGATTTGGAATCACCGTTCCAAGGCGAGTTTGTTGGTATACATTCCATTTCAAAAGGCCACGGACACCGAGTATCGTTCCCTTGTCAGTCAGATGCAGAAGTGCTCGGGAGTGAAAGTCTTCGTCCATCCCGGCGTGACCTAGGGTCGCGGCGAGGTATCATCGGTACGGTAATAGTCCCGACAAAATTTCGTTCTGCGGTTTTTTACTTTTCGGAGCCTTCTCGCGATGCAGACGCCATATCTGGGCTGTTTGGTGCTTGAAAATGGCAAAAGTGAGGTCTTTTTGAGACTCTGTCGTCGTCGGCACCAACGTTTGAGACGGGTAACGAACCCGGACCCCCCTCCCCCCCCCACCCCAGCTTTCGAAAAAATGTCTTCTTTGACCCCTATCGGAAGCCTGTCGATTAGGAGAAGATAAAACAAAAAAGAGTTACTAGTCTGAAAGAAAAAACGTGTAATAAGTGGAAATTCGAAGTGGAGCTGAACACCGCGCATGTACGAGAGTTTGGCTTTGAAGCGCGATATCTAACGAAGCGATTTATGAAGAAATTAAGGCAAAAAGACAAAGGAAAGATATGAATCGTTCTTTATGCTAAGGGACAGATTCTTGACCGGAAACACCGTCCAAGATAAAAAAAAATTATGTTACAAAGATATGTACTCCATGCGATCTCAAATCGTATGGTGACCTTCTGAAAACTAACAAAGTGGAAAAGGTATTAGTTCACATAACTTTTCAAAACTTTTCATATATCTTCCTTAAATAATATTCTATGCCTACAGTCCGAAGTTGATGTCATATGCTTGTCTTTACATTGTAAACAAGCAGTTTCCTGATTTAGGCTTTGCTTTGTCGCGCGCGCCTTTCGCAAGACACGATGGAGCACGTCCATTACGTAATAACCTGTCCTTAAAGCTTGTGCTTGACCGAGTGGTCGCTTCCGGCGTTACAGAGAAATGGTCTTGCTCACTGTATCGTTCATCTTCCAGAATTGTTTGCTTATGAACCATCAACGTGGCTGCCTTTTGATCTCTTTGAAACGTTAACTCTAGCAAATTTGAGGCGCTTATTCGAAGTCGACATGTTAAAATGATCGAAAGACATCCGCGCTGATGGTTCATATGGGAGCATTTTTGGGGGATGCACCATAAGTGCAGTCTTCCTCCACATACTTCATTTGTAGTGCGTGATCCGATTTTTTTCCCGGAGCTCCTCGACGGACCCCTCAAAAACGATGTCCCCCTTTGCTTTTTGTCCCAAAAACGAAGTCCAGCCTGCTTTAACGGCCTGTGCCGGACCCTGCTCGCGGCGTCTCCCTGCAGAAGCATGCGGGGCAGTGCAAGCTGCCCACTAGCTAAACAACTTTGTTTTTCAGTTTCTGTACACGGTCACTTCTCTCCTCATCCTTCCCGCAAACGGTCGGCTAGCTTTTAACTCTGACCTATACCATCCACCAAGGGATCAAGAAAACAAGGTGGAAGAAACCGTGGCTGGTCCACTGCGTCTACTTGGTCGAGAAGTCATGGACCAAGATCGCAACGTCACGAGAATGCGCTTTGGCACGACCAAGAATAAATTCTAGTCATCGAAGACGATCGAAGTCGAAGTCGCCCAACTCAAGCCATAAACGGAATCATCGCGGTATTAATTGTATATAACCGCTGAGTATGAATAAATGTAAGTATGTACACGGTATTGCTGCTGTGGGAGCTCGCTTGCCAGAGTATGGGCACTGCCTTTAAAGGCAGTGTCCGGGCAAAAACTCGGTTTTGAGATTTTGTGCTTACCCGGGCCTATTCGCTACGCCGAATCCGAGAATGCACATTGAAGAGCGCGAAAACGGCGAAAAAACGGCTTTACACGGGATGGAAATTAGCAGATGGGTGGGGTCCTCCCCACTGTGAATTTACGCTCCCAGCTTCCGGAGCTGTCTTCTCGCTTTCGGTTTCAAGTTCATTCGCACGTGGGCGGTAGCGATCGACGGCTAGCGGAATCGAGAAGACCGCTCAGCTGGGAGCATGAATTCACAGTGGAGAGGCCCACTTGCTGTTTCCCTCCTGCGCTAAAGCCGTTTTTTGCCTTTTTTTGAGGTGGATGTTTGGATTCAGCATGGCGAATGGGCCCGTTTAAGCACAGATCAAAATCGAGATTTGCCCGGACACTGCTTTTAAAGGAGTCTCCGGACAAAAGCTATGTCTTGCAAGTCCAACTACCTGAGATTACCTGTAACGCTGAATCCAGAAATCCACGTTAGGTATACGCCATACTTGACCCACTTGATCCGCTTGATTCAATTGACCCACTTTGGTATTGGTCAAATCACTGTACTGACCAATAGCGAAGTGGATGAAGTGAATCAAGTGGATCGAGTAATATCGGCCTTGCTATTGGTCGATCCATTAATTTGATTTGCTCAATGGCGAAGCGTATCAAGTGAATCAAGTATGGCGCAGAGCGCAAATTCGGAGAGAACATGCATCTTCCAAGGCCTTCCAATCTGAGGGTTCCTTCATACTACGCCGCAGGACGCAGCAGCATGCCGCAGCACGCGGCGTCCTGCGCGTGCGCCGTAGCTGTCGCAGTGAAAATATACGCCAGCACACTTCGCTGGTTATGGATGTTCTCTGTATTTGTTGCACGTTCGTGTCCTCCGAGGGCCTTTCACAGCGAGCGAGCTTATATTTTCACTGCGACTGCAGCGGACATGCCGCGTCTTGCGGCGTAGTATGAAGGAACCTTGAATTAGGACGAGTGGAACAGTTCCCGCCAAGGCTGACAGGAAGGGTCGCCGGGATCCTATGATCGTCTCCACGATTCGTGTAGAGGTGTATTGCAGACTTTGCCTGATAATACAGGTAAACTTGTTGAACCTCCACGCATAGCATTGTTTTTTCTACTCTCTCGCTATCAAAAACCGCCACGCTTTGAGTTGGCAAAACCCCGCCTCTACACGAATCATGGAGCCGATGATACAACTCAAACTGTAGCGGCATGCGCACTTTGCTGCAACAGAAAATCCGCAGGTGGTGGGCTCGCCCACGGCGTAAATTTCCCAGCTTTGCGATCGTATTGCTTGCTTCCGGTCAAACGTTATGGGCTCGCACTGGGTAGAGGACTATATGTCGCCGAAAAAGGGCGGTCCCCGTGGTCACTTGCGACAAATACGCACCCTTGTACATGCGCGGACATGCGTTCCTGCAGGGAATCCGCGCGGGACTCTTCCAAATTCGGCGACATAGTCCTCCACCCGCTCGCACTCGCGCGACGCCTGCTTGGGGAAGGGGGGGGGGACGCTTTCGCATGACAAATTCCTCAGCCCCCACCTTGTAAAGGCCCAAGAAGAAAAAACTGGTTAGGTTGAAACATGCGAATGTCTAAGGTTAATGGCATCCTTTTTACCTGTTAAAACTTATTATGTTCCTATTTCATGTTTTCATGCTCTCCAAACGTTCTATTGCTTCAATTTCGAATTGTTGTGCATTGCAGTTCCACGAAAAAATCGCATTTTCTTTTTTTAGCAACTGCAAAGCGATAAGCTTATACCCTGTCAATACCAAAGAAGATAACGCGAGAAAACACGAGAAGCAGTCATTTCTTCAACACTCCCACCCAAGCACCTTATATATAAACTAGTTGGGGCCCATTTAACTTCGGGAATGTTCGTAGGTGTTCAGTGTAATGCAGAACGTTCGCCCACACGTCTTCGCTCTGCACGCGGCAGGCGCTGTCGCTTGCGGCATTTGCTGCGACGAGAATTTTAGTCCTCGCTGGCTGTCAGCTGATCGTCGCGCCTCAGCTGTCGCTTTATCAGTATTTCACATTTGAGCATCAGTCTTCTGTCAGACGGGTATTTCGCCAGGAATAGCTGATAGAAATGGGTCGTATTTTCATCGAAAACCATGGTATGATTTGTTTATTAGTACCTACTTTTACTCTTTGTGGAAAAAGCATAAGAAAAGCAGTTTTCAGGCGGAACAAGGTTGGTTGTCTGTCGTTTCTGCAAGACTTATCTCACTAATCGCAGTGAACTGATCTCAAGCAGATTCCAGGGTGAGCACATTGATAATGTCGCTTTTTTGCTGGCACAATGATTTCAGAGCCAATGACTCGAAATCATCTTTCATTTTATCTTATCCAGTTTCCTCTGCAGTTACACTAGTTAGAAACGAGCAAAGTGACTATGTTTCGAAAAATGAATAAGTTTGTTATTTGCAGATTGTATCAAACCTAAAAAATATCCCATTGCACATGTACATCTTGCAGTAGACCTCCCATGTTCACCTTTTTCGTAGCATTATTATGCACGAATTTTTCCAGAACGGAATAACTTGATATGATGAGAGAACGAATCTTAACTGTGCACCTGTCAAAAAAGATGTGTCACTGATTGCATTCTTGGTACTCCACCCGTCTCAAAGAATGTGACTAATCGAAAACACATAGGTCACACATAAATACTTCTTCAAAGACCATTGGTCATAGCTAGTTTTGCCTTTTTTTACTCCCGGTGAGTATTTGCATGATCATCTGAGGCTGATCATCCAACTTTTTATCCTATTGAATGTGATTGAATCATAATTACGGGAAGTTTTCAATCCTTGCGGATAATGGTGGACTGAGTAAAGGCTTGCACTTACAAAAGGAACGGAAATAATGAATATAATTGCGAACTTTTTCATGCTTCACTACCAAGACATAGTGAAGTGAATGTAGATTTAAAACTTATTTCACTACCAGATATCATTTCAGAGTTTCAAATCAAATTCGCTGAATCTTGGCGTTGTGAAATTCCCGTATGCATATTCAACTCTAGGCAGATTTTAGCTGATCCCGATTCTGCCATTAAAGCAAGTTATAGTAATCTATTTTTTTTTTTGCTGTGAGAAGCAGATAGGGACGCAAGTTTCGGTTCTGAAGGTTTCATTCTTCTCATTTTTGCTCGAAAGGGTAAGCGCTCGCGATTTTGCTTCCATCTAATCGATATCGACGGAAAAATGTGCTATTTTTTTCGGACGACAACGCTTTTTTCTTTTCAGCGAGGCAACTTTGACGAAGCTTATTATCACGCCGGCTTAAGTTCTCATCTGCTCACTTTTTTCCAGGATCATCCGGTCGGGCAATGTTGTTCCATCGCGCTTGGAATCTTGACTACTCAGAAGCGCAGCATAGAGACATGATGACTGGCAAACACATCGTTCGCGATGTCATGTGCAGAATTTGTCATGTGAGTGGTTTTATATAGTTAACAGCATTTTAACTTTCATGTTTATGTTTACAGAAGAAAGTTGGTTGGATGTACGAGTTTGCTATGGAAGAGTCTCAGCGCTACAAAGAGGCTCGTGTGATCCTTGAGAAAGCACTCGTCGACGAAGAGGATGGGTTTCCCGATCCTGCTGGCGCACTTGAGACGCATGAGCAGCCACCTTCGTGAGTTTTTTCTTTTTGAGAACTTCTCTTGCAAGTTTTGGATGGACCCGGCCAGTCATTGTTCTGCTCACTTTTGCATGTTTATGGCAACGCTTTTCGTTATGGTTACTCTGCTGCACGATTGCGAAGTACAGTATTTGGCCAAACTTCCAAAGGCCGAAAGTTAATGTGCTCCCAACAAGATTCGCACTAGAGCGCCAATCTTGTTCGGAGCACCTTATTTCCGGCTTATTTTCTGCCGGCTATTCTATTAAGATAAAAGTAACAATTTTTTAATCGTTTCACACTAGAAAAGTAATGTTTTTAAGAAAGTTTAAAATCGCTTTTTGCTTTAGTTTCTTATGTACCTGGGGTGATTGTTTGCATTTTGCGATATCATCGTTACTGTATTAGAGTAATCTTCAACTACAGAAGAACATCAAAAAGTAAAAAACAAAGATGTAAAAAGTTAATCAAAGTGCAACAGAAAGAGGCAAAGTCGGCGAATGCTTACTAAGGATAGTAAAAAAAGTATTGAAAGCAGTATTCGAATCACCATGAAAAATAAGCCCAGGCACATAAGAAATCAAAACGGAAAGCGATTTCAAGACATTCCGAAAACATCACGGCGCTTTTCGGCTATCCGGGACTATACTTTGGACCGAATCGAATAAATATTCGAGTATTCGAATAAAGTATTCGAATAAATTTTATTCGAAATTCGATTATTCGAAAATTTCAAAATCTCGAATATATTCGATATTCGCTTATTCGATATCAATTTCGAATTTATTCGATTATTCGGTTATTCGAAAATTTTGATTTCCGAAAATATTCGAACATTCGAATATTTATTTTCAGAAGTTATTCGATTATTCGACAATTTCGTGTAATCGAATAACTACATGACAGCGTCACAATTTTGGCTGCTATATCAGCAACCATCGTTTGTTGTCTAAGTTGCCCACTGCATGGAGTCATTCACTGTGCTAATTTGATCAAAATTTGGTTGAATATTCGACATGAACGATGCAAAATATTCGTTTATTCGAATTTTTTTCTTAAACATATTCGACTATTCGAATTTTTTTTCATTTCGAATATATTCGATATTCGATTATTCGACATTTTTATTTTTCGAAAATATTCGATATTCGATTATTCGACATTTTTATTTTTCGAAAATATTCGATATTCGAATATTTGACATTTTTTGTTTTTGAAAATATTCGAAATTCGATTATTCGATATTTTTGATTTTCGAATATATTCGGTTATTCGATTATTCGAAAAAATTCTCGAATATTCCAAAGTATATCCGGGACCCAAAATCTTTTGTCATGGATATCGCTCAAACTTGACACAGAGGGGTTATCTGACGTGGTGATGACGAATATCACCTTTTCTCCGCAGGAAAACGCCTCCCTGCAGGGTTACGGCAGATTTACGGTAGGGGTCAAAATCACAAATTGGCAAATGTATCTTTCCCCTGTGGTGCTTAGGCAAAAGCCGCAGCAGGGTGTGTAGCGCGCGGCGGTGGTCATGTGTGCAAAGCTTCACGATCGTCCGAATCGCTGTACACCCGTTTCAGGCAGAACTATGTTTTACACTCGTTACCGTGTAGCAACCGTAATTCGAGAAAGACGCTACGGTTCAAAACCAATGCGATATTTGGCATCAGCGGGCCGAATAACCCCTCTGGGCCAAGTTTCGGGCAAATCCGTGATCCTGACCCCCTACCGTAGTCCTACCGTAACTTCACCGGATGGCGCTGTCGCACGAAATAAACATCATATTCATGTTCAGCATGCCAAATAACCCCCCTAGACGAAGTTTCGAGCAAATCCGTGGTTTTGACCCCCCTACCGTATACCTACCGTAACTCTGCAGGGAGGCGTTTTCCTGCGGAGAAAAGGCGATATCCGTGATCAGCATGTCAGACAACCCCCCTGGGCCAACTTTGAGCGAAATCCATGACAAATAAGTTTTGGGGTCCGGGTCGAATAGCGCCAACATCACTTTTCTAGTACTAAATAGTAATGAAAATAGTGGAAATGAAAAAAGAAACTGTTACTTTTATCTTAATAGAATAGCCGGCAGAAAATAAGCCGGAAATAAGGTGCTCCGAACAAGATTGGCGCTCTAGTGCGAATCTTGTTGGGAGCACATTAACTTTCGGCCTTTGGAAGTTTGGCCAAATACTGTACTTCCACGATTGCATAATCATCTGTGCATAAATATGCAATATTCGGTTTGACTTTTTCCAGTCGCCTGGCCAAAAGTGTTGCTCGCTAATTTATCCTTCTTTGACTTTTGTTTTCAATATATCACCAGTGAAATGTGCCATTCTGCGCTTTTTAGGTCACCCGTGTTTGAAACTTTTGGGGGCCGTCGTGGAATTCGCCTGACAGCCCTATCCAGGTCGGATTCTCGTCTTGCTAGCAGAACCACAACGCATCCTCCTGCAACAGCAGCTGAATCACCATAGTCCGTATTTGTATATTTTCCTTCATGACATCCATTCGCATGCCGTTTCGTGTATATATCGGTGGTAGGGATCAATAACTTCTTCTGAGGAGTTTATGCATCAGTGACTTCAAATCTGTCCTCATTCCATACTTTTCTGTTTTTGTGTCATTGATCGTTCTATTGAAGACATATACTTTAAAGCAGTGCACAAGTCCTATTACAGTCGTATCCTTCACATTTAAGTCCTATTATCTGTGCAACAGCTTTAGGGTGACTCACATCTATTTTTTGTCATGGTTCCACTATTAGAAGTTTGATAAATACTTTATTATGAGTTTTTATCCGTCAACATGGTCTACAACCGATATCGCCATTTTTGATCTTCGTTCTTCGTTCCCCTCAAGTATCATGTTTTTTCAGATGCCACGAGTGTTCCTAGAGCATTGGGGAGGACGGCGCACATTCTCATGTGAAAAGTGTGGTACCTATCTATCAAACAGGCAAGAAGTTGTTTCTACTCGCTTTAGTGGTGAGCTAGATTAGTTTCCTCAGTTCTTACCTTATTCTGCCACTCTATCCATTTTCTTTGGATTTGAGTGATGTAGATGGGAATATCTATGCAATATGTCTAGCAAGTCGATTGACTGTTTGATTCTGTGACTAGATGAAAAGTTGAATGGTGCTGCTTCTGCACGATGAATCAAGTGTTTACATTGCATGTTTATGTTAAGAGCTGAGTAAATATGTTTTTCACATCAATTTCTCATTCTCTATCGTAATGCAACTTTTTAACAACGTTCTTATTTCATTAAGCGCTGCAGTTGCATGTTTCCCCAATTAACTAACATCATCGTTTCCCTTTACACCGCTCTAATAGCTCTATAACCGTTTTGTTTTCCAAAACAGTTCCTGATAATGTATGTTTGTTGTGAATTTGAAGATTATTTTTCGTGCCCAGATTTGGAGAATATTCTGGCAAAATTATCATTTTGAGTTTTCTGATATAGCGCTAGTTAGCTTTTTGTAGCAAGTGTACGTGTCTAGTTTTTTTCTATGTCGACGTAATATCTGCTCCTTCTTGCGTGTTTGAGAATGTTTTGCCATCTAAAAATCTCAAATCATTAGTGCTTTTGAATCAGTCGTGAGAAAGTCCAACTTTCAGGCTCCACAGGAAGGGCGTTCCTCTTCCGGCGTGTCGCGAATGTGCGTTATGGCGAACCGGTTGCAAGAAAACTGACTACCGGTACTCACCTGGTCTGTGTTCGTTTTGCTGTGCTCTATTGTATCTTCGCAAATCACTTTTCAGATTCGTGAAGCGTTCTGTCTCGTATGTAACACGAAATTAGGGTGGATGTATGAGTTTGCGCACGAAAGCGCGGAAAGGTATAAAGAAGGCGAGTCATAGATGTTTGATCAGCCGCACTTTTGCGTGAAAACATAACCAATGCAAGGGGTCTTTAGGAAAGTGCATCTTGGAGCGAAGACTTGTACGTGAAGTGGAAGTGACTAATCCACGATTAGCTGAGCGTTTGTTTGAGCATGAAGGCCCAGCCTCCCCCACAAAACTCCGAGTGAACTGGAAGAGGTTATAAATGCTGGTACCTCTCTAGAGTTGAAGATCTCAGTTGTGTATATCTCCTTGCAACGGGGACCAAGTATATGCTGTTTGTTGTTGTTGTTATATCTTCTGCTCAACATTGTCTTTCTCAATAATTCGCTTTCTAATAAATGACATTTTTGATTTCCTTATCATTTGGAAGGTCGTGTATCTTTATCATATATTTATCGAATTTTACAAAGGCAACGTTCTAATTTTTGCTACATAATTTTAGATTTTAGATGACGGTATTTCATAAAAATAACAGTATGGACGACTCTGACGGCGAAAACCAACGACCTTTTGAATGTAGTGCAAGGTCAGTCATGTTAGAATTGAATGCATTATCTTGAAAGTCGTTAAGATTTATCTAGGACAACATCTATGATTCCGATTACTTTGTAAGGGGTCATTGTCAAATTTTATGTATAAGATCACGGGCTGAATTTCGTTTCATATTTTGGTCGCCTGTATTTGTTTATTTTTAGTGGTGAAGAGACAACTTTCAGAACACGGAGACGCAGGAATTATAACAGAGAACGTTCAGGTATGACTCTGCAACCTTTCCCATTTATATGAATGTTATAAAATTCGTTGAGTTTTGCGTGATATTTTCAACTTCGAAAAGCAGTCTTCTATCCTTAAATTGCAACCTTTGAAAGGTAATGGTCCTGTACGGGGACAGAAGAGGTTTTTCGCAAGGCCCAACTACAACTCGGAAGATGCTCAAAAACATGGAGATATCTTTGTTGTTGAAGTTTAACGCTCATGTTTGATTGACGCACCGAAGGGAATTGTTCTGCACAGCGTGCAGTAACAAATAACAAATACTTTGCATACAACAAAAAAAAGTTATAATCTTCTCAGCTGATGCTGGCCTAACGCCATGAATAGTTCGTTCGTGGCCAAAGACTGGACTAGTCTCAAAGGTCAGTTCAATGCTTCCAAATAGCACATCACATGATTTACGGCTTTTTTACTTGAACTTGGTTCTGCAAGACAGAGTCAAATGATTTTGTTATGTCGATGTCACAAACCTCACAGAGTTAGACAACTTACCGTTTATTAGAGACGACAGAATCAGAAAACCAAAGTCACGTAATGATGTTTGGGAGTTATACGGAAACTGCAAATGTACGAAAAAATTACGTTGAACCAAATTTGGAGAAGCCAAGTTTTGGGTAGAGGTGGCTGAGCAGCACGCTCCGGGTTCTGTTGGTCTTCTTTCGGCGAGGTGAGTGGCTCGATACCACCTTGTTGCTTCTTCGCCGCGAAAGTCACTCGGTCCTTTATTTCCGAAGCCGGGCGACTCTGCAGCTAAGAACATGCGAAGTCGGCTAATGAACCCTTTAGCGTCAAAACAGGTTCACCCCTTACCAGAAAGCACAGGCACCGGGAAAATGAAAAATTTTTACAATGTAACCTCGAGTCATTTGTAAACTAAGCCCTATTAGCGACGACAACCATACTAGTAACTTGTGTTGTTGTGTTCTACTGACTAACAGATAACCAACTAAAACAAAAGAAACAAGGAGACAAGGAGAAATCACTGGAAATGAGCAGGTTCTAGTTTCGCAGTTTGTCAGTTAGCGTGTATAGTGTGCACTACTCATATTAACTTACAAATGACTCTACGATATAATGGAATAGTTACGAATCGATTCTCTGCCCCAGGCGTTGAACTAGAATGACATCACATCATGTTCCAAATTTTGATTTGGAAGTAGTTGCAACCAGAAGTTAATCACGTTGTTTTACCTTGGAAAATCTGAGCACCTCGCTTACAGAGTACTCTCGACGTGGATCTGTCTCTCCTGGTGCCAACTCAGGTGATGAATACGATGTCGGATTCAAAGATGAGAAAGTACGTTGGTCACAGCAGCGTGTCGATTTAGTGGAATTCCTCATTCGCTTTGGTGATTTTAGTCGATTTTGTATCTAGTAGATTGACGGCTGCCCTCTTGCGCAAGATAAATAAAGTTTGTCTTAGATGGATGCCGATTTTGCTCTTCTTCTGAAGAGAACTCGAGGTTTCGAGATAAGACCAGTACGAGGAGATGGGTCATGCATGTTCAGAGCTGTTGGTGGGTTGGGTTTTGGTCATCTGGATTTTTGGAGAAAGTCACAGCCTTAATGCGATCATTTAGCTGACCAACTTTATGCTGATCAAGAAATGCATGGAGAAGTAAGAAGACTTTGCATGGATTACATGGTTCGTTTACTCTAGCCCGTTTTTTTTTCACGCTCACTTTTGTTTTATTTCATCAGGCTCGTAATCGAGAACATTTTGCTCCATTTGTTGCTGAAGATTTCTCGTCCTACCTCGCTCGCAAGCGCAGGCTCGGACAGCACGGGAATCATGTGGAATTACAAGCCATTTCAGAGATGTGCGCTCGTCCAATAGAAATTTACGAATACAGTGAAAGTAAGAAATTTTCTTCTTGAGCGAGCGAACACTGTACACAAGGCTTTTCTTGTAGTCCCTCGAAACATCTTCTATCCAGCGATAAACAGACTGGAAGTGCTGGTGCCCATTCGTCTGAGCTATCATGGTTCCTCTCACTACAACTCTGGTGAGTGTTGTTTTTTTTCTTCAGTTTTTCTTTGCATTTTCTTCTTTCCAACTATACAAACTTCATTTCCAATTTTACTCGATCTTAATATCTCACTAACTGCTTTCAAACAGCGTATATTCATGGAAGAGCTGGTTCTATGTGATCTAAGAACTTGTTTTAGTCGTAGATCCATACGCTCCTGCTGTTGGAGTGGTAGGGTTACCTAACTATGCTTCGCCCGGAGCCAACAATGTACGACAAGCTGTCAAAGACAGCAGTGATGAATGCGTGGAGCAAGCGATAATGCAGAGTCAGCTTGAACTCACAGATCTAGAACGAACTGAGAGGGAAATCATCGAGCAAGTGAGTAATAAATTAGTCGCCAGTGTTGATTGACAGCACATCAGTTTTACGAGTACTCACATGATGTCATCGTGTAACTAATAGTTTGTCTTCGGACCAATAAGAAAGCGGGTAACCATTTTATGTGCATTTGTGAGTCTCATATCCCTACAATCAGATCAAACGGTATGTCAATAGTGCTGGGCATTTTCTTGAATCAATTCTTTATATTAGCTTGGTGCGAAAGGTTCCTTGTGTAATTCGGAAATTCAATAACTTTTTGATGCTTGAACCTAAATTCAATTCCTAAAGTCATGTTGTCCAACAGTATTAGAGGTGTGCGCCCCTTGAGGATATTTACGCATAAGACTTCATGAGCTAGCCCTGAGAACGAAGCTTCCAAAAACGCCGTTTTAAACTTTGCGTTTTTGAGTTTGGTGCTAGGAAATCGCGGAGGGTCGCTAGCTAGCCCAAAAAAAGTTTAAAAATCCACAGCAAAAGTCCATACGTTATTGTGGCAGGCTTCTATTTCGTACAGAATGCAGTATAAAAATTTTTTGATTGTCATTTTACAGGATAAATCTCCCTATCTCTGCTTTCTCACTGAAACACAGCTTTTGGAAACGGAAATGAGACATAGTGTCTATTTAGAGCATTAGAGTACTGCATTAGTTTTGCTGTACTGTTTTTGCTGAAAAGTGGAGGATTTTTCCTGTAAAATGACATTTTTCAGATTTTTTTTTCAAATATCTGCGTTACCGTACGAGATTGAAGCCTGCCAAACGTATGCATGCGCTTTTGCTGTGTGAGTAATTTTTACAAAATTATTTAGACTAGCTAGCGGCTCTCCACGATTTTCTAACGTCAAAGTCAAAATTGCAAAATTCAAAACGGCATCTTTGAAAGGTTCGTTCTCGGTGGCCTAACTCATAGAATGTTAAGATTGAAGTCTGTTATGGAGCCCAAACCTACTACTATATTTAGGAAACCGAACTAGAATTTAGGCTTGATATGTAAAAGCAGTGCCGAACTATAAATTTAGGTTTAATTTTGAAATACTATTAGATTCCGTTTGATTTATGCAAGAACTTCCGCACTAACCTAATACTTATGAGTCACAAATTTGTTGGAGGTCTGGGCTGGAGTCTGTAGTTCATAGTAAATATTTTTTACTTTTGATATTTAGGTTGAGCGTGATTCTCGCCTGGATTACATAGCAAACGAAGGTGCTGAGCCTTCACCGCAGACTTCGTCTAACCTTTATGAGGAGCTTCTGGCTATCCAAGGTAAGCACTTAAAGTATTATATTATGTTTCACAGAATTTGTGAGAGCTTGTTTTTACCACATATACAAGGAAAACGTTGATTCAAAGTGACTTGTAGATGAAATCTGTCTTTTTTTTTGAAGAGCAATGCTGATAATCTAGACTTGTAGATGAAATCTGTCCCTTTTTGAAGAGCATTGCTGATAATCTATCTTTTTGGTTTGCGCCTTCAGACGCTTATTTATGATTTTGGGTCAAATTATGCTACTAAACTAAAGTATCCAGAACTGCGCAAAGGAACCAGTGAGTATCATGCACTCTATGCGGATCCCTTTATCTGATGCATAGTCAACATTGCTCAAATCTGGATCGCATTTATTTTTCGCTTAAAAAAACACTTTATAGGCATAACACGCACAGCAGATAAAGGGGAAGTGCTCATCAAAATGGTGTAGAAACATCTGAAGGTTTGAAAGCGCTGATCATATTACACTTTTCGAACTAGAGAACAAGTATATCAAGTCTTTTTTGGGCTTTGGCACTGAATTGATATGCCTTTTCGGCTTTGAGGCTTTTTCTTTCTTGATTTTGCGATGGAGTTTTATCTAATGCAGCTGGGATCTTTGCGAAATCGGCGAAACAAAGTATCCAGGTAGATATAACACTAATAATTATTGGTTTTGCAAATGGGACTGCGCTTCAAACTGCTCGTGTTCTATGCTTATATTTGGGAGGAATTAACGAAATCAAACCTGCGGGAACGAACATCCGAGATGACAATCTCGGATGTTCGTTCCCGCAGGTTTGATTTCGTTAATTGAATCTGATGGATAAGATAGAACTTTGAGCAGTACATCACCGCCCGTGACTATATCTTTACATCACCACCCGTGACTATCCAGGTGGATATTCCAACGATAATACCATTGATTTTGCAAACGGGACTGCGCTTCAAACTGCTCGTGTTTTATGCTTGTATTTGGGAGGAAAGAAAGAAATCAAACCTGCGGGAACGAACATCTGAGATGACATAACAATCTGACGGATAAAATTGAACTTGAGCAGTACATCACCACCCGTGACTATATCTTTGCAAGAACTAAAAAAGTTTTACAGTCTGCTTTAGGAGATGCACCAAAGCATCTTTTTTAGAGTGTGGTGGATGGCCGGACAACGAAATGGACGAAGATTGTGCGCTTGCCCAAGCTTTAGCGATGAGCGAAGTAGCCTATATGCAAGAACTTCAGCTCAGATTCGGTTGTGATTTTGAGGATACTAACAACAATGACAGGAGAGCTTAATTTGTGTCGGTATTTCATATGCGTTTCAAATATTATTTATATGCTCATTTACAGTGTTTGTGGATAGTTCGCTAGTTGTCGATTGCCTGCTGTCATAATGTGCTTTTATCGAGTGAGGCCCTCACCTTTGTGATGTATACGTCCAATAATTAAGCTTTCATCTCATTCACGTTTCCTGGTAGCTGGTATTCCTTTCTTTTCTGCATGACATTTCAGGAGGGCTTTTATGAGCATAATTAGGACACGTGTTTGATCAGCATTAATACTTTGTACCCAGTTCTCTAACTTGTGATAGTATCATGTTACATGGAGTTATTCGAATATATCCAGTGCATCTTAAATTTACACTATGTGCATAGTGAAATTTTGCTGTCTTCTTGTCGAAATCAATAAAAATTGGTCTACGGGATGAAAATGAACGCGACGAGTAGGCAGCACAGATATTTTTACTTAGTTTGAGTTATGACTATGAAATGATTTCATACTCAGCATTAACATCAACAAAATGTGTCAGAGCATCATAGTCATTGTATAACTTTGGTAATCAGATTCCATCACTTTTTTTTTGTGCTTTCTGTCCTCCTCCTTTTTCCATTTGCTTTCGTATGGGGTCAGCACAACCTGACGCGCAATTAGCTACGCATGATCTACTGCTAACATCAAGCACCTATCTTTGATCTTGCTGGACAAGTAAAAGAATCTACTCACACTTCTATGATTATGTAGATCACTTTTAGAACTCCTGCGAGGGAGAGGGAGAGTGGGAACTCTCAATCCACCTACTTTGGAAAGTACAGTCTAGTAGATTTACGTTTAATAAATGTAGTGCGGTGACCACAAATGTGCGCGGAATCAAATGTTTTGTATGCTCACTTCGCTAATCGCTTGGCCGATTTTTGCGACCTGCGTGTAAAGAAATGGCCTAGCGCGCTTTGCCATTGTTTACGCGTAAATGCTAATGGCTACGCAAGAGCACTACAGTAAACGACATATCTACTAGGCTGCATAAACTGTAGAGGTAAGTACTATGTTTAGCAGTTGAAGCCTAAGCCTCACTTCACCCCTGTAATCATCTCCATCATCACTTATTTTTTCGATTCTCTTCGGACTCGACAGGCCTAAGAGCCTACTTTGGAATGTTTAACCTATCGTCACTAACGTCAATGACTTCCTCGAGATAGAGACGGCTTTAGTCGACAGGGTCACCGATTCGGCAAACAGTCGGAGGTCGGTACGATGTTTGAGGTGCCAAGGCGAGCCAGTGCATTTACGCAAACAGTGCCCACTCCCTCGCATACTTACTAATTGTTCCGCGATTCACCTTCTCTGGAAGCGGATCAATACCGATTATACTTTCATTCCGTCCACCAAATCTCATGCGTTTCTCCCATTTTCAATCAAATCGATTTCTTCAAGAAAATGTCAAGCAAGTGGCATAAAAATGGCGTGAATTTCAATAACAATAAAAATGGCGTCGGCGATTGCAAATAATATGTGTGTGTATGCTTGCTTCTTTTCTTAGTGGTTTTGCTTTGTCGAGAAAAATCTCTTACCATGTTTTATACCAGAACTTTTATTTCAGACGTTTTTTCCAAGCTTTCTTCAACTAATTACCTAAAATATCATACCGCTCTTAATTGATCTATAAAGTCGCCGCATTTCGTGGGAATTCACCGCAGCCCACGTCTCATCGCCATATATTGGTTCAGAGTGGATAAATTCTGAATCCAAGAATACAGTTTGAATCACCTCGACGAGGCGCATCGTCTGATATGCAGAAGTGGTCGTTTGAATATGGTAGGCGGTTAAAATTCGAGGATCATTTTAGATATTTACATACAGTTGGTTACTCAGAGTGCTTGTTCTATTGCACACCATGTAATCTACCGTAGACAAAAATCTAAAAAGATCTGTGATTTCTGATCGCCTTCTTATCCAAGCGGGTACTCCTATGTATTAGAAGATGTACCTCGTCCGATTTGAGTCAAAAGGTCCTTGGATTTTTAATTCTCTCCTTTGAACCGTGATATGGCGATAAGACGCGGATTGCGGTGAGTTCCGGCGGATTGTGGAGACTTTTGGACTAAAGATGAGCGAGGTTGTCGGTTTTTAAGGGAATGCACCAACTGTCTAATAGTAGTGACTCTCCTACTTTTTGTTTCTCACAGGTTAGAAATTAGCATAAAAGCAGTCTTCCATGACTGACAGTAACCCATCACCGACTACTTCTATTGGTGTGAACTAAGGTTGTGCATTCTTGAGAAAATTTTGCCCCACGAAAAACGGAATTTTAGCGGGTGATTCTTGGCCTATATGAACACGCTTGCTTCAAACTTGGCAGTTGAAGCAGTCATCCCAAATGGATTGAGAAAGATGTAGATCTTAAAGGGTTATTAGCGATATAACAGTGGTTCACTTCTTTTAAAAAGGTTATGGTATGGCATCAGAGGACGCACGCTCAGTGCTTAATGTGGTCCTTCAAAGCCTCTGCGTATCTTATGCGGCTATCTTACATATTCTTGCTCTTAGCGGGCCTTTAGGGCCGGGCATACTTCCCGCGATTTCAGTCGCGACGAGATTTGGCAATTCGCCAGAAGTCTTCAGATCCAACACTAGTAAACTGCACATGCACAGTGTGTATAACTTAAGTGGATTGATGATATGCCCTAACTTCTATGCATTTAAAATATACTTACAGTAAGTTATGGACAGTTGGAACATTGCCAAATCGCGTCGCGACTAAAATCGCGTGAAGTATGCCCGGCCTTTTTGACGACTGCTAGAAATATTACGTTTCGTTCAATTTGACAAAAAATCATTTTTGAACAAATGTTTATATTATATATGCCCGGCAAAGTTTTTTTACCACAAAGCTTTCCCTGTTGTTGTTAGAAACTGTTACAGGAGAACAAGTATTTTCGAAGCAAGATTTAATGATTTATCGGACAACCTTTTGAATCTGCAGAGGACTAATTTTGTGGATAAAAATATTTTACCTTTGTCTACGTGGCGATACAATGGAGATCATAATCTGTTGTTTATATATCTCTGCATCCAAAAATTTGGGAATTTCCACCCCTTTGCGCTTGGAAGTTAGTTTTTGGGTAATCCAGATTGCTTGAATTTGACCATCTATGGTCGTGCAAATTGTTAGAAATTTCAGAATTTGCTATGCGGATGTCAGTCTTGCATCTTACGCCCAACTTCAATTCGTTTTTTGGAGCATGATTTTTCGAAAATTTGATGAAAAGTTTTGACTATTCTAATTTTCTGCACAACTTTTGTCGTAATGAATCATTGCCGCGTAAATAGAGTCGACTATCCGATTCTCTTTGATTTGCTCTCTCCGATGGTACCATACATTCTTACATAAATCTATATTTAGAAATTAAAAAAAACGCCCGAACGGCCTTATTTTTTAGCAACCCAATAGAATTTGTATTATTTCCATAAACAGAAGAACACGCCGAATCTTTCCGAGTCATCGGTCTATCAGCTTTACTCAGGGGTCGAGTATCTTGTACATTGTGAGTACTGCACTTTCGATTTAGCCAGCGGATCATTGGCTAACAGTCTTTCCATTCCTGGCTCTTTGTTTGTTCTCCGACTTGACCTCATTGAACTGTCGCATATTTACACTAACTGCTTACTTGCGTCCTGCTCATCGACGGTCTTTTTTTTCAATGGCCAATGGGAAAGCTTCAAAAAATACGTTTGATTAAAATTTTTGAAAATCTGTGTAAGTCCTGTTTCAACAAATTAGCCCGACGTGGGGTATGGCTAAGCCACGTCATCACTGTCGGGGGGCTCCTCGTCAGCGCATTCGCTATTTATTTTCACATCTCACGGCTTCCCGGATATGGAAACCTTTCAATCGCTTGGCTGAAGCCCTCCTTCTCTCTCTCTCTTCCCCCCCCCCCGGTCCGTTCTGCATAATGTTGCGGGCACATTCCATAATTTTTAACCGTTAATCCATGTCGTGTTCAGCCCAGTTTTCTGTGCGTCCGGGCTTGCCCTCCCCCTTTTTTTCTCCTCTTTTCCTATTCTAGATTGTTCTATATAACTATTGTTTTTTATTTGTTCATGTGGCTGATACGCCGCGTCGTACATAGTTCTTTTGAAAAGGTTTTTTTTCTGAATACCCAATTTTTGTCCTATTTTCAATGGGAAACTTTCTCTTGTATCATCCCACAATAGTTTGCAATATCTGAATGGTAGCGATAGCCTTTACAATTGTGAATGCCATTCACTCAACGCTGTCGCTGTCCAGTTCAAGGTCAACAAGTGATCTTCGTATCTGTCCCGAATGGCGCATGTTTTTTTTTTGAGTTGCAAAAATAATCCTACTCTACAAATTGATACATTATAGGGAAATGAAATTTTTGTTGAAAACTCTGTATTATTGTACAAACTCATACTGGCTAAACAATAATTTCATTTTGGCATGCAAATCTCCATAAAAACTTCTCTTGTTGTTTTTGTTTTCATCCATGTTTTTTGTAGGGAAGCAGTTCAAAGCTTCCTCTATCACATCAACAATTCAGGATTTTCTAAGATCAGTATAGATAGTTATGTCCCAATATGGCTAAGATTCCAAGCTCAATTCTTTGATTGCAAATTCGTCTTCATATTGTGATGTTGCAAAGATGATTGATGTGGTATTCGGATAAAAAGAGTTTTTTCTTTTGGACAAATAACGATAAAAATTGTGAACTGCTATTTTTGAAATCTTTGGTCAAGAACAAAACATGAAACTATCTCAGATTTGCACACAGTGGGAATTGGGGTTTTTCACTCTACTGCGGCTTTTTTTCTTTCAATAATTCACTTGAATAGAATATATTTCAATATTTTTTCTTTACCGTACCGGTTGTTATCGGTTAAAATTTATTGCCCATTTTCAAAACAGCGGGACATTTGACGTAGATATATTTCAATTCACAATGAGGTGCCCTTTCCACGAATTCCAGACTCTGGATATTGTCTTGATTATCTGTAGGAGCCCCGATGGAAGTTAAATGAAACGAAATTATCTATCGCCGATCCAACAGATAGACATATGTACCGAATTTAGTCATATTGAGGTGTTTTAGGAGGGAGGAAAATTATGTTCGATCTCAAATCTGGAGTAAACAGTTATCTACTTGTTTTCTGCGAATACATCTAATAAGCGGTTATAAACTTTTTACCATCAATATTTATCCATCTTTCAATATAAGTAGTATATTTTTCAAAAGAAAACTGGTCATTTTTTCACTCTTTTCTGTGTCCTATTTAGGTATAAAGTGCAAATTGCGACATAAAGTGTCTGCTCAATGATCGCTGTATATTTGCATTGCTCCTACCGACTATGATTTATTTGAACAACTGCATGCCATTTTGTGCATTGATTATAATAAGCGTTTTCTCCTTATCTTGCATGCTGCTATTTTTACTTTTCTTTTTACTGCTTTCTAATGATAATTGCATCTTCTTTCCACAGCAGATGCAATTATCATTAGAAAGCAGTAAAACTAACGTAAGCTTCTTTTCGCTGAACTAAGAATTTTTTGGATTTTTTTGGTTTTTATTCGATGAGAAGGGATGTTCTCTACAATTCAAAGTTCAACTTTTTGTGACATAAATCTCTACAGCAGTATCGCCGTCTCGTGCTAGGGAATCAATGTCGGATTGCCTCCATTTAGTTGGAGGGCATATGCAGAAAGGGTGAATGGATTTCGGGGAGGGGGGGGGGGGGGCTGAGGGTGGAATACCCAAGAAAGTGCGAGTTGGAATATGCATCAAATGAGTGAAGAAGAAATCAGTATATTTCGTTTTAGCCAAAACCAATTTTTCTGAAAATCTGTCAAGTTTGTGATTCACTTAGAAATTCGTAAATTGTGGCTGGAACTATACTCTTTCATCCAAATTAATTCATTCTTCTTCTTTATTCCTTACACGATTGTACAGTTATTTCTTGAATTATAATTGGCTTACGCTTTTTCTCATGTATTCGTGCAGCATCTTTGAATTTTATCTTCGCGTATTATGTATATTTTGCAACTCTTTCTGGTATTGAAACTTTCCAAGGCCCTTTCATTTCTGCATCAGAGTCGTGCCAGCTTCGTTCCTGCACCGTACTGGCATGTGCCGGGACTTTGATCGACCATTAAGTTTCGGCACGGCGCTGGAACAGCAGTGGCACAACGTTTTCGTGCCACGCATTCGTTATGAATGGCGTACCGAAGTTGACAAGCTATTTCCGTGACAATTGGAATTCTTGCCATTTCTTGACATCTACTTTCTCCAATTGCGACATACCACCATTTTCCTATTCTTTCTTCTTTTTTTTTCTAGGGCAAACCTTCATTTCACTTTTGTGAAAATGTCACGTCTTCCCCCCTACACGATGCTTATTAGTAGTCTTAATTATTCTGAAAATTCAGAATGCGGTTGATAACCTGCACACTACTATTCTTGGTGGGTGCTTGTGCCGCTAAAGAAGAGGACTCCGAAGCAAAACCGCCGGCTTCAACGCCAGAAGGTTACGACGATCCTTGGGAATTTGAAAAAGATGGAGACGTCTATGTACTTCACGATAACGATTTTGATCTTTTTGTCAAGGAACATCCCACATTTTTAGCGGAATTCTATGCGCCGTGGTTAGTGTTTTTCTTTTTTTCTGTTAGAATGGAATTTTTGGCGCTAAAACAAGATTTTTTTGTCGAAGGCAGTCCAGGCAGACACCAGGTACTTGAGCTCCCCTATCTGACTTCTCGTCCATTACCATATTCTTTCTGAGCAGATCAAAAGCGTGCTGTAAAGTACGGTGCTGGGCGAGAGTCTATAGACGTGGGTCTGGTGGTGAAACCCTAACTAAATCGTTGGCCAAGCAAGCACCAATGATTCAGAACTCCAGAAAGTCGGTTGTATACTCTTGCCCAGTATCGTACTTTGGAGCGCGCTGATTGATCTGCTTGAAAAAATATGGTACGGGCGGAATATTGGGATCAAATTTTTGGCAATGAATCATATGAACTGCCGCTTGAGCAAAAGGCTTGCTGTAGGCTTTCCAAGCACTTTTCACATGAGAGACCCAAATACCCAGATTTGTCTGAACGTTACCTTTGTCTGGACCTCGGAAATTTTTTTGTATTTTCTCAATTTGTTGTTCAGGTGCGGCCACTGCAAAGCTTTGGCGCCAGTCTATGCAAAAGTAGCTTCGAAAGTTTCCATACCCTTAGTAAAGGTTGATGCTACCGTAGAAACTGAGTTAGCCAAAAAGTATGGTGTACAAGGATATCCAACGCTCAAACTGTGGAAAGAGGGCGAGGAACCAAGTGATTACGAGGGTGGCAGAACAGAGGAAGGTAAAGTTGATTTTCGGGTTTTTCTGCTGGGCTCTAGCTTTTTCTTTACAGATATCATTGCTTTTATCAATCAACGAACTGATCCAAATTACAAACCACCTCCAGAGGAGGTTGTGACCCTGACTAAAGAGAACTTTGATGACTTCATTGGTAGTCATGCTCTGTCTCTTGTCGAGTTCTATGCTCCATGGTAAGCTAGCTAACTTCTGGTTCTTTCTGGCTTACTGTTTTCTTCTTAGGTGCGGTCACTGCAAAAAGCTGGCTCCAGAATACGAGAAGGCTGCTCAGATGCTCAAGGTAGTTGAGCATTTTGTTTTATTGCTGTTCAAAGAAAAATTTTACCAAAAAATTGCATGAAATTTTTCGGTAAAACAATCTGTGTCTTAGCAACATTAACTTTGAAAACCGTAAATATTTTGCTCTTGTTGGGAAAGCAAAGTAGTTCTTAAAGCAGTAAAAAATTTCTCTTGCGTGAAATTAGTCACAAATTGCTTGCGTTTGCTTTCATACCTACGGTAACGCTGACTTCTGAGAATTTTTTGGGAGGCTGCTTTTTCGCGCATGAAAAAGCATTTTGCCGCTCTGAATTGCTGTAAAAGGGGGCAAAAACTGCCCGTAAACTTTTTCTTAAAGCTAGGTTGAGTTTTAAAGAGTTTTTCGAAATTTTCAAATATTTGGAGTTGATGGCACTCCGACAAATTTACAGTTTTTTGATTTCACGATCTCTTACGCAAATGTTGAATCAAAGTGTAGACTGCACTACATCGAGTGACTCCCAGTGTAGATCCAAATAAGTCCTAATTGAGGTTGAGCACTCGTAATGTACTTGTTACTTTAGGCTCAAGGAAGCCCTATCAGGCTTGCAAAAGTAGACGCCACAGTAGAAAAAGATTTAGCTGAAAAATATGGAGTTAGCGGATTCCCAACGCTAAAAATTATGCGACATGGGAAGAGGTGAGTAGAATTTTTCAAATTTTTTCAGTGAAGCTTTTATTTTATGAAAAGTTCGAGCGGTTTTTTGTATTTTTCATAGCAAGATTTTCGAGATTTCTATTTAGGTATGAATACAATGGACCACGAGAAGCTTATGGAATCGTCAAATTCATGCAAGAACAAGCTTTACCAGCAGCAAAGAAACTTGGAAGTGTTGGAGCTGTGCAGAGGTGGGGCACTCTACAATCATAACGGCTTGTTTCTAAATTATTAATAGCTGAATAATTGAATTTTTGGGATAAAAATTTACATAACTTATTATTATTATTGTTGCATCTAGAGTTTGCTGATTTCAGTGCAACTCTGAGGCTTTTATTGATTTCATCGATTTTTATCTCTTCAGATTCATGCAAAAGGAAGATGTAACTATCATCGGTTTCTTCGAAAGTGATGCTTCTCCAGCTTTTGAGCCTTTCTCTGAAGCTGCCGAAATGCTTCGCCAGGTGTGCATTTTAACTACAAGCTTTCTCAGAGATTACTGTAGATTACTGTATTTCAGGATTTCAAATACATAGGATGGGTATCAGATCCGGAAGCTTTCAAAAAATACGATGCTAAGCCAAATGATATGATCATTTTCTATCCAACGCTGTTCCAAAGCAAATTTGAACCAAAAAGCAGGACTTACAATAGAGTTAGTGTGGGGTCCTCTCCAATTTTTTCTGTTTTTTAGCATTATTATAATTTTTTCTGAGATCACTACTAATTTTTTTCTAGGAAGGTGCACCCGCTGAAGAGCTGGTCTCATTCCTTCGTTCCTTCTGCCTTCCATTGGTTGGAAAGAGAACTAAGGTAGGATTTTACCGTAATCTGTCATTCTCTTCCTCAACCTACTTTTACATTATTTTTACTTTTTTGAGGGTGTCGTTTCAAATTTGAATTTTTTTTTGCATTTTTAGGAGAATATCCCTACTCGATATGGAAAGTTCCCATTGGTGGTTGTATACTATAACGCTGATTTCTCATTACAGTATAGAGAGGGTAGTGAGTATTGGCGTCAGAAAGTGTTGAATATTGCTCAGAAGGTCAGTTTGAAGAAGAGTTTTTTCGTATTATGGATTTTCTTTATGAATTTTGCTCATTGCAGTACCAAAAAGACAATTATTACTTTGCTGTAGCTGATGAAGAAGAGTTTGCTGATGAGTTGCAAGATGTTGGACTTGGTAAGTGCATTTGTTTTCTTTCTCTCCCTCCCCTCCCCTCTCCTATTTCTGAGAATTTTTCTAGGGTTTTGGAGAGGGATTTTTTGATTGCAATTTTTTTCTAGGTGATTCTGGACTTGAGCATAATGTTCTTGCCTTTGGACATGATGGAAAGAAGTATCCAATGGATCCCGAAGAATTTGATGGCGAATTAGAAGAGAATTTGGAAGCTTTCATGAAGAAGCTCAGTGCTGGTGAGTCTCTTCATTCTCTTGATTATAAAGTTCAGATATTTTATGTTTTTTATTCAGGTAAAATCAAGCCGTACTATAAATCGGCTCCAATTCCACGTGATGACAAGGGCCCGGTAAGGATTGTTGTTGGCGCCAACTTCGAGAAGGTAGGTGATTTGGGCTTCGATCATCAAAATCGTTTTTTTTTGCCTTTCTTTGTGGGGCTAAAATTGGAAGTAGGGTATCAGAAGGGTTACACGTAGCACAAAGAGTTTTCCAGTCTTTTTTTTTCTAGTCCAAAACTTGGTTTGTTTCTCAGAGCCTCAGAATATTCTGAAGCACTTGTTTATTGTTTCAAAATAAGCTATTGTGCATATCTGAAGATAATGAGTACTTCTTAGCGAGAACTAAATGGAGAAATTGGCTGAAATTCTTACAATTTCAAAGTTACCTTCTTTGAGGAATGTGAAGCGTCAGCTTTTTTAAGAAATACAAGTAAGAAAGTTTGTCTAGACTGTAAGCTTTTGTGCAAAAGAGCTGTTATTATATCCCTATAGCACACTTAACCTCGAAATTAAAAACTTCTTGAGTTAGATTTGGATTGAGTTCGGTTAGGTTATTGAACTCATTGGAAGAGGAGGATTGCTATCTACCATAAAAGCTATTTGCATTCAATTTTTGTGCGAAATCTTTCTATAATCTTGTCTGCCACGAAATATGAATATTCCCATGTGTCAAGCGTTATATTTTATGAATATTCTGATATTGAATTATTCCAGATTGTCAATGATGAAAGCAAAGACATTCTTATTGAATTCTATGCTCCATGGTGTGGACATTGCAAGGTGAAATTAGACCTTCGCTGGTGAAAATATGGGACAAGTTCTGATTTTTATTTTATAGGCGTTCGAACCAAAATACAAGGAATTAGCGGCGAAGTTGAAGAAAACTGAACCAAATCTTGTGCTTGCTAAAATGGACGCTATTGCTAATGATGCTCCTTCGCCATATTCTGTGGAAGGCTTCCCGACAATCTACTTCGCTCCAAGTGGAAAGAAGGTAGGGCTATGATTTGCGAAACTGATTTTGGAAATGTAGGTCCTTTGGTACATATCTACAATGCGCTACCTAGCCTCATGCGACATTCAAAGGGTGCTTTTGGAAGTACCTCTTTTTCTTAAACACCCATGGAAGGAGAAGGACTCTACTTGCGACAGCGCACCGCGGTCAGTTATGGAATCCTGCCTTCCATGTACTGCGGGTTACGGTAGCATACTGTACCTGGCGTGAAGGGGCCGCTCTTGCATGATAATGGGCGATTTTGCCCTAATTTCTCTCTTCACATAAACGTCCGCTTAAGGTGAAGGAATTTTTGACATTGCATCGCGGAAAGTCACTTCCCATCTCTTTCAAAGTCACTTGGGTTACGGTAGCATACTGTACCAGATATAAAAGGGCCGCTTCCGGATGAGAAATGCCGAAATGACCATATTATTTTTATTTTTCAGAAGGAACCAATCAAGTACAGTGGAAATCGTGATTTGGATCATTTGACGAATTTCATGAAAGAACATGCAGTGAAGTCATTCAAAGGAGAAAAGAAAGAAACTAAGAAAGAGGAGAAGAAGGAAGAGAAGAAAGAAGAAAAGAAGGAGGACAAGAAGGAAGCGAAGGAGGAGCTGTAAAAGCGTTATTCACGAGAACCATCTTTATAGTCGTCTTTGTTTTTCACAGCCTTTTACGGACTTTCACCTCCTAATTCTTTCTTAGCTTTCCGAGGAGGACTAGTACTTAGAAAGATGAACTAATGCATGCCTTACTTGTTATTTATTTATTTTTTTATCACCATGGACAGTCAGCGCTGTGATCGTGTGCAGTGGCAAATAATTACTTTTCTTTCTTGGAAAATGACAAAAGCAGTTTTTTTGTGCCGCTAATGTTGTTTTCTCCTTTTTATTTTCTTTTCTCTGCGTTGTTTATTGTTATTTGATTTCTCAATGTCTTACGTGTATAGGGGTGTTTTAATGGTCGTTTGTGAGTAAACGGCTATTTGAGGATGTTTGGTGTGTTTCAAGGTGTGATTGCCGTTCATCAAGGTCTTGGACAGCTGGTCCTATCTGGAACAACTGTTAGTCTAATTAACGCCGATAAGCCTTGGTGGAACGCTTAGATGTGTAAGAATCTTGGCGAAACACAGTTGTTCTAGCAAAATGACCGGAAGCACTTGCTATGGAGCAATAAGATTTTTATTGACTAAGTGTTTGCTTATCAAAGGCAGATGCTCCCCATAATTGAAACTATGATGTCTTCAATTTGTTAATGAGAGTAAAAATGAAAAATCTGCGGAATCTTGGGTGTTTGCCTTTGCTGGAACATTTCGTGCAATTCTTGAAAATTCCACGAAGTATGAAGTGTTGGATATCATACAGCGAACCCGGAAGCTCAATCTCATTCTACCCTCTATGTAACTGGCTTGGCGGATGAAAGGCGGGGCTTCGTGACCTAATGAAGGCTAGGTAATGATCAGAGAGCACGTGCGCGAGAGAGGCGCAGGCTGCGTCGGGCGCGAGCGGCCTTACTTAGGTCACAAAGCCCCGCCTTCCAGCCTCCATGCCAGTTGAATTAAAGGGTACATTTAGCTCCTGATTATCAGCGTTGTTCTATCAGCGAGAACAAACGACCACAGCTTTCGCGTAGCCGATCAAGTACTTGGTCGGTTGAGAGTCTTGCGCAGATCTCAACTTGGGTGGGCCCGATATTAGCTATGGCTGAGATCTGACAAGTGTGTTGACATAACGGCTTCTCGTCCGTTAGGAAAAGCCTCGAAGTGCAACAAGTACTGTAAAAACGAGCAAAAATCTCGAAAAACGACACTATTACTGCTAATTTCGGCACTTTCAATGTTAAAGTATCGAATTTTTGTTTTTTGTATCACAAACATGCTTTATATTTATGAATAATTTAGAGAAAGTAGATGGAAGTGGCCACATTAGCGTTGCATTTTATTTCTAATGTGGAGTTTAGCAGCTTTGTTCTAGAACTGAAAATACAAATGTCCAAGAAATTTCACTGTCAATCAGCTATTCTCGCTTGAAGGCAATGGCTATAAAAAACTACAGCTGTGAGCTTTCCATCCCTTCTTGCCCTTCTAGATGCGCTGAGTCTGGGACTGTGCTTGATAAATCAAAAAAGTGCTTTTCATGGCGTTTTTTGGTCTTGAAGATTGCTGGAGGGGATGGGCGAGGATCGCCAACTGAGTCGCGATTGGCTGCTTGAGCCGATCAAACATTTGCAGCCGAGATGGGTGCAGTTACAGTATCCTGCATCCAGTCGCTATTTTTGAAGAGAATCGCTCGCTCAGCCCCGTCAGAATTCCCAAGGCTGCAAAATGCCAGTGAAGCACATTTTTGACTTTTGAAGCATATTTCAGGACAGCGGAACTGTAGGTGGAAAGCGTCACTAATTAAGCTACTGGCTTTGAATTCAAGCCTTTAACCACAGTTTACCAACCCTTCCCTTATATTTCACAAAGTAGCTTGATTCCATTGTTAAAGCGTATAATTCTCAAAATTTCTGGGAAAGGCGCTTTCACTACTTACATGAAATCCAATCGAAGACCACATCTGACTAGTTGCTTTGTGTGATTGCACCACTTATGAAATCTAAGCTGAGGTAATCTTGTTAGTGTTAGAATAATCAAGATTACAAAAATAGTAAAAAAGGACGAATGTGGAACATGAAAACTTGCACAAAATAACATAGGGCTTCATACTTCGACGATATCGTCCTACTACCTATTCAAAAATTGTGCAATTACACAACGGATCAGTTGGTTACTGTATATGCGATTCATTCTACATAGCTATCAACTTCAACAGGACTGGCGGCTGGAAGGCGACAGCTCGCACCCGCGACGCAGTCTCCGTCTTCCCTCGCCAGCGTACTCTCTGACCACCACCTAGCATTGATTAGGCTTCGAAGCCCCACTTTCCAGCCGCCAATCCCGTTGAGTCAAAGCGTACGTATTGTTTTGAGGTCCATCCCCCATCCCTTCCATGATTCCAAGTGAAGTAAAGATCCACATACCTCATTTACTGCCTGACCGGGTACCTCATGTTCTTCTGTAGAAGTGTGACCATGATGAACACTTAATTCTATGTAATAATGACTTTATAAACTGAACCGAAAGTTCGCGCACCATTTTCAACAACTCGTAACTTCTTTTTTTCGAAATATTTGCACAGAATTAATTTTATTAGAAAGAGGGGATAATGCGCTTTACAGCAGAAGGGCCGTCTAATGCGCATTCTATGCGGAGTCATGAGCTGAAAATTAATCGGAATTTTTCTACGTGTAAATGCTAAGAATTTGGAACTTGCAGCAACAGTTGGAGCGCCTGATGTAAGTTTTATGAATTGCTCCTTCTACCTGAGCAAAGTTGTTGATTTCTAACAAAACTATGATTTTCGAGCGAGCAATACAAACGATTATATTCTTTTATTTTGGCATTTTTCTCGAAAATAGCAACTTTTGGTAGAAATACGAATTCAATACAAACATTGCTCACGTAGATGGAGCAATCCATAAAACTTAAAATACCAATCCATTTTTAGTGCGAGCTCCTTTGGTGCAAGTTTTAGATTCTTAGCGAATCTACAAGAAGTTTTTTTTCAGAAATTTGAGTACTTTTTTCCACATCTCTTATCTATGCATAGAATGCGCCATAGAAGGCCCTTTTAGATGCTACTATAAAGCGCATTATTTCCTCTTTCTAATATAATTAATACTGTGCAAATGCTTCAAGAAAAAAAAAGCTTCAAATTTTTGAATATGGTGCAAACGAATTTTTTTTTGTTCAAGCTAATATATGCAAGTTTTTGGAACGCTGATAGTGAATATGCGCTAAAGTTTTTATGAAAAGCACTCAGAGCTTATGAGAGCACTCATAAAATTTCCTATAGCTGTAGAAACTATCTATTTACTAATGTATAAAGAATCGCGCCAATTTAAAAAACTTCATATAGCAGGAAACCTCGGCGGGTCCCGAAGCGAACGCTCCTGCAAATCCAGCACATAAGGTTACCAGTTCAGGGTTCACTAATCTAAATTCAAAGAATGCGAAAGCTTCTGCAGTTTTCTCATATACTAGATTCCTCATATTTAGGTTGCCGTCTCACATTACTTTACCTATACTTTTATGCTCCAACAGATTTCGAAAGCTCAAGTTAAGAAAAAGCATGAAAAATCCTTTCTCACCTAGCACGATTGCCATGTAAAATTAGAATGAGCAACAAAGAATAGAGCTCAAAAATAGATAAATCTTATTCGACACTGAAAGTTGTCATAATTTTACTTAATCAATCCTTGTAGAATAATACGGACAAAAAACGATCGATGGACTAAAAATGGACATTGTGGATTTTTAGCATTGTTAAAGGCGAACGCATATGCGAAAATAATCTTTGTTGAAAGTACAACGGAAGCTAACTTTGCCTGGCCATTGAAGAGGTTGCACCTTGCAAGCATTTTTACATTTTTATCATTGTTCGCCCGCTGGCAAACATATTACACAAATAATTTGTGCTGTAATATTTAGAACAAAGATGATGTCAGTGGAATTCCTTCAGTACATTACGCTCTGCAAGAGTGCATTGCGGAAATATTTCCCTCTCACATCGTGTTCATGGCTACCTAATTGCTTGTTATAAATACTCGTAACTTAAACATTTCAATTTGCTTACCTTTTGTTGAAAATTTCTTCGAGTTTCATCGGGATGGTGATGTTAGCTTCTTCTTTGTGCACGAAAAGTCGTAAAAATTGTAACATTGATTCCAGCAACGCTTGAGTCTTACCATATGGTCAACTTCACTCAAAGTGTCTGTCGCAAAATGAGCCAAAATGATTATGGAAATTTTTTAAAATACTGAGCAGATTGGGTGTCCAGACAGAGAAGAAATCTGCTGTGTTTGATATCAGAAAAGTGGATTTGACATACCACATGGCACGATTCTGAGTGAACTACAGCCAATCATACCAATGTTCATGAATAAATTTCTATCTCTAGACCTATGTAATTTTCTTTGATACAAGAAAATGAATGTATACTTAACTAATATGTATACTAATATAATATATAATACTATACTAGTACTATACTATACTATACTAATAGTATACTATACTATACTATACTACTACTATACTACTACTATACTATACTAATATGTATACTAATACTTCGAAATCCGAGCTTGTGCAAAATTGTTATGCACTAATTTGTCACCCTCTAAGTTCTTGTAAAATTGCAAGTTTGAGTACCCTACAACAGTTAAACTGAGTTGTATATCTACACTTTAACCTCGAATTTTGAGTTTATAATAAAATCTCCTAAGCTCTCATCAAGGGCTCAAACGCTGAATCACAATAGTCTCCATGTAGGACTATTATGAAGAATCGGTGAAAATGAAGCTTGTAGTAACATATCTCTGTTTTCCTGTCTGTGATATATTGAAACAGGATGACCTCCAAAGAACGTCAGTCTCGCCGCAGCTGCGTCCAATGACCGCCGTAAAGCTTCGAAGCTAGCATACGACATTACAATAACGAAGGCTAGGTCGAATAGCTGGTCAGCTGAGCTGTAAATATACATCTGAGTCACCCATAGCTTCAAATCCTGGAAGAAACCTCTTGCAAAAAATCAATAATCATGTCAAACTAAAAACCAAAAAATCAATAAGTTGTGAAAGTACGAAATGAAGTATTTTTGCTCTATACGACATCCACTTTATTTTTTTTTCACGAAAAGAAAACGATTCACGAAAAAAATGTAGACGTCTTTGAAGCTTCTAAAATCCAATTTTTCTGATGGTCAATCCTGCGCTTTTTTCTAACGCAAAACCTGACTATTTTTACAGCTTTCTGGCTTTTTGCTGATTCTTTACTTGTGCTTGTGTTTAGCCAAGCTTCAGCTCAGCTCTCGCTAGTACGATCTGTGGACTTTTGCTTGCTCCGCTCATCATTTATCTTCGGTTCGCCCACTCAGGACCCGATGTGTTTACCTCCATTCGCGCGCAACTCTCCGTTGAGATCTCCCATCTTTGCTTTAGCGCGTGATTCTAACCTCATCTCTTGGTTTGTGTTGCTGCTAAGCTGTGTGTATGCTCGCTAGCGTAAGGTTTTTTCTAAAGACTGTTTTGTTTTCTGAGAGTCAATAGGGCTGGATTATCGATTGGGTCCGGGGGTTCCGCATGGTTTCAATAGCGCCGCGGAAGTTGCAGAATTTTCGGGACTTTGGCAGTACTTGCGCCCTCTACATGAAATGTTTTCAATTATTGTAGAAACCAAGCCTAATTCCAAGTTTTTCAGTCCTTTTTCTTAAGGTTTTTATCCGGTAGTCCTTCTATAAGTCCTGCATATGCCCTGCGGAACTTCGGCTATTTATGGGGCCAATAAGTTTTTCTTTGCAGTTGCTATTTAAGACTTTTTTATAATTATGCACCTTCCAAACTCCTTCCTTCTCACGCAAATAAATATCCAGCTGTGGGAAATTTCAGTCCTGAAAGACTTCAAACTTTTTCATTTTAGCTCCAGTGTTTTATGAGTTCTATCAATCAGTAATCTTCGAAAAATTATTCACATCAGAAGCATAAATAGTCTCTGCGCAGAAATTATGAATAAAATGTGTTTTTGTCACTTTTTGAGGTTCTAAAAGAATCTTGTATTTTTGTAATATTTATAATGAATTAACGAATTGCGAATTTTGGACTCAAATAATTTTATGCTTCCCGTCTCTCCCCTTTCAAACTTCCCTTGATTTCCGAAAATGTAAAGTTTTACTGAGTAAGCATGTGTTTGTCAGACAGCAAGGTCATATCACTTCTTTTTCTATTGCGCCTGAAAAAGACAATTTTCTTTTCGAAAAATAGATCTGAAAAAAACCGACAATTCATGTGATTTCGCAACGTAATACGAGAAAAAGATAATTTATAATCGGTTCCAGAACCACTTTTCAACGAAAGAGGTCCCAGCTATTATAGGAATTTGTTGATGAAGTGATGAGTGTGACGGGAAGTGAACAATATAGCATACAGCACATATAATTACAAAAAATGACAAATGTACTTAGTATTGCTATAGGAGGTTAAATTCGAATATGAGAATGATTTCTGAAGCTTCGAGAAAAAACAATTTCTTCTTGTAAAGGACCATCACAGTCTTACTATAGGGTTACGGTAGTTATGAAGTCAACTTTGAATATTCTTGGAAAGACGGGATTCTACTTGTGTCAAGACCCACCTTAAGTATCAGGTTTACAGCAGCTGGGTGCTTATCTTCATATTCTTAAAAAACAGAAAATTAGTAATTGTTGAAATCGCTATGTAGTTTTACTATAGAAATTGGTAAAGGTCAGCTAAATTTTATTCCTGTCCAAGCTTACCATATAACTTACTATACCAGCAGGATAGGTAGATGGTAAGTTCCGAATATTCTTGAAAATGAGTTATGCTCCTAAGACCTACCATGTAGTCCTCGGCAGGATACCATAGGTAAAGCAGTGGCGGTTCCAGGAATTCCGCCTGGGACTGGGGGGGGGGGGGAGGGGGAATCACTTTGGAATAAAGGTGCCTTAGAGGTTAAAGATTGAAGGTTCGAAATTTCTTTGAAGGTGCTTTAGAGAACTTTACGGGCTAAAAATTTTCCTACAAGGCTGAATTGGATTTTCTAAAAATTCTAAAAATTATTTTGAACACTTACAAGTATGCACCTTTGGTCCGCCATTAGTAGATGCTGTCAATTCGCAACATTCTTGAAAGGAAATAGAATATTTTTATTCTCAGGATCTACTTTAACGTACGGTAGGTACATTAGTTAGACCTTCAGCTCTAAACATTTCTTGGGAAAAGAAACGGAATCTTGTTTTTGTCGATACCCACCATATATTCTTGCTGAAGGAGCGCAATAGTAAGACCGTCAGAATGTTCGTGAAAGAAAAGAAACAGATTTTGTCCTTTCAAGACTCCCACCATATATGTAGAATAATATTTGTGTGCGAGGACGTATTTAGCTGGTCAGCTCCATACTCTTGAGAAAGAAATCGAATTTTGTTCTCTTGTTTAGTCAAAATCTACCATATAGTTTTACTATAAGAGTGTTGATAAGGTCAGCTGAAGTTTGTTTTGACTAAACAGACTTTGACTTTTCACATTCACCATGTAGTCTTACTGTAAGAGTACGGTGGATAGATGGTCAACTTCAAGCTTACATGCCAGAAAATTAACCAGAATCTCGCTCACATGATCTACTATATAGTCTTACTGTAGGAGTAAGGTGTACGGTCGATTCCGACCTTTATTAAACGGAATCCTGTTCTCGTCAAGTATAAAGCAACCACATAGTCTTACTGTAAGGGGGTTGCTCGAAATATTCCTGTTTTCGATTTTTTCCATGGCTTCATCTAGAGGCTGTCACTTCCTATTGTGTTGGGGTCCGAGCACTCACAAAAATCACAAAAATGATTATCATAAGCTCAATATGTAGTACTGTAACAATATTGAAAATCTTGTTACATATGCTTGTTTCTTCGCTCAAAGCAGCCGATCTCAGACCCATATCACTTCCTTTGTATCGCATCGTCTTGCGAACAGTTGTCACTACATCGCACTTGCGAAAAACCTAGAAATCCACATTTTGCGAGCCGATAGTGGATTGTAAAAGCCAAAAATACGTTTCCGTCGTATTTTCCCTTTCATTAATCTCTAGTACGAATTCCAAGTCTATTATTGTACAGGTGCCAGGTGTTGAGATTCGTTTTTGGCTAATGGGATGTACTCCAAGTAGAGAGAGACCGGGTTTTTTATTTATAACAGTACAAATTGAATCCGCACAAAAACCATTAGAGCCAAGGAAATTTTTTATTTTGAACAAGGCCAAAAACGTACAATTTTCTTCCAGTAGCGGTATCCAGGAAATTTCCTCGGGATGGGGAAGAGGAAATTATCAAAACATCTCAAGTCGGCCGAGACCAGATTTTTTTTTGACGTTACAAGCAATCTATTACGAAATCTTTCAAAAGGCCTCAATAAATTTTCAGCAGCTGTAATAACATCATCATCTTAGTATAATAAATAATACATTCTCTCATATCAGTAAATTTTCACCAGCTATGTCTTCCCAATTGACTAGTGCTCGTGTTGAAATATTTCTGCTGACAGTGAGGAGGTGTTGCATGTGAGCTGACGAAGATTACAATGGATGCTATGTAGAAACTTATTTATACAAGGGCCAGATGTTCATGTCCGCGATATCCTATGCAGTTTGATTCTGGGCCGAAAAAATTCATTGTTCTCGACTTTTCTAAGCAATGCTGATTTAGCTGTTGATGTCTCCGGCGTTTTTTGGATCGTTTTATTTTTTTCTCTCACAGGAATATCAAATGACATTCGATACTAATTGTACACAAAGCTTTTAGAGGGATCAGATCAGAGGCTCGATATATCCTCTCGCTGGCCTTTACAACACTCTCAGAGCCACATTCTCTCCACACACACATACACACAGCCACACTCACACTGAATGGGGGGGGGGGGGTCCTGATGATCGTTCGAGCTCTTGCAAACCCTCCGATCTGCTGTTTCTCTAGCTTACATACGTTGACGAGCTTTGTCACATTTGTCTTTCGAATTTTTCTCGCGAATTTCTGACCTTTGCAATTTGCCCTTTCAAATTCTAGTTTTCCCATCCGTTCTTCGGTGTTAGTTGTCAACAAATGCTCGTTTTTCTACATATCTCGTAAGTTTCGTGAAATTCTTTGCATATTTTTAGAAATGGCAGCAATCGAAGTTACACATGAAGCCAAAGTCTGGGATTGGCCACTTCAAAGCCATGAGGGTGTTGTAAAGGTACTCAATCGATTGATTGCACTTTCTGCTTTGTATTTTTCCAAGAATTTGGGGAATTACACAATCTTTTTTCAAGGTAGTCAACACTAACGACAAATTTGAAGTTGGACTTGATGCACAATTCTTTTCACCAAAAGAAATAGAAGTGAAAGTATGTGGACAAGAACTGCTGATTCATTGCAGACATGAGGTTGGTATCGATTTTTTCATCAGAAGTCTTTTTCGTATTCTCAAGGAATTATTAGACCTAATATTTTTGACCAAAAAAAACAGTTTTTACGAATCAATTCTTCTCGCCTGATAAAGGCTAATACTCTTTATTTTTTGATATATATATATTCTTGGCAGAAGCAAGCAAGCTGATGACGTTCTCCCTGGAGTAATATATTGTACTACAGTTAGTTCATTACCATAAGTTTCAGCCTCACACGATTGATACAGCCAAGAAAATTTACTAAGGATATTTGGAAAATTCTGGGAATTTCAAAACGATCAGACCATTTAGCGCAATGTACAGTATAGTTTCTTGACTCGCTGAAATCTGACAGTTTATTCAATTAAACGCTGGCTTCCATTTGAGTTAAAAATAATGTCGTACCAAGGTGGTGCTACCTATCTTGTACTATTGCAGCTCATTCTCGTTTTTTGCCCATCCGACTTGTCATTTGTTGTTTTCATAAAAACGGCGGAAGGAGAAAGCTGCGTTCGAAAGAGTAGAGAGGGCTTATTTACCAAGAGTTAATTTATGTTCAACTTGTATATTTATCAAGCACATGTAGCAAATAATCAATACAAATAATAATCATGAACTTGAGTACGAAAAAAAATCTAGGAAAAACAGAAGTGGAAGCGTTATAGTTAGAACATGTCAGAGGATGAGAATAGAAACAAGTGTGTAAATTGAATGTCAATCTTTGAATCAATATACATGAAAACCTTTACTTCAAAGCGGACCAAAGTCGTTAAAATCAACGTATTTGTTTTATTGAGTTTTGCTCGTTCGCCAAAAAATCATGAATCTTTTGCTAAGTCGGTCACTTGAGTACGGCGTAGTGGCATGAGGCGCAGTAACGACCAGATCGAACCAAGGTTCGATCCCACCTCTAGGTCAATCAATTCTTCTACCGTGCCGCAGATGGCAAATTGTAGCAGAGTGATCAGAGTAAAAACACTTATCTAGTAGTTTTCTAACACTTACAAATTATTGTAAAGGTTCGCACGCCTTCAGTTGTCCCTTCGACTATGAAATAGAGTACGTTCGGCGCATGCTCGTAAAGAGTATTGAAAACGTCGATTCCCTTATCCTTTTATCATTACATGGTGCACTTGCTATGTCAACCATACCTGCGTTTATTCTAAACATGAAGTGCTAGATTTGATAATATGAGTGTGCTCTACAATTGCAATTGTTATACTGAAAGAAGAGCTAAATATGATGAAAGCTGGCTTAGGAGTTGCCCCTGCTTTTCTGGGAGTTCGGATCACATTTTCCGCATTTATGATCCTTTCTTGCATTTGCCACAGAAGTAAAGCAACACCTTCGTCAAAAACAGATTTTGTACTTATGTTCCCTGACTTATTGTTTGAATATGGTTCGCGGAGAGTGACATAGTTCCAGTGCGCGAATACCAAAAAACTCTTTCTCGCTAGACTTTTTTTAAGCCAGGTGCCATGCTAAAAAGGGTTGAAAATAACGCCATTTTGGCTTCTGAAATTCCGGTCTACGCGGAAACCGCCAGTAGCCAAATATTTTTGTATGTCCAACTTAAATTTCTTCCTCGAAGGTGTCCATAGTCAAATTCTTGCATTCTCCTTGACTTCGACAACATCTCGCAGAACTTGTCGACATTTCGCAGACATAACGCGAGGTAGTAAGGGTTTCCGTGGTTCTAGATTCTTACGATTGAAATTCATAAAAGCTTTGCTCTTAAGGTACTGCTTCAACAGTTGGGGGGCGGGGGCGTTGAGGAGGGAGGGGCGGGGGGTAGAAACTTTTTTCGGATGACTGTCCGCCTTTTCCTGTCGGTTCGCACTACTCTAGGGGCAAGGATATGTGCCAATCTTGGCGTTCCTGCGCTCACATTCTTAATTCTGTGCTGTAGAAGGTGCGTGGAGTATTTGCAATCATGTCAGAACAATTCCCAATGTACTCCTATGTTGGGCATTGGACTGGAAAATTTATTTTCACACACTCTGTCCAGTAGTATATGTTATACAAAAAGGAACGAAACAGCATGAGTATGAAAATGCGTAAAGATATGAGCGGAAGAAACATGAGCAGCATGCAGGGTGCAAATCAAATGTATCAAACGCCAAACTCGACCAACGTAACTCTTGTTTTCGAGTCAAGGTTAGAATGGTCCCGTCGTGCAGCTAACAGCAACAACGTGCAAATAAAAAACAGCAGATTTTGCTCAGTGGGTGAGCCGCCCAGATAGAACATCGACTAGTTCCTCATTTATATGCTTTATATGGAGGTTTGAATTTAGTTAATCAACAAAACTCAGAATCTTGATTGCAGTCCCGCTCTGATGAACATGGCACAGTGTCGCGTGAAGTGAATCGTGCCTACAAGCTGCCTTCAGATGTTGATGTGAACTCCGTGAAAAGTCATCTCACCAACAGAGGAGTGTTGAATATCACCGCCAGCAAGGTTAAGTAGAAAATTACTGCCTCACCTTCTCTTTCATGTCAAGTGAACTGCTTGAAGTGACAGCATCAATTATATCATGTCTATAATCTCTTACATTTTTATCTCTTATGTTTTGTATTGTTGTTGTAAAATAAATTTCAAATGTATATCAAATTGTTTGTTTGTTCACCGTATACGTAGAAAGCTATAACAGGAGAAGTGGAACAAGGTTGGTGGTTCACTACTTGAGAATAAAATGAAGTCATGACTCACCGGCTTTTATTACGTTGTCCGGAAAATAATGTCGCATGGCATCCTACCGCAACAGAATGACCACAAAAAACATCGAATGGGGTATCATTCGATAGAGCAAAGCAAGCTCTACAAGCTAGTTCACAAATCTCCGCGCAGATGTTGCTCCATCTGAAGTTCGAATCCAAAATATAAAAAATTTCAGACGCCCAAAAAATCGTATCTCCGTTCACAGACGTCTTAGGGATCTCCAATTTGCACAGGCATGTACTCTCCACACTAGACATTCACCTGTATAGTTTTTGGTATTTTTCCATGGCTACAGTACGAGAAATAAAAAGGGGTCAAAAGTGCGAATATGTCGTGTTTTTCGGGTTTTTTGCAAACAATTTGATTTTTCTCGAAAACTAGCGCTTGTCTAAAGCTGAAAATTCATGGTTATACTCCTAAAGGTTCATGCTACAGAATCACCCATGTGAGAGAAGCTCAGGATTGCTTTGGCAGAAATATGCCAAATTTGGTTTTCTCAATTTTCAGCCATGGAAAAACCGCGAAAACGAGTGTACGAGTGTCTCGTATAGTGAGTCCGTGCGTGGGCAAGTTAGGGGTTCTCAGGACTTCTCTGAATGGAGATACGGTTTTTTTCGTTTTTTTTCGGATCTTGAGTGCCTTGTGAAATTTGGCTTCAAACTTCATGCAAATCAGACTTGGCGCGAAGGTTCGAGCTTCATTTTGTAGAGCTTGCTCTGATCTATCGGTTGATACCCCATTCACATACTTTCGTGCGCACCCTGCTGCGATATTGCATGATAAAACAAAAAGCGACATTATTTTCCGGACAACCTAATACTTTTGAGTTTGAAAAGGAAGCCGAGTTGCTCTACAAACTCATGCGTTATACAAATTGGAGAATTATTATGAGTCATTTCAAACTTATGAACGCTATTTGAGCATGACATCGGTTAGTTTATGAAATTGGCAAGGATTATTGGGACTGCATCACAAGCATCTCCTTGGAGAGAGGATTTCGCCACAATACTCAGCGAAGTAGGTAGCGAAAGAAAAGCGTTGAGGGTGTGGGGTCACTTTGCGAGAAATAAGGGCAGTGGTCTTTGACAATATTATAAACCACAACCCTACGAGAGATTGTGCAAGAGAATAGATTATTAAATAGAGTAGCAATAAACCGGAATTTCCGAATTTTACACATCTTCCTGTCCCTGTTCAAGTTCTATACCCCAGTCACCTGTGCCCATTATGTTTTTGTAATGCTCGTTTACCCCCTCCCCTCTGCCAACTCCCTGCGATAGCTCAAATTTACAAAAAAAGATAGAATCGATAAAAGTAAAGAACAATTCAAAGTAACATTGTATTCGTAATTGGCATGTTCACTTACCCTCCTCTCCCCCCTCCCTATCTATGAAGAAACTCCGAACTCAGCTTAAAGTTCGCAAAACATCGATAAAACGAACATTGATCGATAACTAAAAGTAGCCTACGACAGATCCGCCCCGAGGTGCAAAGCCTGGTCCGAATCGGTTGAAAGTGGAATTTTGTCTTCGATACGTACACACATATATAACGCATAAAACACAGAGACATACAGACGGACTCCCAGCTTCAAACTCAAAATGAGTTCCTCCCCTTTTCTTCTCTTTTTTTGCATTCTTGAACTCCATTCAAGAAAAAGAACTCTCAAGAGCGGCACACCCTTTTTTCAAAGTTTGACGAATATTGCTGTGTAAGGGACATCAAAGGCAATCTTGTGGCAAAGTGGGAGTGCCGCGATTTGGTGACAGTGTTATAGTAGACCTTCTGTAAACGATCCTAGTCCGTGGAGCCCAAAAATCATCTCGAAGGCGGTCTGGAACTGTCTTCGCTGCCGCCCAATCATCAATTTCTGCTTGCGGCCTTACCAGTGCGCTATCACAAAGATCGTCATTTCTTAATTTATACAGCATTTCCCAGTCCCCTTTCTCTGTGCCACTTACCTGCACCCCACTGTTTTCGTAATCAACGCTCATCCCGCTCCCCTCCAGCTCCCTTCGCCAAGCCACAGGTTGCGAAAAATTGATAAAATCAATAAATGCAATGTATTTTTTAAATTAGTATTTTCCTTGAGAGCAGGTTCGCTTACCCATCCGCATCAATTCTCACTGTAGCTTGAATTCTGCAAGAACCGACCGATATAATCGACATAGGCTTTCTATAGATCTTAAAAAGAAAGTTGTGTGCATGTTGAAGAAATTCTATAATTTTATAAATTCTATATTCAAAGTGTTCCCTAAAACTCATAGCATAAGACCACTGGTGATGCATATGGTTTTATCTCGACAATGTGTTATTTGATTTTTTTTCATAATCACGTTCCTTTGGCGCATCAATGGATGCACTCAATAAATAAATAAATAAATAAATAATGCCTAGTTTTGAAAGAAGGGAACAACAAAGAAAGGGAAGCGAATTATGTGCCTGCAAACTCTAAAGAGTAATTTATGTAAATTCGCTCTCAAAAGAGCAGATCAGATACGGAAAGCAAGGCAGGGTCAGCATTTAGGGTTTGTCAAGCTGATACACATCTCATTTTGAAGGAACATAACATCTTTCCCTCATAAGGAAAAATTGAACAAATTCTCCGTCTGACATCAGCTTTTGCATGTTGTTGTTCATGTTGAATCACCAAATATTTCTAAAGACTAAGGTTTGATTGTTTGGGTTTCTCGTTACTCAGATTTTCGAAAATCAGATACTATTTTTGTGGCGTATTACATCTTGATGCAAAATTAGACATGTATTTGCCTTATACTTAAATTGTAATAAACAAGATCAAATGAGAGTATTTATTTTGGAGTATTCATGACAGCATGCGAGTACGAGGCATCGTACAGAAATTAAAATGAATATAAAATCAAGCAAGTGCTCACATAATGAGCATACATCTCAATAATACAGCCAACTAAGAAATTGTGAAAGTGCTTAATAAACATCTTCCAAAAAAAGTTTACATCTACGTTTCCGTAGCGACAAAGTGTTCAATGAACTTTGCATGGATCAGCCTGAAAAAAAAAAGAATTTGTACATCTTCAAAGCATGTTGTTTGCTTGAAATTTGCTTGTACGCATAAAGAAAAGCATTTCTAAATCAGTTTGATATAAGGTTGAACGTACATTCGGGGTGAGTGGTGTCACCAGCTAACCCCGATAACTAATTAATATCAATTTATCGAATCTATATATAAATAAAACTCAATCTCTGTAAATTTGGTCGTATGTAAGTATGTGGCTTATAGACTCTTTTCTTTTTGAGCCGATTGGGCTGAAATCAGGGCCCGGCACGAGTCGGTTTCTAGGGTTTCTGAAAACGAAGTCTTCCCCGACTTCCGGGAAGTTTTACGAAGTCCCCTTTGAACTACTTGCTTAGGAGAAGATGAAAACAGGAAAGATTTACTGTCTGAAAGAAAAGACGTAAGATAAGGGTAAAAATCCAAATTGGAGCTAAATACTACGCATATACAAGAGTTTGGCATTAGAGCGCGATATTCAACAAAGCGAGAAGAAATGAAGGCAAAAAACAGAGGAAAAACAATGATATGAAAATGTTTTCATGCTCAGGGATAGATTTTTGACCGGGGAATCCGTCCATGCTGAAATGATCCGAAACTTATGTAAAGTGACGAAAATATATGCTCCAGACGATCTCAAATCGTCTGGTGACCGTCTGGAGACGATCTAATTTTGGAAAAGGTATCACTTCACATAAGTTTTCAGATCTTTTTACATGATACTTTCGCAAATAATTTTCTAAACATAGAGTTCAATTTCGGTGTCATATGCTTCTGTGTGCGCTGTAAACAAGCAATTTGTTTATTTAAGCCTTGCTTTCAAATCGCGCGCACTTTTCGCCATGCACGATAGAGCATGTCAATCGTGTGATAACCTGTCCGAAAAACTTGTGTTCGACTAAATGGCGCTTATTCTTGGTGCTCGGTTCCGACTCGTCAAAAACGATATCCCCTTTGCTGTTTTCTTTAAAAACGAAGTCCAGCCTGCTTCCAGACGATCTGTGCCGGGCCGTGGCTGAAATTTGCTTTCCTACAAATGAGGCCAGGCGCAGAAGATAGTCTACTTTTCGCGACGATTCACTGAGCCCTTTAGTCGATTTATTGATTTGTTTACTCACATGTAAGGGAATAAACTTATCACAAGCCTACTTTTCGCGACGATTCACTGAGCCCTTCAGTCGATTTATTGATTTGTTTACTCACATGTAAGGGAATAAACTTATCAATCATTCCTGAATCATAGTTGAGTAAGCGGGGCGGTAAAGATCATTTACATTTTGCGGCGAGGAGGATCCGGTTCTTCGAGTCAGCGGGGTATGTCCCGGAATTTTTCAGATATGGAGAAGGTGAGTCTTGACGCTTTCAAATTCTAATGCCTTATACCGGGCATTAGAGCCCGCTTCCCGGGCAAGACCGCGGATGCCATCTAGTTTTGTATACTCCGAACCGGTACTGGTAATTGGTAAACGGCTACGTATATACTCAAAAACAGCAAATAACGGCGGAATTATCATAAATATTATCTAATTTGTGCCATGATGACTAATTTGACGAGAAAAAAACGATTTGGTGTTTTTTGATACCTCTTGTGGGCATGCGCCAAACGCGTTGACATACTTCATAATCGAAGAGGTTATCGAGTGCGTGCCAAATTGCAGTGCCTTGAGTCAAATTACGGTAAAGGTGTCAGTTAGTGTTTAATTTCCTTGATTTATCTGGTAGCAACTTAGTGTTGCTGGATAGAGGGCTTGGTTGGTCCAGAGAAGAGAATCGGACCTTGTTCTAGCCATGATGGCACTACACCACTACGCTACTCTCTTCCCAAAATTTTGATTTTAAAAAGGCATGCACTGGGCGAGTCTAAGTCTCAAAGATATTGAAGGTTTGGTAAACGATCTGCTGCTCTTATCAATTGTTAATATCTTGTACATCTTTTGCAATAGTTTTGGCTATGGGCATTTGCAAACGACGACAGCCTCAGTAGTCAGAAAAAGTGGGCGTCGATCAGTGGAAAATCTAACATTTAAGTCAGAGATAGGATAATTCGTGATCTTTGCAACACTTTCTGTTTACCTCTTCCATTTCTCTTATCGCTTGAAAAACCAGAGCGCATAGAACGGACAAAATTTTTAGTGCATCATCGTAACTTTATGAGTAACGGTCCTGCTCGCAGTTTCAAGACAAAGTATGAAAGTGAAGCAAGTGTCATGAAGATCACTGACTTGTTCACATTATAGATCGTAATATGAAGTTGTTTGAAGAAATCTGATTGAAAAAATGCAGAACACTTTGAAACTACGGAGTGTCCCAAAAGTAAGTACACACTTTTCAATCGTTAATATCTCTCTTCCCAATGTGTCTTTTCTCGCCATTTGAGAGAGGCTGTAGAGGAGGCTTCAGCTTAGACTGACAGTATGGAGCGAATCACCGATCGCTCTTCATTACTGTAGCATTACGGTAGGAACTTCGATAAGGATTTTGGGCTATTGGAAGCCATATTCTTCCTCGGAACAAAACCAAACAAGCCAAAAACTCTTGTACTACGGTATGGAAGCCTCTAATTTCGAATATAAAATTTTCGCTTTACTATGGTGCTTCTTTCCAAAGTTATCCCAGGTAAACCGTAATAACCGAATTTCCAGTATTTGTAGGAAATGTGATTTCACCGTCAAAAAATCTGAAAACACTCGTAAGAAGTTATGTAGTGGAATCAGAGTACGCAAAAACCCCAGTACATGATTTTTTAGATTTTTTGAAAAAATTTTGTCAGATGGCATATCTCACAATGGTTCCACTTGCTGGAAGTTCTTACCCTAATCATACAGTATCAAAGAGCGATCGGTGATTCGCTCGATACCGTAACTCTAAGTCGAAACCTCCTCTACAGAATGGTGGTTGAATGGCAAAAAAAGACCCACTGGAAAGAGAGATATTGACGATTGAAAAGTGTGTACTTACTTTTGGGAGACCCTGTATATATTAGGTTGTTGCAACAATAATGTCCGTTTTGCAAATTTTCAATTTGGAAGGCTATAACTTCGTTCAATCTTCATATTTTTGAATACAGTCAGGACCGTCAGAAACAGCAAACCTTTCGTAATTTAGCGCGCTTGCCCGTATTGATATCGCAAACGGGAAGAAAAACATGCGTAAAAAATTGAAACTTTTCCTTTTGAAAACCTCGTCTTAAAGAGCTTACAACTTCCTTCAGGTTTTGTTCATATGGCTGGCAATCAGCTTATTTGTAGCTACAAGCCATGACTTTACATGTGTATAAGAAAGAGACCAAAGAAGGAGATCTGCGAAAAGAAGAGATAAAAATTCAAAAATGTTCACTTTTTGGGCCTATTTGTTGTAGGCTTGTGAGTGCCAATTTATGAGAATTTGTCTTCGCGCACTGAATAGCTAATTTCTCTTTAGATATTGCAGTTAAGGTGTGCTTATTTCAAGCTTACAGAAATGGGCGAAGCTTTGGCGATTGCCTTAATTATGAGAAATTTCTGACCCACAGAATGTCAGCAGCGAGTATCTATTTTAGGGCGACAATTTCTCACTCCAGATATCTCCAAAAATCTACGTAAGCACGCAGTAGATAAACATCTTCATCTAATACAATTGCTATGTTTTCAGAAAAATTCGCTTATTTGCTTCTGAATTCTGGTCAAGAAACTGAAAGCTATGAGGTTTCGATTTTGAGTGCGGAAGTGCAAAGTGCTGGTGAAATACTCACAAATGGATAGCAGCTTAATTCCACCACCGTTAGAAAGTACATGATGACAGCTTTCTAGTGATATGCAGATTCTATATCGTAAAAGAAAGTTTAATGGAAAAAAATGTTTGGAATATAAGCCTAGAAAAACGGATATTATTTTTGCAACAACCTAGTATTTTTGCTGCTTAAAAAGGGACATGCCAACTCATAACACGTTTATGACCAAGGAGTTCTGATTGTCTGTTGACCAAGTCCCTTTTGCAAACTAGTCAACATAAATTAGATAAAATTATGCACACATCCATCCACACTGTTCAGTAGCTCTGAAAAGATAACTGATGGAGGCTATTGTTGAGCGCAAAAGAAAACTTTTGAATTTAGTTCATTCCAAGATAGTCACTCTAAAAACCCAAATTCTGACATACCATGATGAGCCAAGGGTTGGTAGTTCATATGAGGTAACACGTTAGTTCCATGGTGAAGTGGTCGCATGTGGTTCAATTCAATGCATGATAAACAGTTTCATGCAATTTCAGTGTGTCATTCCCTACTTATTTATATTGAACATTCGTAAAATGTAAAGGCAAAGTTAAGGAACGCGGCGCATTCGTACTCAACGCGTTCGCTATTAACAACGCGATTGTGCTCTGTTAGGCCTAAGGCATACCTCACGCAATTTGGCCAAATCGCCACTTTCACGCGACTTGGCGATTTGCCAGATTTCTACAAATTTATCGTGCGCGCTTCTCAAACGCATAGGCGGGTAGGTTGTGTAAGTTGTTGCAAATGGCTTAAGTTCTAACCAAAGGAAACACATTAACGACAAATTACAGAGAGTCGCTGTTGTGCCAAATCGCGCGAGGTACAGGGCTCCTAAATTGCAGAGTCGTTTGCACCAGCGGTCGCGCGCCCGCGTCGCGCCCATGCATTTTGCCGGCGCCGGCGCTATCGATCGAGGCGGCGCCATTGATGTCCGGGCGCGACGCGGTCGCGCGACCGCTGGTGCAAACGACTTTGCAGTTTAGGAGCCCTGTATGCCTTAGGCCTTAGGCCCCGGGCAGACTTCACGCGATTTGATCGTCGCGACTGAATCGCGAGGAGACAATTGTTACAATATCATTCCATGCAGATCAACTTGCATTCGGTTGTGATACTTTTCCAGACCGAAATTTTTGAATGTGAAATGAAAATGAATGGAAATCTTGGCGATTTGGTCGCGACGATTAAGTCGCGTGAAGTCTGACCGGGGCCTTAGGGAGGCACCGCTGTGGACTGAAAAGTACTGAAAAAAATGGTTCCATGGTGATGCTTCAAAGTTTTGAGTTTCTCAGTTACGCCCAGAAATTATTCAAGTCTTATTCTCAAGGACTAACAAGTAGTGGCAAGATAGAAGGACAAAGGATAAAAAATTCGGCGTCTTCAAGACCCTCTGCGGGCATGTGCCAAAAGCACTTTACTTCACGGTCGAATAGACTGACAAATGCGTGCGCGCCTTTTACAGTGACTAGCGGGCGCACCCGATTACCAAGTCAGCTTTTATCCTTCCAGATTACTCTTGTACCAATTTACTGGCCCCGGAGGGTAGAGGGCTTGGTTGGCCTAGGGGGGAGGGGATCGAACTTGCGTCCGATCTGGTGACAGCGGCGCCTTATACCGCTCCCCACTCATCCCCGATTGACGAGATAGTGGAAGAGAATTTGTATCAATGGGAAAAAACATGTAAAAGCTTTCAAATTGACATATATACCTGATTCGTGTGTCTTCTTGATCGCATTCTTCGATAAGGAGAGCCAGCTTTCTGAAATTAGATTGATTGTCTGACTGCTCTTGCATACATGTTTTGTAGTGAAAAATTAGCTTGTGCTTATATTGTGTTGTACCTGAGCAGGTGGCGGTGCACATGGAGCGGGTTCAACCTGCACTTGCTTCGTCGGTGGCTAAATCAAAAAAATGAATGTGGAATACATAGGCCTGTAAAGGCTCGTACCGCAGCAACGCCGTAACCTCCTCCACCGGCTGGTTGTTGAGCTCCAGACGGTGCAGCTCCTCCCTAAATTATTATTTAAGTGGTCATTTCAAGTAACTTTTCTGCAAATGTCTCACCTCGGCAATACCGTGGCCTTCCACTATTCTCGGTCCACCGCCCATACCTCCTGCCGGCCCTTGAGGTGCAGCTGGACCCTTGAAACAGGCTTTTCAGAAAGCGGATAAAGGAGGAGAGTCACAACGGTTGCACGTACCTGAGGAGCGCCAGCACCGGCACCGTAACCACCGCCTGCTCCACCTCCAATCGGTGCCGCTGGTCCTGCCCCTGGTCCTGCACCTGGTCCTGCCCCTGGTCCTCCCTAATCAAAAACATCAGCTTGGAAATTGTTTGTGTATAGAAGTTTTCGGCATTACCTCCGCTATACCATGGCCTTCAACTATTCTGTTACCACCTGTCGGACCTGCAGGCAGCCCCGGCATCCCTCGTGCTGCACCGCCCTGCAAAAAGACAGCTGCTGATTTGTAAGAGGAAGAAGAGCAAAGAGTAAAAGATGGCTGCACAAACTTCAGCGGGTGCTCCGTAACCTCCAGCTGCTCCAGCGCCACCTGGTGCAACTGGTCCTGCTCCTCCCTAAATATAGAGTTTAAATTGCAAATCGATCACAAGCTAATTGCAGCACCTCTGCTATTCCGTGGCCTTCAACTATTCTATTGCCTCCAACTGGACCTGCAGCCGACCCTGGCATTCCACGAGCTGCACCTGGTCCCTGCAATTTAGTCTTTTGACAATGAAGTGGTAATGAAATGTCTTTTACCTGAGGACCGCCATAACCTCCTGCTGCTGCCGCTCCTGCACTTGGCCCTACCGCTCCCTAAACAAAAGCTCACAACAGTCACTGAACAGAAGGAAGGAACTCCTGCTTTATCTAAGCGCATTATCAATAGTCTTTAAGCAATTTTCCGGTTAAAAAATATTTCTTTTTCTGCTCCTGAAAAGCAGAAAGCGACAAAAATTAAAAGTACCTCGGGACCAATTCCGTGACCCTCAACAATTCTTGGGCCTCCAGCTCCTCCTGTCTGAAATGGAAGAAGAAAAGTATGTTATCAATTGATTGAAAGTGATAACAGCTGTATAAAGCAAAAGAGATGCACTTCTGTACAATAGAGCCTCAACTATAATAGGAAGAGGTTATAAAATGTGCGTGAAATTCCTCTTAATCAGTGATAGTAGCTTGATGTCCAGTGGATCCCCGTCGTTCGCCTTCTGCACGTCCAGGTTAGAACCAACTTGATGGCATTAATGACAAGAACAAATATATTAGGTCGTACCGAAAGTTCTGTCGTTTCATTTTTGAAAAATGATAACTTTGCGCTGTCACAACGGATTTACTTCCTTACATTTTTATTAAAAAGAATAAGTCTTTCGCTTTCAAATGCTGTTTCGTGGAACTTCTGTTTCCTACAGGGTGCGGAGATAAAAATGGAAAACTAAAACCATATAAGCTTTGACCATTTTAAGTTAGCTCACCAAAAATCTGGAATGCTGCAGAAAAATCTGAAATCGTCAGTACATATGTTTTTTGGCCTACCCTTGCATCTGTGAAAAGTTTGTGCCGTTTGGACGTCTCTGTGAGAAGCTATGAATATCGAGTTTACTATGGAAAACACCAAAATTAATTAATTCGTCAATTTTAGCAAAAATCATAACTTCTCACAGAGACGTCCAAACAGCACAAACTTTTCACAGATGCAAGGGTAGGCTAAAAAACATATGTACTGACGATTTCAGATTTTTCTGCGGCATTCCAGATTTTTGGTGAGCTAACTTAGAATGCTCAAAGCTTATATGGTCTTAGTTTTCCATTTTTATCTCCACACCCAGTGTGAATCGCGAGCTCCGCAAAATAGCATTCGAAGGCGAAAGAACTACTCTTTCTAATAAAAATGTAAGGAAGTAAATCCGTTGTGACAGCGCAAAGTTATGATTTTTCAAAAATGAAATGACAGAACTTTTGGTACGACCTAATAGATCAAATTTAAAGTTATCGAGTTACGTTGTGTTAGTTGTTAGTTTGTTATTCAAAAGGTTGTAGCTACTCAGCTGTTGCCTTTCCTCTATGTGGGCTGATAATAACGAGTTCTAATTGGAGATGCATCGACTAATTACTTTTTATGTAATTTCGAATATGCACAAGCTAGTATGTACTCGAGTGAGAGGGTAAAGGGCGCATTTGATCGGCGCAATCGACGAAACGGCAAACGTCATCTACAAACCTACCCAGCTGTACAGTACAATCTTAAATATGGATTTGAATAATTTTTCAGAAAAGATTTGATATATCAATATATTATATTTACCACAAATTTTTTTTCCAAGTTTCGCTTCAATCAAATTTTGTATAAACTTTTTAGCGGAGCTCTCCCTAGCATTGTTCAATAGAAGGATGATCAAAGATTTGGTTTGTTTGTTTCGAAAATGAAATTTGTTCTAAAAACTTATAACACCAGCGGACGAGCACACAGATAGAGAAGCGGAATTCACTAATTTGATAGAAAGAAGCAGTCAAATGTCTGCATAAACTGAGCATTATGATCAAAGCTGAACATCAGAATTTCATACTGCTGTTACGCTATCACGCAACACTTACAATAAATGTAAGTTCATGAATCCAGCTGTTTGACGTATCTGGTCCTTAATCCATACAATCTTTCTTTATTCCATTCCTTTCGTGCAATTAGAGACAGAAAAGAAATCAAAGTTTAGGTTAGTATAAATGCTACTATGGCATGCAAGAACATCACTAAAGACATTGAAATAACAGACGACAATAACACACAAAGAACCACACATCGCCTTAAGTCTTGCGAAAGACAGAAGCATATGGTCCAGAAGACTGCTGTGTTCCTTCAAATCCGTGCGATTCAACTACTCGACCAAAGCCATGAGACTGAATCACACGGCCAAATCCGTGGGATTGTATTATTCTGCCGAATCCGTGAGATCTAACTATCTCACCGAAACCATGCGATTCAACTACTCTTGAGACTCCATGTGAAGGCGTTTCGATCTTCTAGGAAGCTATGCACTGTCCTGTAATTTTTTCTAGATGAAGTAAATCGCATTACCGGAGAAGGGCCGTATCCAGGTGGTTGCATTGGTTGTGGAAGCGCACCAGTTCCTGTCGTGGGTGCAGGTGCAGCAGGGCCCTGAACAGAATTGCTGGAGGGCAATGCGAGGAAGCTCAATTCGTACCTGACATCCCTTTTCAGGAGGAGGCCCATATGAATCGATATTGGCTGAAACAGCCTAAAAATTGATATTTTTTGAGCTGTGAATAGTGAAGTTAAAAGTTCAGCAAAAGGTTTCTTTCGAGTAACCTCTACTTACAGTTCGTGTTAATCACATACTCCCTTTTCCGTAAGTGAGTTTCGCGCCACGTTCGCGCGCGTATGACATTCAAATTGGCCTTATCGATTGGCTGTCCGCGCGCAACGCCCTTGCATTGCGCATGCGTAGGTCCCATGCGAAAGGGAGTACGTAATTGACATCGACTGTATGAAAGCTGATATATCAGGTTATTTTATAGGTTTTAGCGTACCACTTCTGTAAGCAAAAGAATAAAGGCCTGGCTTGATTTCGACCTTTATGGGCTTAATTTGAACTGTCTGAGTGTCTAACTCAAAATACACATAAGCTGTCCGCACATTATTGCGGCAACCCTCAATCGTAATAAAAATAAAAAGATGATGATTGATTTGCTTTTTGAAAAGACGAAATTGATCTAGAAAACATACATAAATACATACTGCATTACGTCAGGTAATAACAATGCGTTTTTGCTTTTAGTGTTTGCCAAATAGCCTGGCAATTTTAATTGTTTATTCGATTGAAAAGTATACGATAAAATCGGCAAGTTAACTTGCAATAAAATCAGACGAGCCTGTTATGCACAACCCGCTTGTCTTTATAAGAAGTGAACCTGTAATTAAGATGTCATCGAAGTTGAATGAACTCCGGGATGAACATAGTTTTGTTGGTGCTTTTCAATAAAAGAGAATTATCACTGCTTTTTCAAATTTTCCTAGATCTAACAAGGCTGGTATCAGATGACTACAGGAGTTTCGTCTCTTGGAGCCCGCAATGTAGTAGTACCTATCGAACATCTAGAAAACTAGTTAATGTTGCCAAATTATAAGGGGTTTCTTCGTATTTGTAAGTCTCTTGCAAAGAATCCTAAAAAAGCTTCATAAACGCAGTTCGTTTCATGTTTTGAGCGTGTGAGTGCGTCCCAACTTGTTCTTTTTAGGGTAAGTTTACTTTTTCCACCAGTAAGATAGAGCTTGGCCCTTCTGCTCCACTTCAGAATTTTATTAGCACACAAGCAAATAATTTTCGTGGAACTTTTCTGAAATAAGCACTCACCTATAATTGAAATACAAAACTAGCAAATAATTACATTAACGGTCAAGCACTAATTTAGGTGATTTTTTAAAAGGGGCAGAAACCAATACGATTACAATCGTTGACTACCATCAAGTTGATAGGGCAGGCTGTCCTGCAACATTGGAGGGCAACTCAGGGATTCGCGCCGTGCGGGCGGTCCTCATTGAAGCTCCTCCGCCTGAGCGCACTGCATAGTTTTTGATGTACCGTGCGTGCGGTCAACAATAAAAATGCCGTGCAAGCGGAAGACAGTCTACCCGTTCGATCGGCACGCAATAAAATCGACCGCGCAAGCGGCAGGCAATGCGCCCGCACGATCGGCCAGCAATCACTTGATCGTACAAGCGGCAGGCAATCTCGCCGCGCAATCGGTACGCAATAAAACCGACCGTGCAAGCGGCAGGCAATGTGTCCGTTCGATCGGGCGGCAAACATTTGCCCGTGCAAGCGGCCAACAGTGACCTCTACCTTCGGCTCATTGTTTTCACACACTGTGAGCGTAAACGGTACCTGCATGAGATACGACGCAGCGTTTAGGTGGCTAAGCGTCGACTATCGTGTTATCAACATTTCCCTTCACCGCAAAGCTGGAATGAACCTGCGTGAGGCTACAGTTATCAAGAGTGATGGTGTGGGCTTCTCCATGGAAAGTTTGGGTAGTGCGGCAGGCATTGTCCGTGTCCGCAGGATGTGAAAATGCTTAACATACCTAAGAAAAATGGTTAAAATACCCCACATAAACCTACTCCAGCAGCAAGCGAGCGGCCGACCTTCCCCGCGCAAGCGGCGAGCATTAGAAACCGTGCGGGCGCCCCACGTTAACCGTGCTAACGGCCCTTGACGACCGTACAATCGCACACACCAACGAGCGATTGTAAGTTCGTCGCTGGCCGCCCGCACGGTGCGAGTCCCTGAGAAGGCTCGACATGCGTTTATATGCGGCAAATTACTTTTGAGGTAGTTCGTTAATGCTCATAAGTTTTGAAACACAACTTCTTCGCAGTCTTATGACATGAGCTCAACATTCATGCCTATTTTCTAAAACAAACAATGGAAACCTGAGTATTGCCTTTCCTAGCACTGGGTAGTGAGAGATTTGGAAAACTTTTAAGTATACTATTACGTTGTGACATAAGTCTTGAGACACTCTCACTTCTTACGGCGATAAATCATACAGTTCACATTTTCAATAGGGGCCCAGAAAACCACTCGTTAAAGCAAAGCAAGCTCTACAAGCAGGGCTCGGCACGAGCTGGCACCAGGAAATTTGCAAAACGAAGTCCCTTTTGACCCTCAACGATATCCCCTCTAAAAACCTGAAAAATTCCCCAAAATCCCCCCAAAAACGAAACGTCGACTAAAAAAAAGGTCGCCAATTTTTGACGTGTCTTCGCCCACAAAAACGAAACCCCCTTTGCTTTTTGCCCCAAAAACGATATCCAGCTTGCCCCGTGCCAGCTGGTGCCAGGCCCTGTCTACAAGACGTTATGCAAAAGTTCGCATCAACTTCGATCCACTGTAAGTTTGCATCCAAAGTCTGAGTCGTACCGAAAGCTCAAAAAATCGCGAAAAATTCATATCTTCGTTTAAAAAAAGTCCTATGGATTTCCATCTTGCTCACAAAAATTGCACATTACATCAGACACTCATATGTAACGTTCTTTGATTTTTTCTCATTTAGAAATCGAGAAAACGAAAATTTTCATGTTTATGCAAAAACAGAGCTATGCTGTTTTCACTCATGTAATTGTATACCGCAAACCCTTATTTTAGCATATCTGTAAATTTTCAGCTCTTTATAAGTCCTAATTTTCGAAAAATATTGATTTCAGCGTGGAACACCCGAGTGAGGAAAGCTAAATTCGGTAATTTTTTTGATTTCGGTATTCACGTAATTGACATTAGCTGTGCCTACCCTAATTTCACGCGTACAAGGCCGGGGGATTTTTTTCCAAAATCGACCAGCCCAAATACTCCAAAGAATTTCGCAACCAAAGGACCTTATGCCTTGCTGTATATTGCTTAAGAGAATCGTATGGTATAAGGATCGCTATCCGAAATAATTTAAAGCGGCTGAGGGGCTCAATCGAAAAATCGAAAAAGGTGCGCCTTGTACGCGTGAATTTAGGGTAATTGTTTTCGCCAGGTTTTCCGTAAACTTGTTCATGCCAGTTGTTATAATTCTTGAAGCAAACCTATATCTCTACATAATTCGTCATTCATTTCCTGGTCTGTACGATTCTGTCATTTGCCGTGAAGCAAAGAACAAAGTTTGCGCGAAGAAAACGGTGAATTTTACCACGCGAAAGAGTTTTGATTGCAACTTGTAGTATTGAGTCTATAAAACGTTTATGTTGTTGAAGTCTATGAAAAGTTTATGCTGTTTAAACCACGAGCACACACAGTAAATGTGAAACTGTGCAAAGGCATTAGCATTCACAAATAGATCTTTTCTTTTGTTGACTAATGTATTGTCACATTTTGTTATAAATTGGAAGGAAGGCTTGGCAGTATGTCAGTGCAATGTTTTGCAGCGCTGAAAAACCTATCTAGTAACAAGTCCTTGAAGTTCACAACGGAAATTATTATAGACGTTTTGTTTCGCAGTCATTGGTAACTCACAATCTATTCTTAGCTCAGCGATGTGACTCATAGAAACCTGCATATTTTCGCCAACACATTTTGAAAAAAAAATGGTTACGTTAATCCCTTCACTCACAGTTTTTCGTGTTCTATGTCACAATTGATGAGCTCATGAAAGGAGACTGCTTGCAAATCTTTCGTCACTGCAAGAGACAACGGCACTAGTCTAACAGCTCCTTCATGATGAGAATCTAAGCAATCTTGGCTACGCAAGAAATGTAGCGGCACTTTCTCAAATGAATAGCTTTTGTTCGTTTTTTTTTGAGGTAAGAATATCTCGATATGCGACATAGTATGAGCTGCCTTGAAAAAATTCTCTCCAATATTGAATTTTATGGATACACTGTTGCTTATCGATTCGTAGGCGATGTTTGAGTAGATAAACCTACAGGAGAAAGAATCATTACACAAACTAAATTCAGTTCCTGTTTTTAAGAAGTGTAAAGCGAGTCCTAAATGCACACAGGCAGGAGTTGTCGCTTATAAATTGTGTACACTTTGCTAGTTGCTATCGTTTGAGGTCAGCTAGCAGTAAAAGAAACGTAATGGAATCTCTTTTCGAATGTCAGAAGCTATTCTATTACACATTTATCACTTTCAACGATGTACCAGATCACTGAAAAAGTCTAGCCGCACCCGCATACGTTATCTTTCTCTTTTTTATTCAAATAATCACTCATTGTGGGGGATGATGCAAATAATATCAGTCAAAAGGGTTGTAGATTACCATCTTTACCTCTACATAAGTTTTAAAAAGGATGTGAAAGAACTGGTGCGTATGCAGTGAAAACGAAATAAAAAAACTGATTTGCGAGGACGAACTTGAAGAAGAAAAGCTGGCAAAGGCATGGTTTTGGGAGCAGTATCTCGCCAGATTAGTTAGTGAAGGTTGTGTGCTAGCAATTTATGCAGCACCCTCTTTTCGCTTACCGAATTGTTGAGCCTAATCAGCCAATATTCTTGACCAGCTATTCTAGAACACAGCTAAGATGAAATAATTGAGTTTGCAGTAGTCTAGCGGTCAAAGAGTTTTCCTTTGTAAGGAGTGGGGCAGTTTTCTCGGTTCATGCATTTCGGACTTCTACAGATTCGCTACTGTAAGAGCAAAAAACGATCTAAGTTGCTCATGCATAAGCCCTTCACAACAGAAAGTCTTTTGCACAATTGCGGTATTTTCCATAGCTAAAACTTGACAAAGATAGTATGAAATTAGGGGACATCCACATCTTAGTTTCGAACGACATCTCTCAACAATATGGCTTGCAAAAGGTAAACATTCTTGTTCTCAATGGGGAAACCAGAGGAAGCAAACCTAGGTCCGATCTGGTCATGTTGGTGCCTCATACTGATGTGCCACTCATCGTTGATGTTTACAATAAAATATTATCAATATGAAGTATAATACTACGTAGACAAATTTTTGTCCAATGTTTGGTGTCTCTAAAAAGAGCACTTCACTGGATATTGGAGCATACATTCTGTTTGAGTAAAACTTATCCTCCCAGGAAAAAAATCCGCAAAGAACGGAAAAATCGCAATTTTCCCATAATACGCAACTATGAGGAAATTGTTTTCTTAGCGAAACATTTTCAAAATGGCAGCTCACACTTCTTTTTGTTGTTCACTAAATAAATAGGGGATAAATCCTCTCCAAACACCAAATTGCTGTTCTTTACATCCACTACAGCATGAAAACGAAGCTTAAGAAGTCAAAGAATTGAGCTTTTGGAAATTTCGCCATGTTGAGGCATAACTGTCTTTACTAGAACCCTAATTATTCGATATGTGATAGAGGAAGCTTCGAGCTACTTTCCCACGAAGAATCATAGATTAAAAACAACAAGAAAATTTTTTATGACAATTTGTATGCCAAAACGAACTTACCATTTAGTCAACCTAATATTACGGACATGATAAAAGTGCCCAGGTCAGGAGAGAGTGTTGTGTTAATTCGCTTTATTGAGATTTTTGTCAAATTTTTTATTGCATCCACAACAAAACAAATGTTCACTGTGGAGGAGCCAAGTCGCTTCTTAGGCTTAACTTCTTCTCTTTTCTCCAATCGCCCACCTACTCTTCGCGAGCTAACTTAACGTTTACGCGGATCATCCGACTCTGGTTTCCTTGTCGGTTTTTTTTCAGTGCTACCGTTGCACATTCTAAGTATATCATAGTGATACATTATGTTGATGATTGGGTTCCACTACCACACTTACTGTGCAAGGGTTATTCAACGAAGTGTCGAATCTGTTGACGCCTTTTAGCGTTCCTCGTTAGCAAGTTCCTCTGATTTTAGCAAGCGACTGAATGCTAACTTTTGCTTTTTTAGAGTCACAGTACCATAGCAGAGAAAGACGCTGGATTTAAATATGCAAAGCTCTAAAGGTTCGCTTTGAAGGATTAGCGGAGCGGGCATGAGCGTAAGTCCTCTTTTGAGCTGCTCTGCTTCTCTTTATGCTAAAGTTCTCTTCTAACTTAAGTATCTCTTTCTCAACTTGAAAACAAATGATTGTATTTCATGCCTCATGATATTTGTGAAGAAAAATGATTCTACCTACCCCACATTCTACAAAAAAAGAGGATTCATGTTTGATAAAAATATGCTACAATTATCAGATGCCGTATAAGCTCACTGAAAATGTTTCAAGGACTGCTTATGGCTACTCCTACGAGGTGCGTTGCAATGGAATGATGCAAACTAAGGCCCCAAAAACTCAGACTTCACGCGACTTAATCGTCGCGATCTAATCGCCAAGATTTCTATTCATTTTCATTTCACGTTCAAAAATTTCGGTCTGGAAAAGTATCACAACCGAATGCAAGTTGATCGGCATGGAATGATGTTGTAACAGTTGTCTCGTCGCGACTCAGTCGCGACGATCAAATCGCGTGAAGTCTGCCCGGGGCCTAAGAGATACCAAACGCTGTGCTATCAAAAATCTTGACATACTTGTAGATAGATGGCGAAAACAAAGGCCTTTATCTGGAAGACGGCCTTTCGCACGGCGGTCTCCAGCACCACCCTGACGACTTGTCCCTTCCCCTGTGCTTTGTTTAGGCAAAAGCCGCATGTCTCGCGCTACTGGTTCTGCATGGAAAACCTTACGGTCGTGCGAATCGTCCTACACCAACTATATACCCTCGATATTGTGCTGCATATGCACTTGACTTACAGAAATGAGCGGGTAAGGGCGAGGAAATCTAGATAGACCACTTGCTAAGCTTAGTAACAACACCCGTTTGAAAACGGCACTAGTTTAAGAAAGAGAAAAGCATTTTTGAATTCACAGTAAAAGAAGAGATAGCTTACGAAAATGAGCGAATAGTCTTGAATGCTGTCGTTTGCCTAGAAGCTGCGTAAACGTTTGTGTCATAATATAACCATTTACTTGCAGGACATTATGAGTTAATGAACCAGTGGTAGTAAATAATATGTAGAATATTGAGACGAAATAAAGTAGCGGAACACATAGCTCACCTGAATTAACAGTACGACCGCGCACCACATTAACGATGTGGAAAGTGGATACCTAGCAGACCGGAGAAATGAGAGTAAAAAAATTGTCGCACGAGATGTGACCTCGTCAATCTTCCTCTTAAGCATCAATCAAAAGGAGCTAAAAGGGTAATGGCGAACTTGTTCATGCACAGAGAGCATGCAGATATGAGAAGTAGCTACATTAATCTGTTCAAGGTCTTGTTCGCAACTTCACTGTACTCCATGATTAATGGAAACTAGTTTGAATGATCACATAGGCATCGTTTTCTGGAATCTAAAATCACTTTAACGTCTATTTTCTGTATTAGCCAAATCGTCATACCTGAATAAAACTTTCGCTGCTTTTTGCAAGTTACAAGGATTTGGATCGAACCTCGTCCTTTGCAAATTAGAAGAGCTTGGATTAAACCTCGTCCTATGCTTATTGGTACGTAGTAGTAATTTATGTGCATCAGTGATTTCAGATTTGTTACTGTGCTGCTTGTTATTGTGACCACAGTTCCACTCATCAAAACAGGTCCCTTTCTAGAATGTTCACTTTACTTTATAGAAGGCATTTTAGCGTGAAATGATTGCTGAGATGCGATTGGTAACAGTTTGTGTACTCCTGACTACATCAATTGTTTTTTAGTAACAGCCGAAAAACTAAAAAGACTACTTTTTTATGTTTGAAAAAAAAACAAAGAGAAAAATGCCATGCAGTATTCTGACCAGACAATACGCATTCCGACGTAGCCGTTATTCAGGGCTACTTCGCAACTTCAGGACACTATGTTAGGCAGAGTCAATCGGATCATTCTTCATTTGTTTCTGAGCAATGGTGGAGCCTCTTTTGCTTGCCTTCGTTTCACTTGTGAAAAGCACGTTAGACTGATTTAATTAAGGGATCATAGTAAAGGTTCTAGCGTTGAGAGTACGCATATTTACCATGCTTCATCGCCACAGAACGTTCAACACTTTGCTTGATCAATCATAAACTCCATGAGGTAGCTTCGAAGTCAAACGCAGCATATACTGCAGCAACGTCCACATTAGCACAATGTGAACCCATGAAAGGTCCCGAAAAGGGATCGAATTGTATTCACACAGTCCGTACCAATCAAGCCAAGAAGCATAGGAAAAAACACACTACAGCAAGGCTAGAAAAAGTTAAACAAAAACCAACTTTATAGCAAACCGAGACGTGGCGAAACCACAGCGTCCGCACAGCTATGGTTTTGTGCCACATCTCGGCTATAGGATAAGGTCTGCCTTTTCTCTCCTCATTTTCTTCGATTCGTCCGACACTGCTTTACACACAATGCAGTGCAAAACTCTGGCGTTTGTGCGCATTTTCACAGATTGTAGTAGAAATCCAGATACCGATCAGTTTCAAGAACGTTTTCACCATGTGAATCATCTACTAACTTAATGGCGTATTCATTCTCTGTTTCTTTCCTCCTAAATGTTATTTTATGGGAACATCAACTTATGGACGTCAACAGGAATGAATTAGCTATACTGCTCCAAGTATTGAAGGTCATTTTGCCATGCATCAGTCGCATCATCAAATCACCATTGATCAAAAGAAAGAATGCACAAAAAACGATTGGATAGCTCAGTGTGAAGAAAGTACATGTTTTTGAACTTCTTTAATCTGACAGCTATTACCAATGCCACTCGTGTGTGTGTGTGTGTGTGTGTGTGTGTGTGTGTGTGTGTGTGTGTGTGTGTGTGTGTGTGTGTGTGTGTGTGTGTGTGTGTGTGTGTGTGTGTGTGTGTGTGTGTGTGTGTGTGTGTGTGTGTGTGTGTGTGTGTGTGTGTGTGTGTGTGTGTGTGTGTGTGTGTGTGTGTGTGTGTGTGTGTGTGTGTGTGTGTGTGTGTGTGTGTGTGTGTGTGTGTGTGTGTGTGTGTGTGTGTGTGTGTGTGTGTGTGTGTGTGTGTGTGTGTGTGTGTGTGTGTGTGTGTGTGTGTGTGTGTGTGTGTGTGTGTGTGTGTCCACAATCAAATTTTGCTCTCTCCGGGTTATGTCAGACTTGGGAACGGACGCAAAAAATCGTTGCGACGGGCGGAGCGACGTTAATGTTGTGAAGGAGGACGCTGCTTCCCTCATCGCGTCGAATGTTGCATGCAGGCCTTATCCGCGTACGTACGCGGATAAGTCTAACCAAACCCAAAGAACAGCAAAAGAAGTCGTTGTAAATTCTGGGACGAAAACGTAGACCATTCTCCGTAGCACTTTGCCAAAGGCATAGCGGCTCATCTAAAACCTTGATGAATTTGACACAGTATGAGTTTTATTCACAAATCAGGATGAATTTTTTGCGTGCATTTTTCGCATATAATCAAAGGATACGGGCCGTTCGTTATCAATCATTCGAAAAGCAGGCGATAACATCACTAAACAGCAAAGTGGAGCAAAGGTCTGTTTTTTGTAATCTTCGTGGGAACACAAACTAAAAAGTAGCTCGCGCTGCAGTCAGCTAACTTTTTTCATGGGTCCGGCGGGAAAGCCAGAGGCTTTATAAGGCGATTTTGCAGCAATTTAAAAATGCGCTAAAGTGTGCAAAAAAACAATGAGGAGAGTAGAGTATGTGGACTAGCTTCCAAAACAATTTTAAGTTCCGCTATCATTCCCCTCAATTAGAGGCGCACAATCTCAACCTGACAACGTAAGCTTCTTCGTACCGTCAAATTGGTTGATATCGCTTAAGCTCAACGTAACAGATTTCTCAAATAATTTCAACGCATTTGGCAGTTTTATAATGCTTCTGCAAACATCCTTTTGCTTTGAAATGCTGCAAACGTTGTATATGAACAAGTAGCTAGAGGTAAACTTCCATGCGGCAACTTTTTTCGCTATAAGATTGCAATGACCTGACAGGTGAGCGTCCGGTCAGGTGCCGCATTGGTCTCATCTGGCTTGTGTAAGAAAAACGTACGCCGTAAGTTAATCTTCCAGAAATACTGTGCAAATCCTGAAATCCAGAGAAAAATCTCACAAGTTGCTCATGGTTATTCAAAGCGCACGTCATTTGACGTAACACTGCTGCACAAAAAAAACTGCACAATTTTTGGGGACTTAAGATAAAAAAGATCGTGCTTGTGTTCGCAACTAGGCAGAGAAACAAGCTTGTTTCTTATTTTCAAAATTTGCATCAGTTTCTTGAAAAGCTGCATAGATTTATTTATTTATTGACTCATTATATTTATGTTCCAGAAAATCTGTTCTTTATGAACATTCATGCTGAAATGTCGGGTTTTTATTTTTCCACATTTACTGAGCGAATTTATTGATAGTCATCATCGATTTTATATAACGGCTCAAAGATTGCGCGGTGACGCAGTAAACATGGCTTTGTTAACCAGTCTCAAACCAAGCCACCCTTTACCCGTTTGACCGTAGCTCCATCTGTGTAATCGCATCAGATTATCTAAACTTAACTAGCTTCATTACGGGCCTACATCCTTTTAGCTGATCAACGAAGATGAATAAGCTATGTTTGTTATACGCATGACGCATGTGTGCAAGATTGCAGTGATAGAGTCTATAAATAAAGGATAAAGGATAAAGTACTCGGCGTCTTCAATATTCTCTGAGGGCATGCGCCGAACGCACACACTAACTTCATAGTCGAAGAGGCAACTGTGTGCGTGCGAGCCTACTACAGTGACTTGCGGGGGCCAGCCGTTTTCAAGTCAATGCTTTTAACCTCCCAGGTCACTCCGTTACCAAGTTGCCGGCCCCGGAGGGCTTGGTTGGCCCAGGGGCGAGGATCGAACCTATGTCCGACCTGGTCATAGCGGCACCTCATACCACTACACCACTCGTCCCCATAGAGACTACTAGATGGCTTACCCGGCTCCGCCCGGCCCTGTCATTATTTTATTCGTAATCAGCATGCTCGATTACCCCACTGTACCAATTCCCAGCCTCGTAGCTCAAATTTTGCAAAAAATCGATAAAATCGATATCGATCGATGACGAAAAGTAGCCTATGACACCCGCCGGGGCCCGAAGTGTATGTGTGCCAAGTTTGGTCCGGATCGGTTCAGAAATGGAATTTTCTATTCGGAACATACGTACAGACATACAGACAGACATACATACATACAGACAGACAAACAGACATTCAGCTTTATGTATAAGATAATGTAGTAAAAAACACAGTAGGCCACCCCCTTTTCTAGTTCAACAACGACTTTATTTTTTTGAACGCAAAGCAACAGCTTTGTATTAGGTTGTAAAGAAAGTTTCGCCAATTATTCTCGTAAATACCAAAAATGAATATGCAAAGGGCTGGTTCGAAATGTGTTCTTAGTGTGCGATGGCCTTAGCTACCTAAAACGTTATCCAGCTCGAAAAAATGACGATCAACTAGGAAGAAATGCCCAAAAAAGGAGAAAAATCCGTTGCGCTAAGGTCTGTGAAAAGGGACATTTTTCAGATTATGGACACGCAGAACTTCCAGAAGCTCGATTTGAAAATCCGTTTTATATCTTGTGTGTTGACTAAATGAAGCAATATCCGACTATTACTTGCCCCGATACCCGGGCCTTTTTGCAAGCAAGAAATAACTCATTGAAATCAGGGTTCAAAAAATCGAACCCTCTACATCTCTTGAAACGTAGCCAGCGCGCTTTTAGAAAAAGAGCATCTATGACATATCTAATCAGTAGTCTAAGGTGGATGCGATGCAGGAGGAACCAAAGGCCTGCCGCCTGTAGCCGTAGGAGATAATTAGGAGGGCGAGCGCTATGGAGAAGGTTTTGGCAGCGATCCAGTAAAATTTGGAGAGGACATTCATTAAAAACAAACCCTTATAAATCTCCTTGGAATCAAGTTTCAAGGATACGAAAGACAGATTTGGAATCTGTTTTGAAATGCGCATTTTCAATAATACGCTTAGATAGTTAAACAGCTTTATCTCGCAACGATTTCTACCAAAACTGTGCCTTCAAAATTCATCATTCTAAGCTGAGGAATTTCAAGCTTAATGTTGCGTGAAAAAGATTTCAACTGAATTTTTAGTGAAATTTCTGAATACGAAGTTGAAAGTATGAAGTAGTAATAAGGGAATATTGTTAACTAAGTTGCATGTGATGAACTTTTGCTACTGTGCACGACCTAAAGGATTACCGACATAGTTTCAATGGCAAATCCTATGAAGCCTCTAATGTCAAAATTTAGAATTAGAATGGGTTTGAAGTTATGAGAACTGCATATTGCATCTTGACACAAACCTCCAGATGTGTTTTTATGACAATTTGATTGCTTTGGTTCATTGATTTAAAAAGCAAACCAGTCCCTTATCTCAGAGAAAAAAGATTGAATTTTGAATGAAAACCCCGAACTTCAACAACTTGAAATTTCAAAATTCGAAACGAAAAGTTTCTATACGGTAGTTGACTTTTGTTGCCACTACAATTTCAAATTTTCACTTACTTTTAGGCCCAGTGAATGCGCCTTCCAATATCACAAATCTGTTTTCAAATATTTCAAAGTCATCTCCAGAAGAAGTTATGAAGATTTCTTCCTAAAGAATGTCCTTGGATCTTCTTGGATCCCTGCCAAAATATTCTCCACAGCACTCGCGCTCTTAATTATCTCCTGCGGATACAGGCGGCAGCCTGTATGCTATGTATGCTTAACATACACAAACTCACGTTTGAGGAAGGGGGGGGGTGTAATTATGTTGAATCTGTATCATTTTTGAGCAATACGACAATATCATGATGCTGTACTACATAAGAACTAAAAATGAAACTTTTTTGGCTCTGTGGTAGTGTAGTTGAGGCTTCACTGGAAAGGCCAGAAACGTAACCTTTTGTCATCTGTGTAGATTTGAGGTACCCTTATGTAGGATACGATGATGAGAATGATCAACTCAAAGAAACCGAAGCCTTTATTACAGGAAGCGAGAAATTGGTATCACAGCTGAGCAGAATGATCATTAGTTATATGTAAGGTAAATGGAAAATTAGGTCATAACAAGTGTCATTCTCCACATGTTTTTGAGATTACCTGGAATACATACAGCAGTTTTGTGATAAAGCGATTGGGCAGGATTCCATAGAAGGTCACTACCTAAGTAAAAGCAAAAGCTCAACTTGTCAAAATGAGAACCTATTTTCAGAACCCAAAGTGCTATTGTATAATTAAATAGAGCAAAGTATAATAAAACATGTCTAAAAAGTTTCGAATCTGTGCATAAAAGAGGGAGCGTTTCGTGCTCGATTAGCACGAGCGCAAGCCGAGCTAATCTGGTCGTTTAGTGACGACGGACCACAACTGAACACTCCAATGTCGGGGGTCTATAAAGTGTTGGAATAATTATAATAATAAACTTGCGCACAGTATAAACCTACATTATGGTGTATGTTCTGCATGTAGGAAAAGAAGGCATCGAAGTTTGGACGACCGAAGTGGTTATGAGCTCGAAGACCAGTGAACATTGATACACCTTGATGGTCACCTCGGAAGTGCTTCTCGCAGATGTACTAAAAATAGATTTTCATTTTGATTTTGTACAGTACTGATGCCAGATCAGGTCTGTGACCACCAATTTTATTGTCAACTCAGCTATGCATAGTTTCCGAATAAAATTTTTTACGGGAAATAACAGGACAAATTTTCTTTTCGAATTCACGTAATTGAATCAATTTCACTGGATTGCATCAGTTAGGATTTTTCTCAGTTTAAAAAGGAGTTCCGCTTGCTCGATAGAACATGTTAACAAAATCATGTGAAGGGTTAGCATACAAGAAAATTAAGTCGAATAGCCATGTTAGAGCAGAGTCCGGTTTTGAAAGAATCATGTTGGCACAAGCTGGGGCAATAGTTCAATAACCAAGATAAAACGCGAATTGAAGTAAAGATTACAAAATTTTAGAGGCGCTTTTGAATGAGACTTCGTCCTTCAGCACATATAATTCAATAACTCAATTGTGCAAAGCAAATCATAACGAAAGTGATAGGATGTGCTGTTGTTCCGAAAATCATGTGCATGCACATGATTTTTGGAACAGTCCGAGAGTAAGGGAATATGAGAAGCAGAGAACCATTACCGAGAAAGTAGATAAATTTCCAAAAAGTTGCTAGTATCTTCCATCATATCATGTCTTATCCATACGTTCGATAGTCTAGAGACAGGGCGTCAAAAGTGAAGGTTGTTTGAACATCTGACGTCATAAATAGTGAAGGTTGTTTTAAGAAGATCAGAGAAGAGAAAATGACGTAAAACAGACATGAAAAGCAAAAGAAACTGCTGAAAACCGAATGAAAACGCTGCAATGAGATTTGAAATCTTTCATTTGGCGGCTTTTCAAAGAGCAAGTTTTCGCTCCAGGACCAGCAATTTGCAACACGGGGTTTTGATTTTTGATGCGTCCTTCAAATTTCAACTCCCGCATTGACGTTCCTGTTTCCTGGGACGTTGTCTGGATTGTTGCGCTCATTGTTCTGAGCAACAATCGCCCAGGCTGGAAAAAATCGATGCGAAAGCACTGAAGAACAAGGTAAAGAAAAGCGCACTTTTTGCGATTTTTCGCAGAAAATTCCACCATAATCGAAGAGGTAAGGACTGGGTGGTTGTCTGCATTATGAACAGAAGCAAGATCTATAGAATACACGAAAAAAACCGCGTGAAAAGAGTTAAATTAAGAGAAAAAAAGAGATTTTCGAAAACAAGGTTTTTGCCGGATTTCTCGATCAAATCAAAAAATGTGGTCCTGGGACGTTTTCAGCGTGAAAATAGCAAGAGCTTCAAAATGATATATATGGCTAAAACTGGGTTCGAAACAACGAAGAAAAGGGTACCAGAGCCAAATGCCCCGCGCCCCGCGTTTGGGGTAGCGAGGTAGCGCGCAGCGCGCGGAGACGCAGACGAGCAGCGGAGACAGACCAGAGCCGACGGGGCATTTGGCTCTGGTCGTAGATCTCCGCGGGGTCTCAACGAAACCCTGCATAATTATATATCATTCTGATCGTCATAACACGTCGAGGAGAACTGACAATGTACCAAGCTTTGAAAATCATTCATTAACGAGAAAGACCAGCGTTTTCGTGCGCGACTCTCTGCGTAAGATTTAGGCGCAGTTTCTCGTTTTTATTTAACTCCAATAGCTTTCCTAAACTTCTGAAACTCGATTTTGGTCAAATGAAAGGGTAACTGAGAAATTTTGTCCTAAATTCTGGCAAAAATTCCATAAAAACCTTCTTTTTAACGTAAAAAAGGCTATGAAAACGCAAATTCTCGGTTTCGCTGAGATAAGCTAAAGACATTATTCCCTATAATTGCTTCATTAACATTCCTTCCGAAATAGTCAGGATAATAGCATCCGGGGCGAAGCCCTGATGACTTCTGCCTTTTTCAGGTGAAGGTTGTGTCCCCTCATAGCCCTCAAAGTGAAGGTTACCAGAGTACGTGGCTCTATGTATCGAGGGTATGGCTTGCTCAAAAGATCTGCACAAACAAGTCCTACTCCTTCGTGCGTGATAGACAACTGTCCTTTTCACTAGTACGATTTTGTTTTCTAAAATCGATCAACCCAAACATGCCAAAAAATTCGCTGCCAAAGAATCTTATCCGCTTCGCATATTGAGCGGAATCGTACTGCGTAAGGACCGTGCTCCCAGAACACACGGAGCGGCTGAGCGACTAGCTTGAAAAATCGAAAAAAATGCGCCACGTATTGTGAAATTTACTCTACGTACAAGCAAGTGTGACACCAAAATCTGACGCGTGTGTACCACCCGAAACCTTCGTGCTCGGTGATCCGTTAGCTTACACGTGGTCACTGTACCATCGAGACATAGTCATGAACAAAGGAGAAGCATGCTGCAAAAGTTACAAACTGCATTTTTGTCATCCCGTTTGGAATGCCTTCAGCGTGATGCACTGCTTGCCGGACTTATGTCAGCATTAGGGTTTTGTTCATAGAAGATTTCATGTATCCGGCAGGAAGTCGAGAAGTCTATTTGCCAAATGTTCTAGCATTTGCTGGTGAAAAATTTACTTTGTGCAGACAGAATTTGGCGCTTTTGACGACAACTCTAATCATCCAACGCCATCCTGAGTCCTACTAGCTTCCTGGTAAAGAAAAGAGGAATTCCAATCGATGAGTCTCTGAGGGGAACGTATCTTTATTTTATTTATTTATTCAATACGCACAAGGCGTGCCACGTTTAGAAGAAAGAAAACGAAAATAGTCAGAACCTGACAGTTATAAACAACCAACAAAAACTCCACCAAGAGTTCAAGTCTAGCTCTCAGATGTGTTAGAAATAAAAGGAGGTTAAGTTTGTTTGGAGCTTGTACGAAAATAGAAGTAAAATTCTCGTGGAGTCAGTCTTATGCCTCCTGCTTGCAGCAAAAGTGCTCTTAGGTTCAACTAAGCAACTGTATTTGCGGGGACCGTATATATTGACAAAATTGCCCGAGATTCTAGGGAGAGAACAGAACTTCGAGATAAGAGATTATAATATAAAAAGATGAACAAGCCTGACAAGCTATTCTTGCCATATTCGTGAATCCACTTTCAATTCCCCGCCACAGTCGTTTATTTTTTGGGTTTCAAAGGAGAGAGCACTCCATAACTCTAAGAAGTAATTACAACCTTCAAAAAGAAAGTCATAAAAATATTTGCGGAAAAAACACTGTCCGAGGTGACCTTGATAAAGGCAACGAACTCTATCTGGTCATTGAACGCCAAATTCTCCGTTTACTACAAAAGCAGACTCATAGAAAATCAGGGGGCAGTAGTAATTCCTTTGGACGTAACGTCTGTGTCCGCAATCTAAGCTCGAACACAGCCTCATTTTGCAAGCAACCTATTAACTGATTAGCTAACTCTTTATCACGAGTATATCGCGAGCTGACAATCTACTAACCATAAGATCACGAGTCTAGCTCGAGCTTAATCAGATAATCGCCGGGGGCAGGCGGCCATGCGATTTATGGGCGGGCGGGCACCGGAAAAATAGTTCGCTGATTTTTTTGCGGTCCGCCTGCAGATATTTGGAAGAATTTTAGCAAAATTTTAGACGAATGCCTGAAGAACAATCGCGGTTTTCTTATAGATTAGCTGCGGCGCAGGCCGCATTCTCGCGGGCTTTCCGCGAGAATATGCAAAATTTTCCAGGGCCGCACGGTCCTTTGTGGAGGACCGCGCAGCCCATAGGTACTTTCCGCTGAGAGAAAGTACCTCAAACTTGAGTAATTAAACCAACGGTGACACCTCTGCCACACAGAGTCTTACCTGTGCTCGACGTATGCCCGAAACTGCGTGAAAAGAGTCCGAGCGCCTATCGAAAGTTCGGCCAGCGTTTGCACAAAGAGATTATTTGACGAGCGCCTGCAGAAAATTCTGCGTTGCTGCCCGCTGGCAGAACATTAGACAGTAAAGGAAGTACCGCTCGCTGAAGGTTTGGCCAAAATCCTGCTGACCGCTTGCAGAAAAGCGCGAGTTTGCTGATCGCCTGCCCCTCGGCAATTATCTGAGTAGGTGAACTGTGTTTGACGCGATTGGATGCGTTTGTTAAAAGATAGCCAAATCGATAAGAGGCTTACCGAATGAAGCTGGGCTCGAGTTTAGGTTCCGAGCTCGTAGATTACGTCCATTTGACTCAGAGTTTCTAACGTTTCAGCTTAGGCCCCGGTCAGACTTCACGCGACTTAATCGTCGCGACCAAATCGCCAAGATTTCCATTCATTTTCATTTCACATTCAAAAATTTCGGTCTGGAAAAGTACCACAACCGAATGCAAGTTGATCTGCATGGAATGATGTTGTAACAGTTGTCTCCTCGCGATTCAGTCGCGACGATCAAATCGCGTGAAGTCTGCCCGGGGCCTTACACACATGAGGATATTTTCTTACGCAGCGTAAGCTGCTTATGCGAGCGTAATCCACTATAGCGACGTACGCGATGTACGCTGCGAAGTCGTGTACGCAGCACAGTCTGGCCCAAAACTTACCAGCCAAGTATTAGGCCAGAAGACAGCGCACGCTAAAAATACTCTCAGCACGCTTCCAACGCGGCTGGCGACACAGCATGATATGGAGAGGTATAGGGCATTCGAAAAATCGTGACGATGGCGCGACCGCGCGCAACACGCACGCACTCCCAATTCTTGATTTCTATTTCTACAAAAATACATAGTTTTTCTGGTTACATATGGTAGTACTCAGGCACTGGGAGTGAATGAGCTTAGCGTTGAGGTGCTGCCTGTGTATATGGGTGTTTTATCCTTCTGTGTGCGGAAAGACCGCAGTCAACTCGTCGTCACGATTTTAAAAATGAACCATAGGTGGCACAGGAGAATCAATTTACATTGGTTATAGTGCCAGTGCAGCGTTGGCAGCATGCCCAATAACGCTGCCAACGTTCACTTTCACGTTGCTCCAATAAAATCACACAAACTTCGAAGTGAGGAGCTGGAATGTGCAGGATTAAGTGAACATGCTGAATGCAAAAAATAACAAACGTTTGAGAGTATCATTGGCTGGTACGATAAATTGATATTCTTCGCAATGGATTGAAGTTTTCAATGAAGGATCTCAAGTTAAGGAGTAAATAAAAAGTCAATTTTGAACCTCCGGAACAACAGAATAAAACTTTTCCAATTTTCTGCTCGTAAACAGTTCGTTGGTCCTTTCTACTCACAGGTTCCAAAAGTGCGCAGTTTTACGCATTTGTCGTCCGTGGCAACATTTCTTTCTAATTTCCCGCTCTAGAACAAGTTCAGTTCAACTTGCATCCAAGTTACGGACACCCGGTAAACTGATAGCGGCACTTGGCCGAATAAGCTTCTGTGACTTGACGTTGCTTTTTGAAGCAGGCAAAGTGGAGGTCCTAAGTTCAACTTGGTTGGTTTTTCTGAGAGGGTCAGCTCGTTTAACAGGGCCCATGCGGAGTTTACCAAAAGTCATTGTAAGAATTCGTGCTCAAAATGTTCGGGTTTATGCTTTCAATTAACCTTCAGTAAGTCCTTCGTTCTCACCTAAAGCGGATATATTAGGTTGTCCGGAAATTAATGTCCGTTTTGAACTTCAACCGCAATAAGTCATATACATATTTTTCATTCCTGAATAGGCTTCAAGATACCATTCGATAGAGCAAAGCAAGCTCTACAAGATGGCAATCTTGCTTTAGCAACAGCTCTGAACCACCTCGAGTTCCGAGCCAAAAACTAAAAAGATTCAACTGCCTGAAAAATCGAGAAAAATCATAGCTCATTTCAGAAGAATCCTACAAAAATTCTAATTTGCTCACGTAAACACTATCCACATAAGACATATATGTACGCAGTTGCCGTATTTTTTCCTCTGTTAGAAATCAAGAAAACGAAAATTTCCATGCTTTTGCCAAAGTGATGCTGTGTCGTCCCTACATAAGTAGATGTGTACTACAAATCTGTAGAAGTGCAATCGTAAATTTCCAGCTCTCTACAAGCTTTAGTTCTCGAGAAATTTGAATTTTAGCTTGGACCACCTGACTAATGAAAGCTATATTCGATATTTCTCGAGAACTAAAGCTTGTGGAGAGCTGAAAATTTACGTTTGCACTTCTACAGATATGTAGTACACATCTACTTATTTGGGGACGACACAGCATCACTTTGGCAAAAGCATGGAAATTTCCATTTTCTTGATTTCTAACAGAGGAAAAAATACGGCAATGGCGTACATATGTGTCTTATGTGGACAGGGTTTACGTGAGCAAGTTAGAATTTTTGTAGGATTCTTCTGAAATGAGCTATGATTTTTCTCGATTTTTCAGGCAGTTGAATCTTTTTAGTTTTTGGCTCGGAACTCGAGGTGGTTCAGAGCTGTTGCTAAAGCAAGATTGCCATCTTGTAGAGCTTGCTTTGCTCTATCGAATGGTATCTTGAAGCCTATTCAGGAATGAAAAATATATGACTTATTGCGGTTGAAATTCAAAACGGACATTAATTTCCGGACAACCTAATACTTTTAATTTACTATCTGTAAACCTACCAGCATAGTCGTTCGCAAATCAAACTTGTGGAAAAATTGAGTGACGAAGATGTGTGTTTCAAGCAGTTCATTTCTATCCAATTCTTCTACATCCTTCAGTACGTCCACAAACCATTCGTAATTCTTATGTGTTGGGCAAATCCATAAGAAATAAACCTGGAAGAGAGCTTATACATACATGCATAATAGCATTGCATAGTATGTGCTAACTTTTTTGCATTTAACGCTATGATGCCTTCCTGAGGTCGTTTCGAGGACAAGATCAGTTAGCGTGGACGCATAGGGTGTTACACCGATTCCTCCACCAATAAGAACGGCCACTTCATAATTGGTCCATTCCTAAAATTTTAGTAAATATGAAAAACTTGAAAACCAAAGACGAAGCCTCGGATGCTGAACCCAGACTAACTCGAAATGATTGCGAATAAAGGAAGTATAGTGAACAATAACTTGGTAAAATTATTCAACATCAAAAAGCTACGTTGATTCTTGCAAGAATTCTCCAAAAATGGAAACAACGTTCCTCAAGTAACCTCTTCATGAACTACTTATGTTTTCTAGAAATTCGAAGACTATTGAATCAAAACGTCAAGTTGCACAAAGCCTGCATAAAAATGCTGATTTATCTCGTCAAGACGTAATTTTTACCGTCAGCGACATTGTGCTCCCAGTCGTATCATGACGAAAGAATGATAAATAATTTTGCAGAGTTCTGTTGAATTTCTGGTGATTTCTAATTTAAAGTGCAGTTTGCATATGAGATGTATACTGTCTTATAGAGCATGAAACGCTGGTTCCAAAACTGCTTTCGATTCTGTAAAGCGTTTCTGGGATGGGAGTCATGTTCTGAGGTAGAAATTCAAGGTTTTTGCTGAGGTAAAAAAGAGTGCTGAGGTTTTTCCGGCGCTTGGATGGAGTAACGAATAGCTTAAGTTGACTCAAAGTATTGACTGTACGAAGCGCCCTGGCAGCAAATATATCCCCCATCCGGGCTCAAGACTACAGTTCTGAACGATTTTACTGTAGATGATTTTCTGATTTTACTTTCAACAAACTGAAACAATAGCCGAGCTTATTTATAGCTGTAGCAGTACAAAGTACGTGCTCAAGATCAACACATATCCCATAATCACTGTCTTGTGCACAATCTTTCACTGAGAATGACATCCATACTCGACTTACCAGATTTTTGCGGAGTTCATTGGGGGATTCACTAAGCCAATGCCGAAATTCCACATAACAAGGCTTTTGTTGACAAAATTGGACCAAAGTGGCTCACGAAGCGCGTTTTGGCGCGCGTTGAACAATTTCTCCCATTGGTGTTTAAGGTAGGTGCCAGAGTAAGCGAATATTTTGTTCAGCTTCGTTTAGCTGCAGAAGGCGCGCAGAATTATTGTCTGTTGCATAATCTCTCCTGCTGCCAAGGCCTGCTTCAGCTGCAGGTCCCGCGCAGAATCAACGTTTGCGTCTTTTGCAGCTGAGTGAAGCTGAAGAAAATATTCGCTTACTCTGGCACCTACCTAACGCGTATTTCTAAACGACGCCACCTTTCTTGACGTGTTCAACCCTCATGCCCGAAACACTAGGGTGAGCGGAGAAGCCCGTCCGCATTGCTTCTATGAAAGCTTCGTTGAAAGGATTGCTGACGTTTTTTGCAAACTAAAGCCCCTAAAAGGTCATACAAGGTCGAGAACAGGGCCCGCCACCGATGGTTTGGGGTCAAACTGGACTTCGTTTTTGGAGTTAGAAGCAACGGAGACATCGTTTTTATGAGGTCCTGGAGGAAGCGCCAAAAAACACGACGAACAGGGTGGAGGACATTAGGTCGCCGAATTTGGAAGAGTCCCGCGCGGATTCCCTGCAGGAACGCATGTCCGCGCATGTATAAGGGTGCGTATTTGTCGCAAATAACCGCGGGGACCGCCCTTTTTCGGCGACCTAATGTCCTCCACCCCGACGAACATGTCAGGTTTCACGAGTTGAACGTGTTCTTTCGCAAGCGCGCGAATTTCAAATGCAAGACTCAAACAAACAAATGGCTTGTTTACAGGCACAAACAATCACCTGGCTCCAAATTTGGGCTTTATGTACACAATATTACTCCAAACTATGTTATGTAAAAAGTTCCCAAAACTTATGTGTCCTAATATCCGTTCTCGAATTTGTTGGTTTCTAGACCAAATACTAAACCAGCTGGGTTGGTTCGGAGCATAAATATCGGAGAGTTCACATAAGTTTTGGACCTTGATTTGGACGATTAGAAAGGTCAAAAATCTATCATTTAGTGAAGGATCGGATCAAACCGTTGCCTCTCCCCATTTTTTGAGTCGAAAGTAGTATAATTCTACGCGTTGATAGATATCGCGCTCCAATCACTTGCGATGTCCTTTGAAATATGTGGCGAAAAATGCATCGCAGGATTGTTGAGGCTACAGATTTGGTTGGCGTAGGAGATTTTCGACATTCCCAGCATCAAAATGGTACTATACCCAACGGCAAAGCCTTTAATCGACTCGAAATGTTTTCTTTTTGCTCTTTTGTTATATTACATACCTCAAAATGCGCTTTTTTCGCTTTTTGTTGCTATATTGGTTGAATAAGGGTTTCCCTACTGATTCTCACGTCGAGAGGGACTTCGTAAATTTTCGCGAAGTCATGGGGGACTTCGTTTCCTAAAAACCTCCAAACCAACGCGTGCCGGGCCCTGGTCGAGAAGGCTGGTAATTCGCAAAAATCCCGAGACCCGAATCCAGTGAGACACTGGCCCGTAGTTAAGCTAGTTCAGTTCAGGTGAACTGAACTGAGGCCCTCATCCAAGGTTCGGTAAGGTAGACTGCCTATCACCAGCTTCCTATGTTGTAAGAATGGAAAATGAAATTTCAGCTGACCGTCCGTGAGGACGACCTAACGAGGTAGTCTACCTTATTTCAGTCAGTTCACATTCAGTTAGACTACCAACTGATGTAAATAGTGTGCCAATGATGCAACGCAGAGAAACTTCTCGTATTACTCCTGAGTAACTTACGATACACGTCAGTTCAACATGTTGAACACACTAAGTGAGGAGCCACAATGCAGTGGTGACGATCTTTAACAACATCTAACAAGTGCGGCCACATCTCCGTCGCTGATGCCACTCATTTAGATGGGGTGTGTGACGTTTCGCACGACCGTAATGCTTTCCACACAGGACCACCGCCGCGCGCGACACACCCTGCGGCGGCTTTTGCCTAAGCAAAACACGGGGAGGAAAGATTTGCGGCGTGCATTACATGTTAAGACAAGTCAAAATCAGGGAGACGCTGGAGACCGCCCGTGCGAAAAGACCGTCTCCCTTTAGATGTGAATGTTAGCGGACGCGTTTTGACTCGTACACTTGCATGAACGTGGCGTTCTCAATCATATCATCGTGGATGGGGGGCAATATCAATCAATGGCTCGACTGAAGGCAAGCTGACTCGTCGAAGCCTCAACTGAAATTGAGATCGAATGAAGCAGCTTTACTACGGACCACTATCTTCAACAAAAGGATATCATCTTGATCTTCACTTTGAACTGCAACATCGCCAAACCACATTTCTTGGACTGTGTGAGGGAAAAATCCGTGAAGAAGCGTGTCTTTGAATTTCTCTTGTTTGTTCTTCAGTTTGGCTCTTTAACGTGGTCTCTTTCGTGCACAAGATCCTGCCTTTCGTTGACAACACCGCCGAGCTTACTTTTTCGACTGCGGCGCAATATGGCAAAAAGCTGCAAATGCTTTTCCCTCCATACTTCATTCCTGAAGTGATTTCGCAACCACTATTCACAGCGCAAACTACATTGCCGGGTATGAAAGTAACAAGTGGCAAGAATTCAAAGAACGTCGAAAACGTCGAAAACGATATTCGCAACATGCACTTTGATCTCGGAGAAACAAAACTTCCCGATTTCACAACTAAATTCTTTTCTGTTCACTTTTTCCTATCATTGCCAATCACAAACTGCGATTACTTTTGAAACTATCGCAAAAAGCAGTTTTTTCTCGCATTCCCTTATTTCTGAAAAAAAGCGGTGAGAAGAAAACCAGCGCTTTGAATACCGCAAAGGAAGAATTCGATAATTTATAACAGGGTTTTTACCATTCATCAGATACCTTCTTTGCTTATTCACGTCCCTTTTTCTTCTTTCATTTTTTGAAAACAAAAATCATTTTGTATGAAATAGGGGTAGGGGGGGGGACGACCTTTTTGTTCAAGCCTGTCTCTAGTTATATTTCAGGGGAAAATTTTTACCGCCGTTGAATCATTTTTGAAAAAGCAAAAGATGCTTTGTTTTGATAGGCTAGAAATTTTTCGGAGTAACCATATTTTTCCCCCGAAAAATTGTCTCACTAATGATTAATGATTTCTATAATAACAAGTTGCCGCTTGCACTATGTATAGCATGACTGATTTCGTCTCAAATTTTTGGGAAAAAAATTATTGCAAAAAATTACCTGGTTTCCATCGCCATACGGTCCATTCATGTGTACCAGTGGATAATGTGAACCATTTGCTTGTGCTCGTATGATTTCCGACCTCATCTTCCATGTCCATGGACCAACAGCCTGAGCACCAATAGTAAAAATACTTATTGATTCTTGAGAATTGTAATCACCTTGATGTATAATTCAAGCGTTGGCGCCTGAGGTGCTGACGCAAGCGAGAATGCATGGCATTCATTGAAAGCGCAGGAGAAAGCAGGCGAAGAGATCCGGACCCATTGACCGGAACGGAATTTGAAAGATAATGGTCTCTTGAACTGGAGATAGATTATGTCTGGAAAAAATTGAAAATTGATTTTTTTTCGAAGGACCAAGAAAGGTAATAATTTTACCGGATGGTAATAACTCTGCGTTGAGAATTTTCAGTTTCTTGTACTCTTGCCGCATTCCCATAATGCGGTCGATGACAAAGATGATCACTGGGCCGATGACGTAGTACCAGAATTTTGGGGACTAAAAAATCAAATGTTCCACTAATTTTGCGCGAAGCCTGGGATTGGCCCTTTTGCACCGCTACACTATGCTACAGTAACGCAAAGCTTTTGAAATGTTACAACGAAAGCTGAAGCACTTTCCTCTTCTTTACTGTGCATATTACGCAAAAGTGCATTAACCACGCTTCGCAGACGCCACGTGATGTTACGGTAGCATACGGTATCGGTGCAAAATGGTCATTTTCTTCAAAAATGGAGAAAATAAAGGACTTACATCCAGCAACTTTGGTAAACCGTGTAGTACTGTCAAGGCATAGAATGCAACGTTGAGCAAGTGAGTAAGCCTGCAATATTCAAAAATCATAAAAGATTGAACTCCTTGATTTTTTTTCAAATATAATTTTTGTATTTTCTGACAACAAAGGAAAATTACTAGTGAAAAATTTTTATATTTTTAACTGCGACTATCTTCTTGCTGTTAAACTCACTTTGCATCTTGGAATTTCGACTACAATTTTTCTATTTTGATCTTTGAAAAACTAAATACTTTTGAGATCTTATCTTACCGTCTATGGTATTATAAAATTTCTAATCCAGAAAAATGATGCATGGTTATCTTTCCCTTGACTGTGACCATTCTTTTATCGAATAGAATATGTTGATCTGGTTGCGCACTGAACCTTACCGAAACGCATGGTAGGCCCGTTTCATAAAACATGGCAATGCGAACACATATATGATAGACATAACAGCAACGAGCAGGATACCAGTAAGACCAGTTATGGTACCATAAAACCAGTAGCTGATAGATGGTAGGAAGTTGGATCTAAAAATATTCTGTATGGTAGGTGAAATTGCAAAAATTCTGTAAACTTACCCAAAGACTGCTTCTTGGAATAGACAGTTCAAACCCTCTTGACTCTGGGTGGCAACATGATAGAAGTTCACACAATGGCCAACAGTATGAAGTGAGGCCCAGAAAGCTGCGAATAGGGCCACAATCTGAAAAATTTGTATTCTACAATTTTGCTCATGACTACAATCTTTCATGAGTCCCAAGAAATTGACTATGCTCCCAAATATGCTCTATATTCTCTATAAGCTTTGAATGGATAATTTCAAAAATGAAATTGTTTTCTTTTCGCGATTAGTGTGAGATAGCGCGATAATACGCTAGCGTAGCATATATCAACGCAAAAGGAGCTTCTTTTTGATGATAAATAAAAAAAGACGGTAAAAAAAACAATGACAATCCCCTTGCTTCAATAATTGGCAGCACATGTCGATTCAACCAGTGGCGGTCCGAGAGATTTGCTTTGAGGTGAAGAAGGGGGGAAGACAACAACTTCTTTCAAAAGAAGGTGACTAGCGTGCCATGCCTTCAAGAAATTTTCAAATTTGAGAGTGCCTCAGAAAATTATCATAAAGCTAGACTAAATTTTTTAAAACCTTTAAAACTTGTTCTGACTATCTAAAAGTAAAATCGCATTGTCTGCATGATTTTTTAGCCCATATGAACCGCTTTCAAAAATTTTGCAGTACATTGTCAGTGTGCCCCCCCCCTCACAGGTCCGCCAGGCCCTACAAGGCCATTCCCATTTTATCCTGTCATCGATGGGTATGGAGTCTTTTGCACTCACATACCGTATGCTACCATACTACGGAATACCTACCGTGAGTACATGTGATGTGCAAAGCGGAAGCCAGCGGTAAACACAAGTTGCCTTCCACTTCACACGTCGCGTGAAGTTACGATAGGGATACTGTGGCGATGTGATGGTGCAAATTTCTACTCACCTTATGGAAAGTAATAGCCGAATCAAATGGGATGAATTCTCCCATAGGCGTCTCCCTAATCAGCGTAATCACATTCCTGCATACGGTAAGCAGCACCACTGCCATACAGAATGACAATGCTCCAGCTGCCCCACGAGTAATCGCAATTCCAGCTCCCATAACTCGTCGCAAATCGCGATGTTCGGTCTCGTAACGATAGTCTGAACGCGTGATTTACTGTAGCGGCTGAGTTTAAAAAATTTACTAGACTTACGCCAGAATCGTTCCAAGAAAACAATGGCATTGATACAGCAGAAAATGAACATGATGGCGATGTGCTGACGGTAAGTTTCCACAAAAGCAGCAATGGACGAGAAAATGTTGCCTCGAGGACATTTTTGAGTTTCTTCGGTGGCCATGACCGCAAAGGAACTCAGTGATGCGGTTCTAAAAAATATTCATTTTCAACATTTTTGTGATTTGTATTGCAGGATACGCTGCGAGCCAACATACTGGTCTGGAAGAGAGGGTCTCAGCGATGCAGGTCTTTTTGCACTGCACCTTACCTTATGCTACCGCCTCGCGCGTTATGCCTTTCAGGACAAAAAACACTGGGATCTTAACACATTCACGACAAGGCCGATTTTTCGATTACTGCCGTTACGGACCAGAGCTTTTTTGCTTTGTCAAAGTTACGACCCATCCGTGGGTGGTATTGTCCGAAATGGTAGTCTTTTTGGAAGAAATTCAAAACAACTCTCCGAATTCCCACAAGGGTTATCGAAGACGCTGTTTACCAAAATACGATTATTTCAGTTTGTGGCGGTATACGATAAGGTTACGGTAATCATCCTGTACGAACCCAACATCATGGATTTTCATGGAAAATTGTGTTTTAGGGTTATTTCACGTGCTGATCACGATTATAGTGTCCACTTTGTTCATTACTTTTCCCCAGTGAAACTACGGTAGCAGTACGATGGATTTCCGTAAGAATCAAGAAACTGATGTAAGAAGGCGGTATTAGAACTTGAGGCTATCATTTTCGTAATCAGCATGCTAAAAAACCTATATATGTAAGGTATGAGCTTCCTGGGATGAACAATGCGAAAAATCAATAAAGTTAATAGAATCGATAATTTTTGATGGGCTGACATCAGTTTCGTGTCCCCCTTTATTTCTCGTGCATGTAAACTTGAATTTGCAAAAACGGCACCACTCTGCGAAAAATTTGAGCTAAAGTCTGTGCCTTACCTCCATCTACGGTATACCTAACGTAACATTACATTACAGTATCCCGAACCCGGACCACTCTGGATGGAGCTTCGACAAGGTGTCCCCAATCATGTGCCAGAACCTCGTAGAATTCCATCGCATACTTGCAAATCTAGAGCTTCAGGAACTTACGACCCACCGGTGGGTCGTATTGTCGTGAATGTGTTAATGCTGCACCTCTTTCTGCGCATCATAGTAGTAATGTTGTCTTGAGACGCTTTGCAAAAAGACATATGTCGTGCCTTTTTGCACCCCTTGATAAAGATACGGTACAGAACTGTTGCGGTGCAAAAGGACCGTTTTTTTTTGTTTCGCACTGACTTGCTGGTAGGGATGTGCTCTGAAATAATGTGCAAAAAAGTATTGGTTGGCTCTCACATACGCCGCCGCGAGAATTACGGTGCCTTACTGTAGCGGCATAAAGAGGCCTATTCCATTACTATTTACTATTCCATCACTCTACAAGTAGGAAACTGCTCTGTTCTGCAACGCGTTGCAAATACAGTATGTCGCGCCCTTTTTTGCATTCCGTCGTGGGGTCTAGGGTATCGTACTGCATTGGTGCAAAAGAACCGTTTTCTATTACATGCGAAATCAGCCAGTAAAAAAGTGTTCTTGTTTTAGAAATTACGCGAAAACGTACGTGCCTTTTTTGTCGTCTTGGAGGACCGACGCCATACTGTAGTGGTGCAAAATGGCCGGCCCTTAGTCAAAACCCTAAACTCACTCATGCAAGTTCACTTTCAGCCTAGCTCCACGCATATCTACACCAACTGGACGTCGCTCATCAACGTGCGAGAAAATCGCTTCGAAGTCTGCGGCAGTCAAATATTCGGTGGAAGGATGAACACCTAAACAAATTTTCAAAAAAGTGGAAACGAAACATATAATGGAGTTTCTGTGGTTTATACCTGATCGACTCAAGATGCTGTCAATGACGTGATTTTGTGTGTTTTCCGTGATGCTTACACCAACTACAGCGTTTAGTGACCGAACAAACTCAGCGAATTCACTTCGACGAACTCGTCCATTACCATGAACGTCACACATTGCGAATAATAGTTTGTACTTGTCCTTCATCTTGCCTAGAGGGGTCGAAAATTTGAGAAATTCTTGAAAAAAATTTCTGGGGGACCAACCTTCATTGAATTTTCTCAACACCTCCAAAAATTCAGCAAATGTGATGACATCGCTATCCGTACGAGAAGTAACAGCAAACATTCGTTGTACGAACATATCACTTTCTCGCATGCCCATAGCTTGAGCTAATTCACTCCTAAAATGAGTTCAATGACGCTAATGCAGTAAGGCTACGGTAGGATTACGGTAACTTACTTGGTAATGGTTTGGTGAAGTATGTCATCACTATCGTCTTCCCTATGGTTCCGGTCGCTTAGTTTCGGTTGATCAAAAGCCCGAGCATAAGCTTCACGGAAGAAGTGATCTAGACGTTGTTGGCGGCGGTCCTGCAAGGAAAGAGATTATGGGTCGGAATATAAAATAGGTTTCGCATTTTTTAAAGCCTTTCGCGCCGCTATCTTATTTCATGCTACCGTAATGTCAGTACGCTTTTTTCGTTAGTATTGGCATTTTATGTTTGCTATATGGCCCTTTTGCACAGCTACCTTATTCCATGCTACCTCGCGCCTGCTGTCCAAACTCTTTAGACATTACACTGTGTCAAGACTCCATAGGAACGATAGCTTGACCGGGGTACTGTAGCAGGGCAGCTAACATTACTGTAGCGCGGTAATTACTGTATGTTACCGTAATCTCAGCGCCTTCTGTTCATACAATGGCATTGAAACACCCTTTGACAGCTAAAGCAGCATAAAAATTCTGCGTTAACAAAATATTATCGGGTTACTGTAGCATGTGTGGTGCAAAAGAACGCCTTCGCCACGGTAGCGTTGTGCAAAAGTCCCCGTCTCTTTACTCACCTTAGTCTCTGCCTTATCCAGTAGAATCTCATTTGGTGTGGAAATAGCTGTTACCCGGCCATCAAACTTCTTCAAACACAGAGTGAGTGCAGCTAAGAATTCAGGCAGATGTTTGTCGGATGGAAGACGTAAAACCTGAAAATTGCATTTTCCGCAAATTTGGCTTTTTGCCAGGAGAGGATATGTTGTTACCAAGTCGTGAGTCTTCCTTAGCTTGATAAGGCAATAGGGTCCATGAATAGTTGATGCATTGGGTAGACTGTGGTACACTATTACCTAGAAAATAATCTTTAGCAATTACCTAGAAGCGCAGGAAAGAATGCCAATTTTTTCGCACATCAGCATTTTCCGGAAAAATCATCTTCCTCAAAATGTGTCCACGAGGTTTTCTCACAGTCAGAATACCAGGTGCAAATTCCACTATCACTTGGCGAACGTAACATTCTTGCAGCCATTCAAACGCTATAGAATTGTTGCAATAAATTTCATTTTAAAAGAAATGCAAGTTTTTTTAAACCTTGAATAGAATAGCGGTCCTTTGGTGCATCGTCATCAACAGCTGTGGCTGAGAGATCATCGAACGAGATGTCCCATCCCATACGACGTCGTTTTTGAATGAGTATGTAGCCGATACCGAAGCAAACTAAAAAAACAATGTGTTTAAAAGTGTATTTTTCTTTTGATGTACTTTTGTGAAGAAAAGTATCAGTTATCGTGAGGTACGAAATTCACAATACTGATTTATGCTGCTAAAGTTACAGAAAAAGCTGTACTTCCAAAGTTATAGCTCAATTTTCCCAATTTCCCTCATTCAGTGAGTTATTTGGAATCAATTAAAAGTACTTTCTCAAAAAAAAAGGGAACAATCTATTCATTGAGTATCTAATGATCAATAAAATTATGGACTTGGACATTTCCTCACTCTGGCCTTCACTGTACGAGCCAGAGTGAGGAAATGAACTTTCAGGTATTCACACATTGAGCCGAGTTCAAACATATATATATTGAGCTGAGGTCGACTGAGCAATTTTTGAGCTAACACCACCGCATGCCTACCGTAACCTATGGAGAAGGCATAAATAGCGCAATAAACCTACTCAGTGGTATGCAACCAAGTCCGATGAGGGTAAAGATGTAGGTGACTTCATTTCCAGTGAAGTGGTCAAACCTCATGAACGGAATGCACTTCTCCAGACCTAAATATTTCGTTCCTAGGATGTTCTCTAACTAAAGAAGCTATCCTTACCAGTCTCGTTGACTTGGAATGGTTGAGGACACGGATCGCCATCACGGAAGTAAAAGACCTAAATTATTGATATGATCAGAAGGCTAAATAACAGGCTACCGTAATCCCTTGAAAAATAAAACTGCTAAGTAAACAAAATCTATTGTATTACTCATGCAATGTCAGTTCCAGGGATTATGGTAGAAAGAAGAAAATAAGCTTGATAAATCAATATTGTAGCGATTTATTTTTTATAAGATAAATAATGCTCACATCATCCTGTAGCCAAGAATCATTGATTTCAGTTGTTGCACGGATAATGTCCCGTAGAGTGATGCTACGGATCATGTCTATCTCGGTATCGTTGAAAAGTCCATTCTGTGTGTTTTCGAACCAGAATCTGAAAGTGTGCACTCAAAGTTCACTGATAAGAAAGCTGTATCTTTGTAAGCCGTACTAAATAGAAAAATTCAAAAATGAACGGTGGGAATTTTGAGTTTTAACGCAATTTACTGGGCAGAAAACCTCAGAAATTCCAACTTAAAATATTAATGGAAGTAATTTTGTTCGTAGAGTTCAATATCCGTACTAGTTCTCTGTTCTGATAATTTGTTCCGTACTATAGGGCGAGAAAACAATCTAAATAAAAGCAACGTTTTAGATTTGGCACTCACCTATCCGAATCTCTCAAACGCTCAAATTGGTCCATAATAATAGCCTTGAACAGTTCCCCTGGGCCATTGTCACCCTCAAGCATTCCACCCACATATGCGTCCAAATAGTTGATATCGCCGTATAGACCAGCAAGTTGGTCGAAAAGCTGAAAAATATTTTCAGCATATTTCCAAACCTATACTTATCACATTGCATCACAAATAGCAAGGGTTAACTCAGATGATAATGGGGAAAGCAAAATGAGTTTACCTCTTTTCTTTCCTCGTAAAGTTTCTCGTTAATGGTTTCCCATCTCTTCTCGGGCAAGTTGAATGTTCTTCTAAGGACATTATAGGAGGGGAGGCCATTATCACGGCCACGCATGATTGAAGATGCGACGACATCAAGTCTTGTAAAATGCATTGGTCCAAAAATGTAGTCTGAAATTCGTAGTTTCCATTTTCAGTAAAAATTCATGGCAGTTAGACACATGACAGGATATCGGGGTCTGAACTTATTTTTGTAGAGCAGAAATCTACCTTTTGCTAATTCTTGCAATCATTTGCTTTATACGAGTTGTACTCAAAGTTACCAAAGTACTGTATCAAAAATATGCTAGCGGTTCTCATGGATTAAGCTAGAAGAGTCATAGAAAAGTTCTTCTGCGCAACAGTATGCTACAGTAATCCTAAGCGACATCTGGAGCGCAGTGGCAAATGGCAGTCCGTAATCACGACATAAGAAATGTTCCTTTTGTACTACAGTACGGGGAAAATTATTTGTCTCGTAGCTGCTACTGGGATTTGTGTGAGTTCGCAAATTTTCGTACGAGTTTACCCTAGCTAGTTTTTGAAGATAGCAGCTTTTACAGCTTAATAGCAGCTTTTAAATCACCACTCTCCCTCTGAGAAGTGTTATAACAAATCACATTGTTTAGATTACGATAATATGGTGAGCATTCAACCGTGCAAACAGCACAGTCTTCTTTTTCAAAGCACAGAAAACTTCGCCAACCTCGAAGATCCTCAACCACTATAAGGTCATCAGCCTCAGTGATCTGGGAAGCCATTCCCAAAATGATTTCGTCAACACTATACTCTTGCACGATATCTTGTGCATTCCACCTAAAAAGGACAATATTTTTGGGTTTATCACTACGAAGATTTTTCGAACTTTTGTTCAATAATGATAGTTAAGAAAATACTGTTGATGGTGAGTTATTCCAATTTGAATAAATCTTGGATTTTTGTTATTGAACGTTAAGCTTGAAATTAAGTTGGCATACCAATTTTGGCACATTCTTAATGCTGGAAATCCTCCAACTTCTTCACGAAATTCACATCTATTCACATTCTTGCGAAGAATCATAGCTGGTGGGACCTAAAAGCCCTCAGCTTGCTTCCAGAATTTAGGAATTCAAAGTCAAATAAACTTACGATACTATGAGGGAACCTGAAGGCTGCTGCGGCAAAGGCATGCGAGATACCCGGTGGAACATGGGGCATATACTTCGTGTACGGTTTCACATCCATACCCAGTAAAGCCGGCACGAAATCGTAGAAGATGATTTTCTAAAAAAAGAAGAAGTTCGAAAAGTTTTTGAGAAACTAAGAACAGCTAAGCTGCAGATCGGACCTTCTGCACAGCTACAGTATACTACCGTAAACGTTAGCAGTCCAAAAGTTGAATGGCTGTGACAAAAGCAACACGTGACTATAATTGCATTTCTTTCTTTGAAATTTCTCAGCCGAAACAGCACCGAAACCGTGTGCCGCGTGCCAGCGCCGTGCCAACGACGTGCTAGCGCCGTGCCGGAAGCGGCATGGGATACTGTCGCTCCCAATATTTCGATCGACGCAACGGCACAGCGCGCAACGCAGCTGGCACGAACAAATTTAAACGAGCACAAAGTGCCAGCATATGGTGTAATGCTCATTTTGTAAAACAGAATTACTGTAGGATTACGGTAGCATACGATCTAAGTGCGCAAAAGAGCCTTCAGTCCATTGAAACCCTAGATTACCTGCAATGAAGCAATCAACCATCGCCGCGCACCCTGGAACAGCTCTTCATCTGTCCATCGAGGATTTTCTTCTTGTAGCCTGAACAACGGACATTGATATAAATTTTTGATTTTCAAAAATTACCAGTGATTGGAAAAAATAATTTTTGCGAAAGACATACTTTCCAGCAAGAATATTGTGCCATCTATACAGAATGATTCCGAAAGACAGTAGTCCTGGATTCTCGTTTACTCTAGAGTCTCCGAGCACTGAAAAAATAAAAATAAGAATTGTAAAAAAATTTTAATTCCAATTTATTTTATTGATTTTTGATTAATTTTTTTAATCTCAATTTTTTATTATTAATTCTTTAATTCATATTTACCCTAATTTCACGCGTACAAGGCGCGGGGTGGTCCTAGCTCTCATCGACCAGCCCGAACACGGCAAAGGATTTCGCAACCAAAGGAACCCCATACCATGCTGCGTTTTGCCTGACGAATCGTGCGGCATAAGGAACGCTTCTTAAAACACGTTGGGGCGGCTGAGCAGCTCGATGAAAGCTAGGACCACCCCGCGCCTTGTACGACACTGACATAGACACTGACAAACCACAAGTACAAAACACTTAAACACATATTCACTTAAGCACATATACACCTTCAAATACACGCCTAATTAGGTTAATCCAGGTTTTTATCTGCTCTAATTTAGTTCGGAAATGTCTGCTCCATTGACGTTAGTCCTTTAGAAAATTTTGAACAGAATGGACGCTTCCAGAAAAGGTCAGTAATAGAAGTTTATCTCTTTTATATTTTACTTACTTTGGTTATATATATATTTCATATAAGTAACCATGTTAACTAGTTAGACTACAATAACTACTTATAATTTTTAGATTTATTCACGCCAAGGATTGAAGACCAAGAAGACCCATCAGGCGAAGGTTGAGGTTAGTTCCCTTATTATTATTTTCTATCCATACGATCTTCCCTCACTACTGATGATTTCCGGGGAAGATCGTACTCTTATCCTTTTCCGTCTAGTGGAAGGAATGAAACGGAATTGGATATCTTTTAATTTTATTTTATTTTGTTACTTTCTCATTTATTTTAGTTTTCTTATTGTACGCGTGAAATTAGGGTATTTTTTTATTAATTATCAATTTTATGGTAATAGTATTAATTTTTTCCATTCAAATTAAAATTTATTACCACGAGATGCTTTGAAATCACGGGCTTTTAATTCTCGCAGAAAAATCCGTCTATTGTTCAGCATTTATCAAAGGTATCAGCTTATAAAAATCCCCGTTTTTCATAAATTATATAGTTAGGGGGTTCCAGGTCAGGGCCCGGCACGCGTTGGTTTGAAGCGTTTCTGGAAACGAAGTCCCCCATGACTTTTCAAAAATTTACGAAGTCCCTCTTGTTGTAAAAATCAATAGGGAAATCCTTATTCAACCAAAATAACAATAAAAAAGCGAAAAAGCGCATTTTGAGTTATATAGTATAACAAAAAAGCAAAAAGAATACATTTCGAGTAGATTAAAGGCTCTGCCATTGGGTATAGCACCATTTTAGTGCTCGGAAATCGAAAACCTCCTAGGCCAACCAAATCTGTGGCCTCAACAACCCGGCGATGCATTTTTCGCCACATAGTTCAAAGGACACCGCGTGTGATTGGAGCGCAATATCTATCAACGCGCAGAACTGCACTACTTTTGGCTCAAAAGAAGAGAGGAGAGGCAATGGTTTGATTCGCTCTCTTCACTATATAATAGATTTTTGAGCGTTTTAATCGTCCAAATCAAAAAGGCTCAAAACTTATGTGAACTCTTCGAAATTTATGCTCCGAACCAACCCAGTTGGTTCGGTGGTTGGTCTAGAAACCAACAAATCTGGAACGGGTATTCAGACACACAAGTTTTGGGAACTTTTTACATAACATAGTTTGGAGTAATATTGTAGACTCATAACTCAAATTCGGAGCCATGTGATTGTTTGTGAGCTGTAAATAAGCCATTTGTTTGTTTGAGTCTTGTATTTGAAATTCGCGCGCTTGCGAAAGAACACGTTCAACTCGTAAAACCTGACATGTTCGTCGTGTTTTTTTGGCGCTTCCTCCAGGACCTCATAAAAACGATGTCCCCGTTGCTTCTAACTCCAAAAACGAAGTCCATTTTGACCCCAAACCATCGGTGCCGGGCCCTGTTCCAGGTAGTTCGAGCATCATCACGAGTGAAGGAAATATTAGGTTGTCCGGGAATTAATGCCCGTTTCGAATTTCCACCGCAATAAGTCATACACTTCTCAATTCTAAATAGATTGCAAAGTACCATTCGACAGCAAAGCAAGCTTTACAAGATGGCCATCTTGCTTTTGCAACAGCTCTCATCCACTTCGAGTTCCGAGCCAAAAACTAAAAAGACTCAGCACCCCGAAAAATCGAAAAAAATCGTAACTCATTTCATAAAATTCCTATAAAAATTCTAACTTGCTCACGTAAACACTATCCAAATAAAACATCTATATACGTCTTTGCCGTATGTTTTCCTCTGTTAGAAATCCAGAAAACGGAAATTTTTGTGCATTTGCCAAAGTGATGCTGTGCCGTCCCCACATAGGTAGTTGTATACCACAGACCTTTAGAAGTACAAACGTAAATTTTCAGCTCTCTACAAGCTTTAGTTCTCGAGAAATTTGAATTTTAGCGTGGACCATCTAACTAAGGAAAGTTATATTCGGTATTTCTCGAGAAACAAAGCTTGTAGAGAGCTGAAAATTTGAGTCTATACTTCTACAGGCATGTGGTATACAACTATCTATGTGGGAACGGCACAACATCACTTTGGCAAAAGCATGGAAGTTTTCGTTTTCTTGATTTCTAACAGAGGAAAACATACGGCAAAGACGTATATAGATGTTTTATGTGGATAGTGTTTACGTGAGCAAGTTAGGATTTTTATAGGAATTTTATGAACTGAGTTACAATTTTTCTCATTTTTTCGGGCAGTTGAATCTTTTTAGTATTTGGCTCGAAACTCGAAGTGGATGAGAGCTGTTGCAAAAGCAAGATGGCCGTCTTGTAGAGCTTGCTTTGCTCTATCGAATGGTACTTTGCAATCTAATTAGAAATGAGAAGTGTATGACTTATTGCGGTTGAAATTCAAAAGGGGCATTAATTTCCGGACAACATAAAAAAATTCCTTAGTCTCCACTCCACGGGCTACTGTTCCCAAGCTAGTAGTCCGCAATGGCAGACAACAGTCGTTACCCTACCCTTTTGCGCAAAAAAAATGATTGCGCCAAAAAATAAAAATTATAAGAAAATGAGGCAAATTCTGAAAACAACTTACAAAACAATCTATCCGGGTTCATCAACCTGTGTATCTGAGGTGGGGGTGGGTTGTTGAGAGGAATATGAGGATTATTCAGGGGTGGATATCTGAAAGCATTTCTTCTAAACGTTTTTTTTTCAATTTTTCTACTAACCTCTTGGTATTGCCTTCCTTAAGAGTTCCATTCTCAAACGATCTCATTGTAGCTACCCATGCTTCCATGACACTATAAACAAATGAACCATCAATCCAAGCAGTCCGTTCGTTGACCTGAAAAAATAGTAGTCCAAAAAAGTTTTGGGTCCGATGTAATAAGTTCTCTAAGATAAATGTCTTATTTTCAAATTTCAACATGATGAAAAAGGGTGTACAGTAAAATGTATACAAAACTTCATAAATCATCAATATTGAAAAGGTTTCGCAAACATTTTTGGAATAATCTTCTTCTAGAAATTTCTTGGTGAAGGACTTCCAGAAAAACTTATAAATTGATCAGGAAAATTTGCGGTTCCCTTGGACAAAGCTTTGGAATTTTTGGAATATGTAAAGGTTACTGCATGACGAAGGCGCAGAAGTCGCAATAGTTGAGCGGGTGCGAACGCGGCGCGTATCCTTACCGTTGTAATTCCTGCGCTTTATGCGCTCTGCGGCTAATGAAGCCGCGTTCGCGCTCAAATGCCTATACATAGCATATGTAAAAAGAAATGATAAAGAAAACTAAAGCTTTATATAGAAGAATATTTGTTAGTACAAGTGTCATACTACAAGTATTTTACAGGCTTTATTAAGGAATACTGTCGAAAAAATTCTCTATTTAGTTTAAGGCGTGATTTCAATTATCAACGTCATTTTTAGTGTTCATAATTTCATTTTTTGATATTTATAACTTATAATAGTTATAAAACAGCGTCAAAGTTTTGGCGCGCTTATGTTATTTGAATAAAGAATAAATAGATAAACAGATTAAGGTAAAATACCTGTTCACGAGGTGAGTTAAAGCCTTGTCCAGTCTGTTTGTCATATTTTGCTCTTGTGAATGGGATTTCCGTTCCTGTGCCATCGATATCATACACCTAAATATAACAGTTGAAAAAACAAATCATAGTCAAGTTCCCAGCAAGAACATAAATTCAATTGTATATCTACAGCATAAGCAAACTTTACAAATTTTCAAATTCTCCACTTACTGGATCTCCGGGCGGAACCGGTATTTTCATCACCTCTAGTGGACAGCTGGTGGCAGTTGAGGACATGATCTCATAAGCAACAACTTGACCTGCAAAGCTAGTATTGAGTCCGACTTAGATTCGCAGCAAAAATGACTACGGTAGTTTAATTGAGGTGAAAACTTACTGAAGAAAGCGAACATAGTGGTGAGATTCCGTGCATTTGGTAAGCCAGCTTTTCCTGGAAAAAACGCTCTTATATTAGTACTGATAATGATATTTTATTTTCTTGGCAATCTCAAATTCCTAAAAATGCAATATTAATGCGTGAGAAAGTATGTGTAAGAACCGGTTTGTACAAAAATTTTCTGCATTTGCAGCCGGCCAATCTTCTTGCCATTATTTGACTACTTAATTACCGTAACCCTGACCTTCAAAATGGTTGAAGTAGACTTCAGCATTTTTAATTATGTTTTGGTTCTTCCTACTGTAAAGCATAAGACAAACAAACCGTTTAGTGAAAAAAAGTTCTATCATACTGCTCAAATGGACTTATCCACACTTGCTGATTGTATAGTACAAAAAAGCGAACCTTTGAAAACGAGATCCGAAAGTACTCGAGCAGAGGGCAGTGATAAATTCATCATATACACTCCATCCTCGTAGTTTGACGGGGAATCTCGATGGAGGCGACTGCCTAAGACATTTTTCTTCAACCTTAATTTTTTGACAGAATGATTTTTTTTACTAAACGTGTAATTCCGGAAATTTAAGTGCATATACGAGAATAAAACTTTGACCCCATTCAGAGTGCTTTGACATAAATGAGTGACTCTCACCTGCACTTCCCCAGTCGCGGTTTGCAAGGTTATTGTACCAACCGTCATATCGTTGGAATTCTTGCGTTCGTAGAGATTCTAAAAATGAAAAAGAAAATAAATTGCACTTAGGACACTTCCAGATAGAGCTTACACGTAGCTTTTCATACTTTCATTCTGTGAAATGAAAATATTCAATGCTTCACAACTCAAATTTTTAGACTTTGAAGCAGTGATATACAAATATCTTATCTGAAGAAGCTAAAATAGCCTTCATAGTCAGTAAATCAATCATTATCTTCCAAAAAACTTATTTTTCAGGTCTTCCGTACCTTTGAGCATTACATATAAATTTTGTCAGTTGAAATGAAAAGAGGGCAGTTGACCTATGTCCCCCTTTTTACAAGAATGATATGATGGCAGGGAGATTTATGAGCTACAAAGGGGAGACAAAAAATTGAGAAAATTGATCGTTCATTGGTTAAAGTTTGAAACAGGCGTATGTTCATCATGAGAAGAAAGGAAAACTATGGTATAATTTATGAAATGATGTGGAGATGTTTGTGACAAAAGGACCTAATTCGGACTTTGGACTTTGGTCAAATATTGAGCATTGACGCTAGTATGAATGATTTAGTGATCCAAATGACGCCACTTAAATTTTGTCAAAACTGCCCAAAAACTTCTGAAAGTTTTTCCCCGCTTTTTTTTTCAAACAAGCAAAATGCAGTGGATCTATTTATCAAAATGGTCTAGAAGCTGATAGATCTTGTTAAAAATTAGGGTTTTTTCTCTGAGTGTACCAGAACTTACAACAAGAAAAGTTTGATATCGCTGTATTCTGGTGTACTTTTCAAAATTGTACAAAACGCGTCTTACCCGCTGATAAAACAAGTGCAATAAAACTGTGCAGAAGAAGGGCTGGAAAAATCCAACCCATCGGGAAGGGTCGCTGAAACGAAAATTTTGACATTTAGTCAAAAAAAGTTTAGAGAGGGAATGGAATCAAAACGAATAAAGCAACAGGCGATGAAAGAATGGAATGATTGTACGCCTGTATGAATAAAATAATGATTTGATGAGTGGAATGACTGATTGGATGGATGATGATTTAGATAAAGAATGAACGAGTAAATGAATGAAAAGAGTGAATGAATGAAGATACCTAATGATTGAATACTAGAATGGGTAGAGAATGAATGAAAGAAAGGTTGAATGAATGCAAGAAGAATGTGAGAATGAATAATGAATGACTTAGAGGCGAATGAGTTGATGGAGAAATGAAAGGATAGGATGAATGAATAAATGAAGAATGAATGAAGGAAGGAAGGAAGGAAGGAAGGAATACAGAACAAAAAACCAGAAGAAGGCGCTTAAGAATGACTTTGAGTAGAAGCATCCGAAGTTGGAAAATTGGGATAATTAAAGCAATAGGAGACGAATGCATTCATAAATGGCATTTGATAAATAAAGTGATGATGACCAGCTAATCGATAATGGCAAGCATGCAAATCAATAGAAAATCGATAGAAGCTAAAATGCCTGAACGACAATCCAGTTCTTACGACGTTGTATGAGATATAAAGCGCAGCTGGACGTCACAAAGACTCGACCAACAGCTTTCAGAAAAATTGAGGAAAATATAAAAAGTAGAAAAAATAGCGTATGAAAAATCCGGGTTTTTGGAAAGGAAGTACCAAAAAAGTTTTTTCCGGTTTTTTTTTGAGATTTTCAAGGTGCTGGTTGTAATCGTATGAGATCAAGGACTAAAAAAGTAGAAAATGAGCCAGGATTAAATTACGCTGGATAAATAATCAAATAAATTTGAAGTAAGCAATCAATAAATAGATGAATACAAAATATTAGTAACCTCCAAAATAATGAATGCATCAATCTAGAGATCAAATAAATTGCATGATTAATTCTTCTGATAACAATTGAATTTTCGAAAATTGCAGGTTCTCAAACCAACCATTAAATTCTAACGAGCAACTTCAAACGCATAAGAATCAAAATTACTTCCAAGTTTTTGCTCAAAATGCAATCTTCTCATTCTCTTTCTGTTCTTGCTAACCGGTTCCTAATATGGCTACAAAGCACTGGCTCTGTCCCTGATTTGAATTGCCCACGCTTTGAATTCAGCAAAGAACTACTAACTTCTAAGACAATGACCAACCGGTTTTTTTTTGGGAGGGGACTCTAGTGTAAAAGTGCCTTACGTCACAAGAGGTATTTCTCAACAGGCGTGACGTATGCAGCGCAAAAAGAAGAAACCATGGTTTATAGCCCTTACAAACAAGTTCCATAAAATTTCCTGAGATTTGGTAACGAGGAAAGCTCGAAAAAGCTCGATGGGCCCGAGCTACAGCGCACTTCACAGAAACGCATGATATTTTCACTATGCCGTATTATTTATGATTTTTAGTTACTTTTCAGAATTGATAAATCGTATAAATTTAAGATGATCATACTCTAATCACGATTTCTATAGACGTTCTACATAAAAGTGGAAGAAAGAATATTCCAATACCATCAAATTTTTTGTAATAATTATTTCGAAAAATGTTTTTTCGCCATAGTGTAGTTTGAAAATGAAGTACTCATGGTCATTCCGAAATAACCAATTCCTTTTCCAATAAAATGCAAAAAGCGGCGATTTGCAAAATGAGATGCAATTGCAGCAAAATCTAAAAAAAGTTTACAGCAATAACCTGAAATTTTCAAACAAGAGTCAAACGTGCGAGATTAAAATAATATGATATATCAAATTACTGCATTTTATTTCAAAAATCAAAGTAGCGAGAGAAAAGGAAATTGATATCAATGTTGCCAATAAATTGAAAAGATGAAATTAAACTGATAAGATGGAATTAAAATTTTGAATTCTTTTTGCGAGTAATTTACCATGAAAGAGCAAAGAAGCAATACTCAAAACCTTGCTCAAGTTCATTGTTAAGAATTCCATCAAATTTCTAAGATGAATTTCTGAGTTAAACAACATAGCTTAGAAAAACATATTTTGCGAATAACGCTGATTTGGGGCGAACAAATATTTTTGCGAGAAAGAAATGGCACGACGAGCAAACATGAAATCTCCTCCTGATACACTTGACTAAAATGTTGATGTGATGTAAAGTACATTTTATTACGTAATCAAACATCAAAGATGATTTATGGACGATCGAAATTTGACTAGAGTACGATCAGGGTAGAAAATTCGGTTTTGAACTGCCGCAATTTTTGAGATTTAAAATTTATTCTGTAACTGTGTTTGAGCCAATAATGTAGAGGTTACTGTAACCAAAATGAGCCTCTTTCACAGTAGCTTGAGCTGAATATCTACACATTTTCAAAAATAAGGATTTCGAAAAAAAATGCATAGCATCTGAAACGGGAAATTTCAAAACGCAAATTTTTTCATGAAATCTAGCCTGTTGCACGGCGAGAAAATGACTTCAAAATGTTTATGTGTTAATTTTAGCTTGTTAATGGACCTTTTATTTAAACCTGGCTTTTTTGCAGAAATAATGCCATGGAAAATGTGAAAGTGGTACACTTAAGCTAATTTTATTGAAAAAGAAAGTTGTGAGAAAAATAGAAAAACATTCTAAGATTTCATATTGTCCTTTCGAAGCAAAAAGAAAATAAACATATGTTCGCCCAAAACTTCAATTCAAGGATTTTTATGACAGCTCCGATCACAGTGAGGTCAAAAATAATTTTTGGCTGAAAGGAAACCGAGGGGCTCTATTGTGCGCCAGGGGTTCGGCAACGGGGTGTTGATTGACAAACATAGCCACTTCTGTGCGCCACCTCCTACGAACTTTGTTAATCTTGAGCATACAGTAGCTGGCACAAACGGAGTGTTCCTTGCGCGGTAGCAAGTCGAAAAGTCATTTTTTTAGGCAGGGGAGGTGGGGAGGATAGCTGGACGAAAATTAGCAAAAAAAAAACCAATTTTTTGGGATAAACGAAACGATGCTAATTTTTGAGAAAGTGACAGCATATAACATTACATATAACCTAACTATGTGATCATTCAAACATTTATTTATTTTTGAGTTCATTCTTATTTCCATTCATAGATTCTTAGATAAAATACCCTACTTTTTTCTCAGGAGTTTCTTTCAATGCAAGTATTATATAATACTTAGTAGCTATAATAATAAGCGAAGAATTCTCAACAGTTAAACTTGCCGTTTCGCTACTTGTAGAGGGCACGAAACCGGAAAAAATTTGTAAGCTCTTTGCAAGTGATGAGAAGAGGTGCAGAATGATGGGATTTTTACTTGATACGTAATTTTTACTGATACATATTTAATTTATTCTAAAAGTTTTATATTGTTTTTTTCAGTTTCATGGATTTTTCAAGTTTTTACCATCGCATTTCAACCTCGAAATTTTTCTGTTTCAAGATAATTTTAGCTAGTCATCAAGCATGACAACCTTATGAAAAAAACCTTCCGTTTCACTGCACCTACAAAGTCGGGAGATACATCTAGTATGTAAAGAATAGTAAGATGCATTCAAAAATCATCAGATAGCGGGAGACCGAGGTCCCGAAGCGAGTGCGCTTGCAACTAGCACCTTTGAAATTACTGGTTCACCAGTTTTAGAAAACTCTCCTTTTCATAACTAGTACAAAAAAGAAAAAGAAGCTTGTAAGGGTCTAGTCGCTGAAAAAAAAGCAATAAACCGGAAGTATTCTGTAAAATCTTTGGACTCGTTAAAAAAATCTGTAGATGGGATTTTCACAAAAATCGCGTAAGATTCGCATGTGATCGTCGGAACGGAACGAAGACGCGCACATCGATTGATAAATAAGGCGAATGCGCAAAGTGAAACCGGTGTGAAATTCGCGAACATACGCTAGATGACATCGGCGCATAAGCATGTGATTTGCCTCAAGTTTATGTGTGTGTGTTTGACATTGAAAAGCTTTGTTGTTTACTTCCTTATGCGGTGATTTCAAAATAAATATTGAAGCGTATTGTAAAGGTACTGTGGAGGTACTGTAGCGTCTGGTATACAAGCCACTAGTACTGTTATGACACAATAACCGCATTAATGGAGGAACAGAAAATAACGGAAAATGTCCTATATAAAAAGTCTTTCAATTAGTACCAATGAATTTTCGACTGAAAAAAAATTACAGCACCAGTGATCCATAGGGTCGAAAATTGTTCTGACAAAAATTGTTTTATTTTTGAAAACTGATGAATTGACTGTGAGCCATACCACAACCCTTCCCTTTCCATTTCTCATTCTATTGTTTCTATCTCAAAGTCTTCATAATAGACCCATGCAAAAAGTACAAAATAAAAAAACTGCATTACTCATCACCTCCTACAGTTGATCCCCAAACACCTGTGTTGTTCTTATGAGAACTTGAATTTTTATTTTGAATGTCTTAACTATGCTGAAACAAGTCAGAAAAGCTTTTCTATGAATCCTAGGTTCGAAATGACTGTCGAATTCCCGATTAATTACCCAAAATGCCAAAAACTGAGCACTGCTCGTTCTGAACAATTAGTCTAATTAACTTGAATGCAAAGAAAAAGATCATTGTGGAAATAGCCTTGACTTTTGTGTGGAAGAAAGCGCAATTATTTCTAGGACGTCAGTATTTTCCCCGTTGTTATTTTGGGAAACAAAATAAAGAGTAAAAAAGATTATAGAACTTTGTATAGCTTATACTGGGTGGCACGGAACCAACAAGATTCAACAAGGTTTGGGAAAATTGGCAATTTGAAGTGAGGCAAAACTCATTTTCAATTATGTTGGATTCCCGAATCCAGATAAATCTGCACAATTTTGGATACTGGTGGTTCACGAAAAAAATGCTAAAAATCTGTTCTCAAGAAAGTTTCAAGTGCTTCGAAATTTCATTTCAAGGTACAGTCGAATAGCTTTCTTTGCTGATGTGTGCAATTACACAAT